TCCATTGACTTCAGGCATTATTCTTCCATGTCCCTGAGAAATTCTACGTATGTCAAAGTCACAAATAAATACATCCCACCATGGAAGACATGTTCTATGTGTTTCCAGTTTGATGGCAGTAGATACACAACATTCTCTGTTAAAACGCCTGTGCACTGTGTGAAAAATAAACCCAGTGTCATTTTTCATATTCAGTCAATATCAGTCTGTTCAGACATGTCAAAGACTACACATTTTGAACAAACATTAAATTACCAATGTAAGGCAATGTGTCCCTTTGACGAAATGTCAGTCGAGGTAGAAAGCTATGTGAGGTGTAAGCTGAAAAGATGTCTTAGAGATTGACATGAATCTGGCAGAATGTCAACATGAGATGATATCTTGTCACTTAGGAGAACGCTGTACATTAACTCTGAACAAATGCTGAAGGATTGCATTGGACATGGCAGTCAGCCTTGCCTGTTAATCATCAGTGATCATTGTATTGTCAACAATGCAGGGTGGGTGAGGGGGAATAATCAATGCTTTGAGGAGATGCTGAAGATGGGATTAAAGATATACGTTCCTTCGTCCAGGGCCGACTTGCACACAGACATTTTAGGGACTGTAGTACCAGTAAGATTGTTAGGATAATCATTAATGAGAGTTTCAATCATGTCAGTACTCAGTGTGATCCCATGTCCAGCTTGCATGGCTGGTGTGGCCGACTGCCAGGTCGCATGCTGGGTAATCCTATCACACAACCTTCATGTCATAGCACATGCAGCCTGATCCCCACGGTGTAGTGTTCTTAGGTAGTAATGACCCTGAAGATGTAGCTGTGCGTCGTGATACTTTAAGCCACACATTTTTTATTTTTCGTTTTATAGGCCTGCCGCATCTACTAAAAAGGAACTGGAAAAGAAAGAAATGAAACATGACTATATATATTTTTGTTAAGTCTCCCGCTAGTAATATAGACCCTCATATAAAAAGTATAATGTTTTATATCGGTACCATGTCTATTTCACTATCAGTGATTCAAGAAGCCAGCTAGTTTTAACTCCATGGCAGAATGACTTACAGTGTTAGAAATTGGCACTTGTCCTATAGTCCCTACCAAACTGCCCAATAGTGAAGGTATCCTAAGGACTAATAGAAATTGGCCCATTTTAAGGGTTTTGCTATGTTATCATTATAAGGACTAGTTGACAAAAGCTGTTTCTAACCCTGGACTTACATAAATAAATGATTGACATAGCTATTTATTTTTATTTTGACCGACATGTGTGGAAAAGATGGAATAAATCCGTGAAACATAAAATTAGGAAAGTGTGGCTTTACACCATCATAAGTCACCTGAGCAACATTAGAACTGTATATAAAAAATTAAGACTATTCAAGAAGACTAGTGAAAACCTATTTCACTAGTCCTCAAAGTTTGGAGCTAGTCCTGCTTGAACAAGACAAAATGTCGAGTTTTATTCATTTCCATTTTGTACTGAAATTGAAGCATAGAGAACTGGTTCAGAGCTATAGTAGTGTTTCCCATCATTTTTGAAACAAACCGTCCATATGTAGGACCGGCAGTCATATATATATCGGTCCTGGTTATTTTTGAGTGGTCATACAAAAGATATATTAAACAACTTATAAAAACCTTAACAGTCCACACGATTGAACGTACATACCATTGGAGCTTTTGCTTTTTATTTGTGAACAAAGACACTGCCCTGTTTAAATTGTTGGGCTTGTTTTCTGTCTGCATATTTAGGATCATGTTATTTTGGATGTTGTAACGTTATACTATCAAACATATAGCAAATATAACATTTAAACAGTTAACCTATTTTCATTGTTTCACTGGTTAATTATAACTATAATAATTGATACTTATGCTTTTTTCACTACAAATGTCTGTGTTTGAAATATTAGGTAAAACAAAATGCATTCAAGGGTATGTTGTATGCAGTTTGACTCCCAGATCCTCTGCTTGGTGTCGCTGCTCTCCCTTCCAGGAACAAACAAGGCCAGTCCAGCAAGTCTAGGCTAGGCTAGGCTCCACTGTCCATTTAGCGTAGTGATGTTGTGGGGCAAGAAGCTCCAGGGACCACTATTATTGTAGGTCAGCACAGGATGATAGAGTTATTAAAAGATACAGAAATTCCATTCTGCAGTCAGTTGAAATAGTCGTGAAATACAGTAAACAAGGCCGGTCATTGTTGATGGCTAATTTCTCTTTTCTTAGACTCCACCACGAACTGACTTGCCTTCATCAAATTATCGGCATACATTTGGGAGCCATGGCAAAAATTAGGTTTTTGCATATGGTTCAAACCAGGTTGCTATGAAAACTAAACTTGACTTCGAAAAGGAATGGTTCGAACAACATTGGGGGAGGCTGTTGGTAGGATGGTTTTGGAATCGTTTCACCATCCTACACATTTGCACATAGGACATTGATACAAGTTCCAGCTGACCAAAACTGTCCGCACACAGCAGACAAGCATTCTTGCAAATTTGTCTAGTATTTTGGCTGGTTAAAGCCCAAACCACCATTGCTTCAGACGTACATGCAAGGGCTAGGAACCTACAATACTTCAAAGAGTGGTCTCTTTTTTGGTCAATGACTGCTTCAAAGATGCATGACCTGTGACCCCTGGTAACCCTAACTCTGACCATTGCATTGGAAAGAGCTTTGCCCTTTCAGCATGCTGTTAAATGTCTTCTCCGCTGATACTGCTAGACTGATGAAGCTGAAATTTAACATGCTGAAGTCATCTTGTCTTGTTCAACATGTTCAAATCATATGGTGTTTGTGTTAAAATATGTTGACAAAATCTTGTTAAGACCACCACTGGGCACGAGGCTTAAACTTTGTTCATCAAGTTCTTGGCATCACTAATTACATTCAACATTGTTGTCCTAAGTGGTGTTTGTTTGTTTGTTTGTTTGTTTGTTTGTTGTTTAACGCTGCACTCAGCAATATTCCAGCTATATGACGGCAGTCTGTAAAAAATCGAGTCTGGACCAGACAATCCAGTGATTGACATCATGAGCATTGATCCATGCAATTGGCCAAGTCAGCAAGCCTGACCACCCGATCCTGTTAGTTGCCTCTTATGGTGAGCATAGTCGCTTTTTTCAGCAAGCTTGGGTTGCTGAAGACCTATTTTACCCTGGATCTTCTCGCAGATATCTAAGTGGTGTTGCAAAAATACTTCATTCCAGAAACTTTGCACCAATTATTATTTAACTCACTACAGATATTTGTACCAAATTAGGTTGAAGTGTCATCAAATTACTACTTAAGCTGGCCTACAGAGATTTGTGGCTTTGTTTGTTAGTCTTGGTATGTGGACTCAAATAGACTGATCTCACTGGGCGAGAAGAAATAGCGGGGTTTGGGCCAAGTGTGTAAAACCGCAGACTGTAAAGTAATCCCAATGATCATGATTATACACTCTTAATCAAATAACTTTTGTTTACCTTAATTATGACTATTTTGGACTGCTTGATAGCCCTGACTCACGTAATAATTGGTCTCCAATATCAGTTGGAGTGGGGGCATGGCACCTCCGCGGCCATGGTGGCACATCTAGTTCATTACTGCATTTATAACTCATCAATATCGAGCACTGAAATTGAAGCCTCAATTCCCAAGATAAGAGAATGAATATGTATGAGGTTATCCCAGTTATTCTTGGCAAAGGGTGCTGCATCTTAAGAATGCCAGTACATGTAGTTGAGAGCTGGTATTTATCTTCCTTCTAATAAACGAAAACTGTCAGCTGGACAGTCTGGTTAGGTTTATTTACAGATTATTTAAATGACAGTGTGTGTTACCTCCGCTTTGTAATCACTGAATGTACACTCAGTCCTGTCAGTGCATAACACACTGAACAAATGCTTATCAGATTACACAGATTATTTATACTGTAAATTGAGGTTATTCTGTTTGTCTTGTGTGTTCGTTGTTTGATGTCAGACTCGGCAATATTCCAGCTATAGGATGGCGGTTTGTAATTAATTGAGTCTGGACCAGACAATCCAGTGATTGATATCATGAGCATCGATCCATGCAATTGGGATATAATGACATGCATCAACCAAGTCAGCTAGCCTGACCACCCGATCCCCTTAGTCGCTTCTTACAACAAGCATTTTTGCAATCTCATTAAAATCAGACCTCAGTTCTCACTACCGCTAAACAAAGATCTGAGGACATCCCATTAGGGGCCACGTCAGAACGACCTTTCATCCGACAAATCAAAGCATCGCTTACCAGATTATGAAAGTGACAGTCGCAATGTGATTTCTGATCATGCAGCCTCGAAAACTTTAACTCTGAACGATAGTTACGGGTTTAACGACTGTATCCATACAATCTAGACCATCTATTAGCCATTCCAGAATGTTCTTTTGTTCAGGTTTCAAATTTGTAATCGAGAATTTGTCAAAACAGTTTCAAAGCGTAGTCGCCAATTTTAAATTAGTGCCGTAAAGCCCGAGAAAGCTGCCTTCTGATTGGTCACTCCATTGGTTTGTCAAAGTTCGTGCAAGGTCGGTCTGACGTGACCCGTAATGGGATGTCCTCAGATCTTTGTTTAGCAGTAGCGAGAACTAAGATCTGATTTTAATGAGATTGTCGCCTCTTGTGATGAGCATGGGTTGCTGAGGGCCTGTTCTAACCAGGATCTTCACAGGTCTCCGACCATACACATCAATGGGCCTTAAGGTTATTCTATCAAATCAAAATACAAATGTACATAGCCCACTCCTTGTGGTAAGCTCCTCATACATATCAAAAAGGAACATTACAAACAACTTTAGTTTTGAGCTTGAAACTTGTCCCCTAAGTAAGTCCTCCTGTTGGTAGAAATTATTGTAGGGCTCCAATTTCTAAACACAACCCTGGAATAGATATTAAGATAAATGAATGTTGATAAGATATGTTTGGTGTAGCAACTTTTACATACCAACTTCTGTTATTCTTAATGTATTTTCTTTTTCCTTTACAGCAAGCAAGGCCCATAGAGAAGAACTTGAGGCAATCTTGCATATATTTGAAGTAAGTAATCAACATGTTCAATATGTTGCTATACACAGCAAACTCAGTTTGCCCAATAGATTGTCTATTTTGATGTAGGAGAATCTCTTCCAGAATCATCTGATCCAGCAACCAGTGATCGATACAGTTGGCCGATCAGGCTTTCCAAATAGGCTGGAGTACATGGATTATAAAATTATTGACATGCTTTTGATTTATTCAGAACAGGGATTTATTTAGACCTGCTCAGAGGCTGATGTTTGGTCCAAAGTCTGAGGCAGGTGACAGTAAAAATTCCCAATTTGAATATTTGATTTTCCAATTCCTCAGAATATAAGAAAATAATAACAGTAATACATTTTCTTAATCATATCATGATTTTTTCCAAATTTACCTTCCATGGGCACTTAGTTGTGAATCCTCAATAAATCCCTGCAGATTGAATAGGACATGAAGACAAAGTGACATCAGCCCATTCATGGACATGATGGATATCAGACAGTATTTGGGGGAAATTGTTGACAGTACATCAGAACTATTCCGTTGACACATAGTGATATTAATACAGACATTTGCAAGGCCATGTTACACAACAGTGATGTCATTCATCAGCTAAGAAATTCTGTATTTTGTTTGAGAATTTTTTTGCACTAGTTTGCACTAACATTATCATCCTTGATCAAATTATCATAATGAAATCTCAGAGACTAACAATATTAAAATACTAAATTTAACTCCCAAGTTGTAGGGAGATTTGATTACAGTGTTGGTGTACACCACGTTGGTAGTCTATGATCCCCATCTGTGGGAGGCCATCATTCATATAGGGTAAACAGTAACATGGGCTCTATACTTAGAATCTGATGCATGCTATTGATTGTATGAGGCTGTCAGCGGTCAACCTCGCTTCCTCTGCCTTGCTGATGTAGCTAACTACATCGTCTCACTCCATGGTCTTCTGTAGGGCTGCAGGCAAGAGGCTGCCACAAATCTGGATGAAATTCAATAAATTTTGTGATTCAGTACACCGATTTTAACCCTAGAAGAGATATCAGATTATGTGTTTCAGTGAATTTTTACATCCTTTTTTTGGGGGGGGGGGGGGTTAGGGGAAGATATGTGATCAGCATTTTCATTGGAATGAAATGAAGACCTGTCCTTAGAGGGTTTATTCAAGGTTTGGGGTTGGGCGTGACAGAGTACATAGGCACATTATCAGGATTATTAAAGCTGATATAGAGAAATAGTGTTGATAATGTCCAGCCTGAGTTGCACATAGCTGACCAACCTAGTATTTGTGGGATTTCTGAGTGGAGAGATGAAAATGTACTTGGAATACAAAGAATTAAAGAAAATATTAGACATTTCATGTGACCACTTACAATGAATTATCTTCATATTCAGTTGAGTTCAAAACCTGAATGTTATTACTATTTATGTTTGGCCATGCTATATGTAAGCATGGTAGGAAGTTCATGTAGTATGGCTGGACCCTCATATATCTCAGCAGGACCTAAGAATTATCATGGGGGGTTGAGATGACAATGCTAGTTACAGCGTTGATAGGATATTCTTCTGTGTATCATTAGCAATTTTTAGATGTATTTTTAAATCATTTGTAATGCTCAGTGTTCTGCCCTCGATAACTACCCTCTAAACATGAATACATGACACTATTTTGGATAGCAACTTCTTTTTATTCTTTGTGCGACGTTTCTGGTGAATGATGAAGGAGCAAGAAGTAGCTCTGAAACATACAAAGAATAAAAAGAAGTTGCTATCCATAAAAAAATGACATGTATTCATGTTCTCCCAACTTCTAAATGCCTATCAAAGACTTTAACGACTAAGTACACCATTATGATTAAGATGGGGAGAAAAAAAACTTAGATCATGTTAGATCCTCAACAGAACTCCTATAATCCCAGTCATGATACAGAATTGCTCCACTGAAAAAGTGTATATGATCCCCTACAGCACATGAACATGGGGACCTACCAAGTTCATGACAATCCCTATCTACCAAAGACTAATATCTTCTGAAAATCATGCCAAAAGGCAAATCTGCGTTCGTCACAGACTGGCTATTGAATACCTCTCATGTGTATGATCCCAAACTAAGTGCTTACTTGGCAAGCCCCACCCATAGGCTGATTATTGTACATGTATTCGGCAGCTTAACCTGTGAGCCATCTTTTATCCTGCTTGTCCATGTAGTGCACAGCGAGTCGTTGGAGGAGACTCTGCCTGCAGGCATCCCAGATCAACCTTACTTTGACTCACGTAGAGTTTTGTATGAGGTTAAAAAAATAACTCTTAACAGGAAACCCATGAATATTAAAAGAACTATCCAGTCTCTTAATTTTAGAGTTGAAAAGGGAATGAGTATAAGCTGCTAGCTGCTAGAAAGGGATGAGAATAGAATAGAATTATTTTGTGAAGTTTTTGCTTTGCGGTCTGAAAGATAGACTATAACCAATTACTTCTTAATGTGTATGTGAATGATACTTACCTATCAATCAAACAAATATCACCTGTCTGCACATAATAATGGTTTATTATGAGTGTGACATGTCTGTTTCCATTCTTGACAATGGAAATGACAGAGCTGACATCTCTTTGTTTTGTTTGCAATTGATATGCCAATAGAATGCAAGTCCTTTTGCTGAACGGCAAGGGAAAAGTTTACATGATATGGTACATGCTTTAAATAACGGAAATGTCAAGAGTTTGCAAATGACAAGTATTGGCTGTCCATCACATTCACCACTAGTCCCAAGCATAGGTCAAGTGAACATCCTTTTGGTCTGGTAAGTTCAGTTAATGAAAGTCAAATATTGACTGAAAATGGCTTAAACAATTTTGACGTTTGAGGGGATATCCATGATAGAGAAGTATTGAGATACGTACTTCTTTATCTGTATCAAATATTTCAAGTGAGATTATTCTGAATAAGGTCTCTAACATATCCTGAAATAATGCCAGGATGTTTTGACATGTATATGTAGGAAATGTGCTGTGATAAAGTATTCATGGTCTTTCTTTCAGAAAATTCTCTTTTTCTTGCCGGAGTTGATTCACAAACGATGGATGTTCCACAGTATAGGTGGGTACTCCTTTACTGAGAGGGAAGTAATATAGGGGATGCTGAGTGTTCTAGAATTGTTGTCAATGGTCATGGGTTCATTAATGCTACTGGTTTAGAGACCAGTGTTCAGAGTTCATGAGTACAGTTATTAAGTCCATGTTCAACAAATGGAAATTTGAAATGTGTGTTCAGTGAAAGATATTTCATACCAGTATGTTCTTCTGTTGTAAAGAGACCCATTGGCATTAAGCGTGATCGTAACTCCCATACCTTAACATAGACTTACAACAGTCATAGCACTACGGTTGTTTTGTTGAACAGCACCCAGACCATGATCACTCCTATACGTTAACATAGACTTACGACAGTTTTATAACAACCACTTTGTGAAACAGGTCCAGGACCCCAAGTTGACAAGGTATCACTGTCTATGTGATTTGTTGACACTGATAACACATCTTACATCTTACATCTTACATCTTATGTAGGTCGTGTCATGAAGAAGCTGCTCCATCCTGCAAATTCTATAAAGGTGAATATTTGTCTGTCTCCGTTGTATGCAATCATACACTGTGTTAAACAAATGCTTAAGTCAAACATTAGGATTGCATTTTTTTTATGACATGTATTTATTCGCATATTCCGAATTTTATCCTACACATGTAAGTACAGTAAACTATGTTTATAGGGAACACACTTATAACGAACTGACCGAATAATGGACTTATGTTTAGTCCTGTCCATTTGTTGTATGTAAGCTGTTATTACGAACTAAAATAAGTGCTCCCTTTGAGGTTGTTATAACCATAGTTTACTGTATGTCATAGATTGTTTGAAGAACAAAGTATGTTTAAGTTAATGCTAAATAGTCATTCAATGATTTGTGCCACTGATTGTGAAATTATATTTACAAAGTTTTGCAGAGTGGTAGTATAACAACTGTATCACATGTCGCAATGAAGACATACTGTATTTTCTTGAGTATAGTGCACACTTTTTTTCCAAAAAACACAGCTGTGTAGAAGGGGGTGCGCATTATACACGAATTAATGAGTTTTGATGTTTTTTCCCCCATTGAAAGACATTACCGTGAGCACGTAACACCGGAAATACCATGTCAACAAATCCATACTGAAGTACTCAAATTAGTCATGTAATTACACTGTCTGGCTATAAAAAGTGTTCTTTGTATATCTGGATTTATGTTTGTAACTTATTTTATTAATTTAATTCAAAATTCCTTTAAAATTGTTTTAATTAATTTCGGCGAAATCGTGTGTGAAGCGATCAGAAGATTGCACAACTCACCGTTATTAACAGCAACCACGGTCAGATTACAGCTATTGACGCCTTGAAACGAACTTTAGTTGACAGAATGGAATACATATATCATAAATGCCATACTGTGAATCGTTAAAAGTCATATTTGTTTTTGATGGACGATTCTATGTCAACACGTAATTCTCGCGATCACTTGCATCGGAGCCTTGACGGTGACTGGTCAGACTGGTTCCATGTAAAAAATAATACCCGGCAATAGCGATCAGCTGCTTCGCTTAGGGTCATTATTATTTTAAATATGTTTAGTAAAAGCTGCATCTAAATTAATAACATATTCGAATATATTATTCCTGATATAAAAATAGTTTCAGATACAATTTTTGCCAATCCTTGCATTAAAATCCTGTAAAGTTATATCATTGGGTGTGTCTTGACCGAATCACCGGTAGATTCCATAGAAAACGTGTGTACAGCTGTTTGCTGTGTCCGGCTTAGTTTATGAGAAAATACACAAGGTAATCTTAATCCCTGGATATAAAACAATGCCTAGCAGAACAAAAAAATACAATTTAAACGGTAAATCAACATGTCTGGTGATTTTTTTATCTCAAATTTCGAATTTGTACTGACCAAGTTTCTCATCACCCGTTCGTTAACCAGACTTAGCTAAAGGGGTACAGTGTAATTTTTTTCTGCGCTTGGTATTCGAAAAAATTTTCTTCCAAAATATTGAATCCTCTAGAGGGGGGTGCGCATTATACATGGGTGCGCACTATACTCAAGGAAATATGGTACTCATCATGTTGTATAGGCTGATTCTTGGCTCTGTTCATGACAGATCATTATCACAATCTAAGTTTTGCAGACTGCCATATCAAATTGTGATTTTTAAGATTCTTTGTAAACAAACTACCTATCTTTGTAGTGTAGCGGCAATCAGCTTGATAAATGACAGGGGTTTATTTTACCTTATGACACAATGATAAAACTCAGATGAGGAACTTGGAAGTCTGATCTTTGAACTTTCATCATTGTGACAGCTTTTCCTTGAAAAAGGCTTTTCCTGGAAGATTAAGTATCTAAGTCATGCAACAGGTGTTTTGGTTTTGAATTACCGTTTTATCAGTCAAATTAATGTAAGCAATTATTATTGAATGAAAATGTGACTAAAAGCAATGAAATAGATTACAAACATTACTCCCAGGTCCAGATAAACAAGGAACACTTTTTATTACCATAGTGTAACAACAGGGTTACCTTGTGTGATTCAGTACGGATTTGTTGATAGGCTATTTCCAAAGATGTGAAGATGTGTGTTTGTGGGGAAAATATTTAAATTTATTGGAGTCATTGATTTCCCTGTGGTTTACAGCAAGGGATGACTATATATCTTAACAATTATGGCTACAGTTTGTCTGCACTAGGTTTAGCCATAAATAAACATCCCTCATTTTGCTTCACACATTTAAGAAACATTACAAGAATGTAAACACATGGTAATTGTTGTAGTTGATGAGCGTTGGTGTTGATTGGATTGATTAGTTGTTATATACCATCTGTGTAATCAGTTTGCACTGCTTACAAAAAGACTTGAACAGGGAGATGTTTCTACTTGTAGCTGAGAAGGGAGGGAATGCGTCTCTTCATCGTATGGTACCAAATCCTGCAGGGCAATGCTTCCGACGAATGCCATCGCATCTTCCTGCAGCTGGTGCCAGACATCGGAGACGGTGTTCACCAGGACATCCTCAACAACAAGGTGCCCCAACCCCCAGACAGTAAGTGTGATGGTGCTGTAATTGGCACTAGTCCTATAGTCCTTGCCAAACTACCCAACAGTTAAGGTATCATAAGGGACTAGTAGCAATTTGCCATTATCAGGGTTTTGCTATGTGTTATCATAATAAGGACTAGTGGACGAACACAGTTAGTTTCTATGGCTACAGCGGGTGGTGGCTAGATCAGTAGTATACCGTGTATACAATACAGGGTGCAAATTAGTTGTGTGGTGAAATGTTTCTAAATGTTGAATTACACTGTCATCATACAGCTATTGATGTTGTGTAATTGCACCATACAAGGAGTTCCATTGGTTGGCTTGTTGCTGTGCTAATGAGGGGTGAGATATGCCACTTTGTATACAGAGTTGGTCAATATCGGTAGCTCTGATTGTGTTTGTGGCAAACATGGTATTGGGAATGATAACTGGGTTTGATTTATCTCAATCAAGTGAACAGCAGAACATGTGTGAGGATGTTTAACAAGCTTTTTGAAAGTTGAGATTATCTTTGTTCATTAAGTCTCTCACAACATTGAGATAATTATTTTGAAATGTTTAATGAATGCATTGATTAATAATCATGGAGAACCAGATGGTTGTTATTATCAATGATGGTATTGACGTTTCTGTACCATCCCACCACTGGAAACTCAGGAGGTAGTCTTGACCATCACAGATTGTGTCCAGTAATATTCTGTTGTAAACAACCACAGGAAGGAATGGATTGTATTTACATTACTCTTTGTCACACAGTCATCATCTACTTTCTGTTTTCACTAGCTATGTAGTGTGCATGCATGCTGTTTTATGAGGTTACGTTGGAGGTATGACATGGTTTAAAAGTGGAATGAGTCATGACCCTTGATTTACACACAGGCATAGTGAATGGAATACAATGCTGACACTTATATGTAGGAGATTCCCCCATGACTGACAAGTCTTTTCTGTTGTAAAGAGAATTGGCAACAGCAGTTTCCAATATCGAGACAGACATAACTTTCATATTTACTTTTAACAGACATTTATTATCCTCAACTTTCCCTTCACAAATGTAGGAGATTTGTATCTGCATGCTTGGGTGGGATTGATGAAAATGATATATATTGGCAAGTAGATGGGGATGTATGCTTCTGTAACACCATGTTGTTACACCTAGGGAGCCTCCACTAGCTCAAAACAGCTAGACAGTATGAGCAAGTGGGGTTGAACGCCCTTTGAACAGTATTCTAGTTCTATCATGACATGTCGTCTTACTGTGGGAGTAAAGCCCGAAGTGATCTCAGACGCTTACCACTTCGGCGATACCCACGAGCACGGTTATGGTGCTGACAAACCTAGAACCACAACCGGGACATGCCCAAGGGAATCAACTCTGCATAAGAAATTGCAGTGCCTTGGGCCACCCGTGCACCCAGACAATATGAACATGGTAATAATTTTGAATGATATTCAATGGTATGTAATAGGACAATTTGATCGGAGGTTCCGATATGAAAGTATCGTCACTCAGTCCAGTTGCGTGAGCTGTGCTATAAGGAAATGAGTTATTGTGTGCTACATACAGCTCATGAACATGTCTGGCTTGTCACAGAAGCATGGTGTATGACGACACACTGTTTTCTGTCAATTTAGTTAATCACCAGTCTGGGTCCCTGAGGCCGCTGTGTAAGTCTGTTTTGCTTCACTGCAATGTGCCACTGCATGAGAAAGGGTTCTTGCAGAGTATCACACATATACCACGTACTGACATTTGCATGTTTTGTGTATTTTTTAATACTGCCATAAAGAATTAAAGTTTGGATGTCTTTTCAAAGTCAATAGCATATTATCAAGCAATATTGATATAATCTCTGTATGCTGATGAAAAACTGAATCATCATTCCTTAGATCTTGATAAGATCATGTCTTTACTACTCAAAATATGATAGGGAAGTTCCTGTTATCATCGTTGTCCTATGATTATCCTACTGAACTGATGACTTTGATATGTAACAAGTAGCGATCTCAGTATGAACAGTATATATTATGAAATAGTATGCTTTATTTCCACTGTAATAAGTGACATTATGCTACAATTTGACCAATGAAACTTTTCTGGAGAAAGCAATATTCATTGCTGTTATGTGGTAATATCTTGCAGCTTCTCCCCTGTACTGATGCACCAGCCATCATAGCTGTGCAGTGTGTTGCTCGTGGTTGTTAGTTTTGAGCATGTTGAGTCTAACCATCGTTAAACATTTACTGAGGGTAAATAGTGAAGACAAGTGTAGACATCTTTTTCGTGTGTTCCAGCACTGTAGGAGCTACTTTAGACCTGTATCAAATAATCGTTAGATACTTGCCCAACTCCCACTAAACCTGCCTCCTAACCTCGTTTTATTGTGTCTTTGTTTTCACTGATTCATTAACTGAGTTTGAAGAAAATGTGTCGGCAAATAGGGTCTTTTTGTTTTTTCTTGAGTTAGTGTATAGCTAATGTTTAGTTTTTATCACGTTTATGTTATCCCCAAGTGTGGATCTTGATGATAAAGTTGTGTTGACAATAGTTCCTGTTCCTTCAGGCTCATAGTGAGGAAACAGTAGAGTCATTTTCAGGGAGAAGAGACCATCTCTTGGTTCATACACTTATACATCCCAAATTTATGAAATTCAGCTCTCTCTTTTTTTTTGATAAGTGTGGACAACATATGAAAATACAAGAGTTTTAGCCATAGTCCAAAGACAATTACCTTTCTGGGACCAAACAGTGCCACTGGACAAAGTTATGCTCCCATTCCATTTACCACGTACTTTGGCAAAACAATTCGGTAGTGTATTATAATGCTTGAAACCACCATTATTTTGTTTGTTAATGATTGGCGTCAATCAACATGATCAAACAGCCTGTCACATCACACATGCTTTTTTCCTGCAATGATCACGTCTACTTCAAAGCTTTGCAGCCAAGTTCCTCACAGCAATACCTCATTCCCCACACAACACCTGGGAGGTGTAATGAAGGTGTCATGCACTGTGATGGAGCTTGCTTTGAAACACTGCACACTGCTCATTTCCAGTTGAAGCTCAGCGTCAAGTGGAGCAAATCAACAAATGTTTACGTTATTAGATAATCCATGTTAAAGTTACACCCTTCTCCAAACTGCAAGGTGGTTATTATCGAAATAGATGCATCAATGACACAGTGAACACTCTAGAATGAACACTGACGAGGAGATGGTATTATTGGCTCAGTTAGGAAAGTATTTGGATGTGGATCCAGCCATTGCCTAGACCAGCTGGTGTAAGTTGAAACCCTAATAGCATTATTGATTCATTTGTCTGCACATGACCAGATTTAAATGAGTTTATTGAACTCTCACAATTATGATACATCATTACAAATAAACACCATTCAGACACTTTGTTGATTTTGTGTTGCACAAATTTTTCGTAACATTTTCTTTTACCTTCTATGGGATGACTCATTGTATTTAACTTCTTAAACTTTATCCTTGTGACAGACCAGTTTTAATAGTGATATTTATGAAAATTATCATCAAATATCCCTGTGTGTGCACTGACCTACTTCCAGTATCATGGCAGGTACCATGTGACCTTGTACAACCATGTGACCACAGCCCAGCTAAAAGTCAGTTAGCTTCTGTCACTCATTATATAATGAGTGGTCTGGACTGACGGAGCTCCCACCCTTCTTCGATTTTTTGGTACTTGTTAATAGGTCTTCAGACTTGTCTTGTATGTCCCGTGCTTGGTTTCCAAGGAACATTAGTACCATATGCATAGCTTTTCAAGTAACACAAAAAAAACATGCTGTTTCAGTCAATGTCCGACGACATCCACCGGCGTCTTGATGAAGTTCAGTTGATTGGTCGTTGCATAACGCGCCGTCTAAACGTCACTCACATAGTGTCAGTTTGAGATCTTTGGTCTCATCAGAGGCTGTTATGAGCCCGGGCAGTTCCTCGACTGGTTTCCTCAGCCTCAAGTCTGATTGTGTCTGAGACACATTCAACTATCACCGGCGTTATATCTGGTCCGCTTACCGCCACACCCAGTCCGGGGATGTGGGACTATTGTTGATGTCTAGAAGCTCTCGGGTGACGTTGGCTCTGGGCAGTTTGTTGCCGTCAACACCGAGGTTTGTATCCTGTATGGCCAACTCTCGGTCATCAACTGGGATGGTCCCAGGGGCAGTGCTCCCAACACAGGCGTCTGGGGAGCCAGCCTCCCAACTCACATCCCTTGCCATGAAACTCCGTTCTGAGTTTTGTACCTTTCTGGCTCAATGCCAGCCAGTTGATGATATGTATGGCTCCGCTAAGAACTATATGATCCCTGCTGGGTCATGGTTTGCTCATTATAACGAGGACGTCTCATGGCTCTTTGAAGTCACTGGTCCTCTCGCAGTAGCATGTGTCCCCGCTGTCAGAGAAGACTGTATGGGAGAAAGGGGATTATGCAATGAGTCTCCCCATTTGAATTTTATACGAAAATTGCTTGAAAAAATCAGCATTGATTTATAAGTATTTGAGGATACTTCTTTTCTTGGGTGCAACCCACCCAGCCTCCCCTCATTCATGTCTTGAGAACCTCTCATGGTTTACTTTTTGAGCCAGGTGACTTTTAGCCAGGGTGTGGCGACCGTGTTGCACGGGGTCACGTGGTACCTGCAATGATACTGTAGAAAAGTGCACACGCAGGGATATTTGATGATAATATCACTGTGTTTTTGTTTTTTTATTTATCTTTTTATTAATATCACTGTTAATACAGGTATGTCACAAGTGAATTAAACAAGTTGAATGCAATGAGCCACACCAGAGAAGAATTATCCTCAATTATTTATAAATCATTACTGATTTTCTTTAAATTTCAGGCAATGGGACATAAAGGCCCCTTTTATGATGTTATTAACATTTCTATGTCACAAACAGGATGGTCATCCCCATGTTAAACACCAATCAATGTATTGCATGTGCATAAAATGATATGCAGTTATTTTTATGTATCAAATTAATATTTTCCTGAATGAATAAAGACATGTAATAATTAATCAACAGGTTTGATGTTCCTACTAATGTCAGCATGAGTGTTCCCACCTTTGAAACCCACCTTTGATTCATCTGAATTTTTTAAAGAAATATAAGCTTTTTATGTATATATTCATTTGCATAAATGTGCTGTGTTATTGTGTGAGCAGCAGGAAGGATGCCTGAATTATGTACATTAATTAAAAACAGACATCAAAAATTGTACTGTTCCCAAAGAACCCTCTATCATGTGCCGAAGTCATCTTGATCCGGCTAGTAATCATGATCTACCTGTAAATTCTTTGTTAAGTAATTGTGAAAATGGAACTTTGATCTATTATTTGTAGCTAACTGAATAATACCAACATCATATGCTGAGCTATGTACCTTGCACACTATTTGTAAACAGAACTGCTACATGTTTACCTATCGGTCCTGCATACATGTACATGTATGTACTATACTACTCAAAAGAACTTACGGACAACCCATTGCTTTCATATTGCTAAAGTTATTCTGATGTGTTAGCATGCAAGGCCTCTATACTTACCATTTCACTTTCAGCCTGCAGTGGAGTGATAGCATCAGGGGAGGTAACTGCAATATTGCCTGGAACAGGTGAGAAGATGCCGGAGAATCTGACAAAGTATTTCCTTGATGCCCTGCTTACAGTCATGGTGTCCGAGGTGAGTACAAGGTCTCTGGGTCTCTTCAGACAGACATTTGTCTCTGTGGGTGTCGTGTTCAGTTGTAGCCTTCAACTGCTCCACCAGTCAGCCATGACTGACCTAGTTGCCATGTGTTCCAGGTGATCAAAATAGAGTGGATGAATAAGGACATGCGTGAGACCAGCTTCGTGTTCCTCTTTAATAAATTCAAGGACAGCTATCTACATTGGTTATTGCCGGAGTTTGAGATGAGGGACATCTACGAACCAGTATTAGGTGAGACACTGCATGTGTTTGTCAGTAGTCAGTTTACTATAGATGAATAGGATGAATGTCAAGTGAGGTGCAGGACACTCACAAAGATGTTTAGGTTTGCCCTATGGAATGTATGTGTGACACAAGAAGAATACTTTGATCGTTCTTCAAGCCCAGTAATTGTCAATTCACCATGAGCTAGGAATTAAACAGTTTTAATTCGCCTCCATCCTTTTCATTGAGATTTTTGCAATCCTGTTCAATTTCTGAATTATTGAATAACCCACAGTGGGTTAAGCATGTTAGTACGTTCAATTTGATTTATTATCCAGAGTACTTTAGTGAAAGGACATTTATCACTGGCTTTGTAAATCATACTTCATACCTCGTAACTGTGCCCTTCAGTCACCAGGAACCTATTTTAGCTGTGCTGTTACAATATTCACCCAGCCATTGGCACCTCAGTGCAAGGACTTTTAAACCCTGGACTTAGCATTGAGTCTTCTGGAACAAATTTTGAAATTATTGTTCTTTATCAGTGAGCATTTTCCCAAATGTGTAATTGATCATCAGTGCAAGTACATCAATTTCTTCTCTGAAAGACAATGACTAAAATTTGAACTTTAAAATTCTGTAAGCTTAGAAGCTGCAAACAAAGTTAAGATGGAATGTATAAACCTGTTTTTGCAGACCTACCTCGAGTGCGATCAGTCGCCGAGATGATGGCGAAGGATGAGCCTGTCAATGTCACAGAGTGTCGGGACTCGTTTATAAAGTGGTTGGCAAACTTTACCCTCTCCACCAAGAAACCAGACAACAATCTCGTCAAGTAAGGAACATCTATTCAACATTTACATTATTACGTTACAATTCCTTCACTACTGATGCCAGTTCATTAATGTTTGAAATGTGTCATCACCATGTATGAAGCATGTAACTGAAAATTACATCTCCTTATGAAAACATGTATTTGAAGACACCGTTGTGTGGGGGGGCAAGCCCCTTCCCTCTCTTATTTTAGCGAGGCGTTATATATATAGAGGTCATCACGTGAGTGTGTTTGGGGATGGAAATATCCTGTATTAGGAATAAACATTGTATTTAGCGAGCCTTGGCATTCTTCAATTCTGTGCTTGAAAATCGCTTTGCATCTCTCACAAATGTTACAGAAACAGTTTTCCTGGAATGTGGGCATTAATATTTATTACATCACATGGTAAGTGATGTGTCAGTCGGACAGTGACACTAGCCAATATAGTGCCAACTGAAATCTGTTTCTTATGCAGTGGTGAAACAAAATATACGCAAAACAACAATTGCCTACACAAATTGTTTTGATTTGCCTTTCTCGACAATCCACCGGTCTGTTAACTAGAGTAACTGCCCTTTGTCAAAGGGAAGCTACTCTAACCCTAGTCTATGAGACGCCACGGCCAGATATTGTTGACAGTCTGTCCTGTCATAACGTGAAGAAGTGCAGTCAGATGTTCACACAGCGACAAAACGAAACAAGGTAACAGTTCGAGCATATTTCAGCCTACTATTACATTTTGGAAAAGGTTACAAGCCACAGAGGTCTACAAGCACAGATATGGCTACTAATCCAACTTGGCTAGTGTCCTCGCAAGATTGTTTCGCAATTTATATCTCCAAAGTTGCCCAAACTTAAATAATGCCTTAGTTACATCACAGTTAGACACTGATTTTCAGTATATTAGACTTTCTTTTGATGATAATAACAATTATCCCAGTAGTTTCTCCAGATTACAGATGGTTAATTCTGACTCATTACCGAATGACAAAGGCGACGCCATGTTTGTTTATAAACACTGAAAGTAGTCCCTACTTGACCTTTGATATTTGCATCTCTATCCGTATATGAACCAAACGGATATCGTTTTTATCCGTTGACTTTATCTTGCCAAGAGACAACCAGTTATGTGATAAAAAGTAATGTCTGTGAAACTGGAAAACCGATACTAAGGAAGGAGTTAGTACACATATCTTCCCTGAATGGCTGAAGGTGTCTGGTGAGATGCATTCTTGCCAACACTAGTTCCCTAGGGATTGGGAGAGACTTCGAATTTCTGTTGTTGTCACTGTTTTACCTCTACTTGTTATTTTCTACTCCAGTATCTTTACTCTAGTTGTATGTCTTTCAGGGGGTTATCATGTTCAGCTCTGGCTGATGGTGGGACAGATGATGTGCCGGATTCATCAGAGGTCAAGGCCACCAACATGGAACCTATCCCCGGGAGCAATGCAAGCACATTGTCAGGTTCCAACTTCACTGAGAAGGACTCGGCAAACTCTAGTCAGTGCAGTGATGACCATAGTCTTTCAGAATACGAGATAGTACGCACGGTTCTCTACTCTACCCGGGAAAATGTCAATATTGTACATGAATGCTTCAGACAGGTGAGCTGTTTATGTCACGTACATCTTGATCGTGTTGATCTTTCAATGATTGATTATCTTCAAGGTTATATTATATCTCTGTAGCCATTATGATTCAGTAATAGATTGGAAGTAAATGCTTATTACCAATTATACAGATGTTTTCATGATCACACAGAAGGTGACTTGTCATAGATAGTCAGCTAATTCCATTTACATGATTTATAGAAAGAGGTCTTATTTTATCTTATCGTGACTCATACTATTTTTACCTTATCCTGCATTACATATTGCACATTGCTCTTACTAATGAAGTCCTAACTGGACATGAATGACGATCTAGTAGCGTCTTCAGTACCCAAAGGGAAGATGAAGAAAAACAACACAGAGTATCAACCACGTTCCTATGGTGTTTATAGAACAGACTGTTACGAACACACATACAGGTGGAACCCACCACCTACTGTGAGATTCAATCAATTAGTATCAATCAGGATAAAATAAGATATGTATTTTGTGGGGCAATAAAATCATTTATAAGATAAGCAATGAGTATGAGTCAGGATAAGTATAAATAATAGTTTTTATTTAGATAATAAAATGTAGTTATAAAGTAGGACCTTTGGCATTTACTTCTAGTAAATATCCAGAACAGATACTTCAGAATATAATAGATGATTTATAGGTTTAATCAACCAATTATTTTGTTATGTCTATTTATGATTGTCAAATTACATTGATATTATTCTCAATTTGAGAAGTGTTGGTTTTTGTGTGGATTGTGTTTTGGTCTTTAAACCGTTTGCCTGTTCAGGAATGTGAAGCAGGAATGTAAAGCAGGAAATAGGAAGTGTTTGTTTTGTGTTCCAGGCACTGCTGTTCTCATTCCGCCACGCTGCGGCTATGAGGAAGGTGATCACAGTGTACAAGGAATGGTTCCAGGTAGGCCCTTCTCTGTCACGCCCACCCATAGCATGCATGTTTAGTTGCATCGTTCTTACAGTTCCATGCATAGGAGGAGGAGGAGGTCACAGGCTTTGTGTAAGACATCATAAATAAGGAGGGAAATGAAAGTTGGCATGGTGCAATTTCATGAACGGGATTGGTTCAGATATCTTAAAACATTTTGTGGTGCTATTGTTTATTAATATCTTCTTTTACAAAACCCTGCGACTTTTCCATGCCTTCTGTGAGTGTATGTGTATCTTAGAACATTACTCTTTTCTTGAACAGCCATTTTTGTATGTTTTTGTAGCCGTTTAAAATTTTGAATTATAAGTGTCACATGATGTAAATTTTTAAATTGCTATAATCCTATTTTTCAAAAAGAATTGCAAGTCAAAGATGTTTTGTGTGATATTAAAACTAGTTTGCTACATACAGTCCTAAAGCTTGATGTCATAATGTAATAGATCGCATGACTATAACATGTATAAATTTACATACTCTAATATCTTAGCATGTCAGATATAAGAATTGTGTTGTCAGTGGCGATTAATAATTTCATCGAAACAAAATATCGTTAACCATTCCTATTTTACAAATTAAAATGTCTTCAGAATAATATCCTTCTGAAATACTAGTATTTTACTTTGTAACATAGAGGTTTGTTCATTGTTTGAGTTAGTTAGTTTTCATAAGACATTTTCTGCATTATCATGGGTTTCAATTGACTGGTTTGACACACCGTGATGATGCTGATGTGTCTGGACGTGATCCTTAGTGGAACATAGGGGAGATGTTGGAATGAAATGTATGTTTACAGTCTGTACCAATAAGGTTTTGAGTGTACTAGCCCGAACTTGGCAAAAGCATCATGTTCTGTGGATTTTGATGTTGCAAGACTTTTATTAGCTGAGCTTACTAGACTAAACAGAATTTTACTAGACTCAGGCTTCGGACAAGTGGCTAACGTCATTGACTATGTTCTTTCGAGAATGACCTATGTGTCGTTAGTATATACTTATCATATGTTCAAATGCACAGCATCGACCTCTGTGAAAATGACAATTGATCAAGGTGATACTTACGGGGGTTGGTTGGAAGTAAATTTCCAGAAGCCAAAACTTTAAACAACCCTTTCTATCTCCTTATGTTGGCAATTTATCAAGCGCTTATGGTGGATATGTTTTGCAAAGTTTAGGAAACCTTTCCTACCAGATCTCACTAATTGCTTCAAATTCTAGTTAATCAGTGGGACGGGATGGGCAGTGTTTGGTCAGTTCCATGTAAGGATCACTCCGACGTTGACTACTTCTTGCTACCATTGTGCATGCTGCATGCTGTTTTTGTTTGTTACTAGCATGTGGAGCAGCGTCCCATCTTCATGCAGGAGCCATGCTCGGAGGCGGGGCCGGCCCTCGACTCTCAGAGAAACACGCCCGAGTTTCACCATAGTAGTCTATCAGACATCGTCGAGGAGGATATCTCCTCAGATGTACGTATTCCGAAGGGAGATAATCATGTCAGGGATAGGATCAGTTACCTGTGACCTTAAACTTGAAATAAGGTGCTGCTGATCACTGCAACAGTGAAAGCTTCAGCGTAGTGAATTGCAATTTTGCCGCGACCAAAGGAAAAGAAACAATACATTGTCTGTTGTTATGTTTTGATAGAAAATCTCAGTGAACATTGTCAGAATTTTATGATGGAGAGTAAAGCTTTGTTCATTTTGAAGACGTGTCAATAAAATGTTGATTTATATATTATTTTGTCAACTCGGCATGAGTGATTGGGTCAGATACAATCAAAGTTTCTTTTTGTTTTATCTAACTGCATGTTTTGTATTCATCAGTTAGTTTAGAGTTACTCTGCTTTCCCATATTAACAGCTTTGATGATTATTTAGAGCAAGAATATTTGTTTCCTGTTTTTCATTATGGTGTTTTGTGACAGGTAATTAGTCGTTTCTGTACCTGATGACTTTGTCCTGATCATTTCAATCCTCTCATTGAACCAATTTAAGTGTATACATGGAGGATTATTTATCTTAAAAACATTGATCACAGTTAATGTTTTGTCACGTTATCTTGTTTTTGATGCCAAAAGAAATGTATTTTCTTATTCACATATCAAAACATGAAATATTTGTAACTATTTCATCTTAAGTGTGTAAATATTGTGACTGCTGGATGAGTGGTAGCATACACTGTCATCGGTGTGACTTTCCCCAGGATTCTCTAAGTGCAAGTGCATCGTCCAACCTTCGACAGTCATTCCTGACTGATGGTCTGGAGAAGCCGAAGTACATCCGCAATGCATCCTACCTGGGGGCGGTGCAGGACCTAGCCGACCAGGGGGAACAACAGCAGCTGGAGGTGCGCGCCGGGATGCAGAAGGTGCTGCAGGTCTTCATCACCAACGCTGCCAACATCTTCCTCCTGGACACTGACGACGACAGCTCACTGCAGGAACAGGTGCCCCCTCCCTCTCTATCATTGCTATATACAGAGACAGCTCACTGCAGGAAGTGGTGCCCCCTCCCTCTCTATCATTGCTATATACAGACAGCTCACTGCAGAAACTTATGCCACCTCCCTCTCTATCATTGCTATATACAGAGACAGCTCACTGCAGGAACAGGTGCCCCCTCCCTCTCTATCATTGCTATATACAGAGACAGCTCACTGCAGGAACTTATGCCACTTCCCTCTCTATCATTGCTATATACACAGACAGCTCACTGCAGGAACAGGTGCCCCCTCCCTCTCTATCATTGCTATATACAGAGACAGCTCACTGCAGGAAGTGGTGCCCCCTCCCTCTCTATCATTGCTATATACAGACAGCTCACTGCAGAAACTTATGCCACCTCCCTCTCTATCATTGCTATATACACAGACAGCTCACTGCAGGAACAGGTGCCCCCTCCCTCTCTATCATTGCTATATACAGAGACAGCTCACTGCAGGAACAGGTGCCCCCTCCCTCTCTATCATTGCTATATACACAGACAGCTCACTGCAGGAACAGGTGCCCCCTCCCTCTCTATCATTGCTATATACAGACAGCTCACTGCAGAAACTTATGCCACCTCCCTCTCTATCATTGCTATATACAGAGACAGGTGCCCCCTCCCTCTCTATCATTGCTATAAACAGACAGCTCACTGCAGGAACAGGTGCCCCCTCCCTCTCTATCATTGCTATAAACAGACAGCTCACTGCAGGAACTTATGCCACCTCCCTCTCTATCATTGCTATATACAGAGACAGCTCACTGCAGGAACAGGTGCCCCCTCCCTCTCTATCATTCCCTCCCTCTCTATCATTCCTATAAACAGACAGCTCACTGCAGGAACAGGTGCCCCCTCCCTCTCTATCATTGCCATAAACAGACAGCTCACTGCAGGAACAGGTGCCCCCTCCCTCTCTATCATTGCTATAAACAGACAGCTCACTGCAGGAACAGGTGCCCCCTCCCTCTCTATCATTGCTATAAACAAACAGCTCACTGCAGGAACTTATGCCACCTCCCTCTCTATCATTGCTATATACACAGACAGCTCACTGCAGGAACAGGTGCCCCCTCCCTCTCTATCATTGCTATAAACAGACAGCTCAATGCAGGAACAGGTGCCCCCTCCCTCTCTATCATTGCCATAAACAGACAGCTCACTGCAGGAACAGGTGCCCCCTCCCTCTCTATCATTGCTATAAACAGACAGCTCACTGCAGGAACAGGTGCCCCCTCCCATAAACAGACAGCTCACTGCAGGAACAGGTGCCCCCTCCCTCTCTATCATTGCTATAAACAGACAGCTCACTGCAGGAACAGGTGCCCCCTCCCTCTCTATCATTGCCATAAACAGACAGCTCACTGCAGGAACAGGTGCCCCCTCCCTCTCTATCATTGCTATAAACAGACAGCTCACTGCAGGAACAGGTGCCCGCTCCCATAAACAGACAGCTCACTGCAGGAACAGATGCCCCCTCCCTCTCTATCATTGCTATAAACAGACAGCTCACTGCAGGAACAGGTGCCCCCTCCCTCTCTATCATTGCTTTAAACAGACAGCTCACTGCAGGAACTTATGCCCCCTCCCTCTCTATCATTGCTATAAACAGATCTCTCACTGCAGGAACAGGCACCCTTTATTTTGTTTTCTGGACTATTTCCAACACATTCTTCACTAAATTGGTGACAAAGTAATGATAATGATTTTGCAAATTTATTTACAGCAATAATTTATTACTGATAGTGATTTTGTGAACATGACATATGAATCAGATCAAGTTATAGTTTCATTATTCAGAAGATGATGACCAAAACAATCCTGCCCAATGTAAAAAATATTAGATTGATTCATTGAATTTGAAGCAATCATCCCAATCTACAGAAGATTTATGCAGCATTCATTGACTCAGTTGGATTTGGTTGTCCAGCTTTCCAGAAGCAAAAGCATTGCTTTCATTTCACCTTTTGTTTCAGTTATGAACATACACACTATGCACTACATTTAAACACTCACTGAAATAGCATGTGGACAGATAGGTTTGCTACAAGTGGCCAATAATCTTCATGCTGTATGTTTCAGGTTGAGCTGTGTAAGCGTGTGCTCAACATCTACAGACATGTCGTCATGAACGTACAGCTGCACCAAAAAACCTGGTGGGTACTTGCTTAATGGTTGTGTCTCCTCTTGGCAGGATTCCTTTCTTGACTGATTTATTTCCACCCTGGACGATAGATCCCATGATGTAAAGTTGTCCTGTATTGACGGAGTGTCTCTGCTTCCAGGGAGCAGATACTGGTGGTGCTGCTGCGAGTCACTTCAGGCGTCCTCCAGTCCAAGCCCCCAACTGAGAGGTACAGGACTATTGGCGGGAGACTGGCTCAGCCCATCTTCCAGGTACGCCTTCATTCCAGAAACTTGGATATTCTTATGTTGACCATTATCTTAACTTTACATTACTGAGCAACTGTTGTGTTCCTGTTACACAGCTGTATCATTTGATGACAGTTTCATTTTAGTTGAACAGTAAGATAATAAGTTTATAGTTTGTATTTTGATGTACTGTGTCCAGTTGCACAAAGCAATCTTAGCTCTATGACATTCGTAACTCACATACCTTAACATCGACTTACGGCAGTCGTAGTGCTATGACAATTGTAACTCACTAACCTTAACATAGACTTACGAAAATCGTAACTCACATACTTTAACATAGACTTGCGACAGTCGTAGTGCTTCGGTCGCTTTGTGGAATGGTGCCATGGTGGTCATTTTGTTTGAATATTCCGCAGTAAAGATACAACAGTTTTCCACCACTGTTACTTATTATCTGTTAGGTTTGATGATGTTGAGGGTGAACTTCCAGAACGTGTGGCAGGTGATAAGGTATTACTGTTGCATGGTTGTGTCACCCGATATAAACTGACTTTGCCTCGATGTGACATAGAGATGTTTGTCATGTCGGCCGAGGGGTCAAACAGGTTAGCATTGATTAATTTGCTGCTTCACAATATGCTCCAGATTCATCCACTTGTGTGAAAAGTTAAAGGGGGTACTTGGGGTCTGAAAACTTTCGTATTTTATTCTTGGGACAACCTAAATTGTTATGAATAGCAATAGGTTTATGACATTAATCTTTGACTTTCATTGTTTATTTTTTAGTTTGAAAGAAAGTTGATGAATGTACTCACCGATAAGTTTGATCTGTTATGTCATGTTTTCCAATTCCATTTATCTGTATCACCTGTTTACAGACGCTGATCGTAACTTGGATCAAAGCAAACCTCAATGTTCTCATCAGCCCTGAACTATGGGATGTGTTTTTGGGAGTGCTGTCTTCACTGACATCATGGATGGAGCTTGTTAAGGAGTGGGCGGTATGTTCACTATCCCCTCTAAAGCTTTTTATGAAAATTTGCTCAAGGACAAGGTATGATTAAGGCCCTGATGGCCCCATTTTCAGGAAGCAGTTTTTTAATATTTGAACTGAGCAAATCTTTGGCCCAGGCTGATATTCTTTGGCGATGTAGACAAAGACAGTACGGCTGTATTGGAAAAGAATCATTTTTGGCCACAGACTTGCTCAGAGTTAGATTTTCTCTTGAAATTGGAATGTTCGGCCTTTTTTGCTTTTAGCCATTCTTAAGTACTTAAAGATGCCAGATGTCAAAACTTTGCAAGTGTAAGATAGACAATGGCTTGATGTCAACCATTTGATCATGTCGTGTAAATTTCATGGCATTACTGTAAAGTTTTCAAAAAGTATAAGATGACATTTCCAGCAGACCATGCAGGGCCCTTATCCTATTCATCCTCTCTTATTTGCAAGAAAGATTAATTTATAGTATAAAAGTGAGAATAGTTCAGGAATAGTATTCTTTCAAATGAACTATATTTAATGAACTTGGTCAATCCCCGTTGATGTGAAAAATAACTTGTTCACGGGGGACAGCCATAGCATATAGTGCTGGATTAGGGAGCCCTGTTATGTCAGTACCCAACAAATCCTAAGTAGAATCAGTTCCATGTGTGTTAGAATATGCAGAATCCCTATTAACAGTTGTGTAGTTTATGTAAATTCTGTTTGTCAGAAAACAATGGGGACACTCACACGAGTGTTAGCCCGGCAGGTGTACGGCCTTGACCTCCTTGACCTGCCGCTGGTTCGACTCAGCGAACAGAAAGAAAAGAGGAGGCGAGGACGATCTCAAGGTAGTAGGACAAGTAGATACCATTGATATACTCTACTCAAAACAAGTTGGGAACACCCACAATTGAAAGGCTGTGTATTGCAATACCCACCACCCCTGACAGATTAATTGTAGTCATATGAAAGAATCGGGTGTTCTTTAATTTCTTTTGAGTAGTGTTTGTTGAAGAATTTGCGGACATTGTATGTTTATGATTCTATAATCTGAGTTGATTCTTCTGGAGTTAAGATTTTAATCATATGAAGAGCAGTTTCACTTGTTGAATAGTCATGAAACATGAGTTACCTTCAGTGATCTGTTCAGATGGTGCCAAGGCCAAGGCTGCAGCTGACAAGAGTTTCTCCAAGGGCTGGAGTCGAGGTGATGGACAGGTGAACCTCCGAGGATCTACCAACAGTGCCAACTCAGACTCCAACTTTGACAGGGCCAAGAACAAGAGCGATGGTAACACCTTCATGTATTGCTTACAGTACAGTAAGGAGAGTTAGATTTGATCTGTATTTTATGAATTATCACTTGGTTAGTAAAATGCTGATAGCATTGGTGCATTGAACCAATGAGTTGCATTGTTGGAATAAAAATCCTTTGAATCATGTGATATACATACTTGGGTACCGTATTCACATGAGCAGTATTACTCACCAGTCATTTACAGCAAGAGTCACACCATCTCAGTTTCCACTTGGGATGTGATTGACTTGACTTTGCCTTCATGCAGGAGCTGGAGGGACTCGATCTCGGCCAGACTTCCACAAGCAGCGATCTCTTAGCGGGGAGCCATCTCCAGACCACTCCAGGTCGGGTTCCACAGCATCGGACAATCTGATTGTGCGCAGCAGCAGCGAGGGCAACATCGCTGACCCCAAGGAGCTGATCGAGAAGTTACGAGGTGCATAGTGACACAGTTCTGTCTGACGTCTTGTTGTGTGGTGTTTGCAACTGTGTTGTGAGGTCGTGTGCTCTTTACGGGGTGAATCAGAGGAATGGGGTATTGAGCTGTAACCTTAGGTCTGAATATGATGACAAATTCCTGTATTATTACCAGAAAAGTGGAGTTTTCAAGGATTGTAACCTTTCATGAATGATTGGTCATGTATTGACCTTGCAATCACAAGTCATTTACACATTCTTTCATGCATCAGTACAGAATGCCATGAGTGCTTGTATTTTTCTGCACAATGAATTTGAAATGTTACAATGATTTGACTTGGTTAAAGATTGTTTTGAAAACCTTCCTCTGTTTTGTTTAAACAGCTTTTTGTGGGGAGATGAAACCGTTACACAATTGATTTTTCTAACTTTTCTTTGTGTCTGTTTTGGATCCAAGCAATCGCTCAAACAGGCACCCAAGGTAGTGTGTTTTGTAACAAAGCATGAATGTCTCCATTTACTGGCATGTTTCAACTCATTTCTCTACAGTTGGCATGACATATTTTTCATCACATGGCTTACACTCGGTTCACATTTTTTGTCGACGAGTAGTTGGTGTAGGTGCTCAGATGTGTAGGCAGTTAAATCTGTATCCAGACTTACATGGTAGCACCACAAAGAGCATTACATAGGCAGTACAGATTTATTTTACAAATTGCGTTACGTATCTAGTTTTAATTTTTTTCTGTAATTTATTCTGTTTGATCAAAAATAAAAAACAATGTTAAATATTTTTCACCTTTTTGATGATCATCGTCACCTTAGAGTTCTGCTTGTATACACAGTATTCTTATCTGTCTCTTCAATAACGCTTTCTTTTTATGTCACCTTTTCAAATACACATTTTGTAAATACATACATGTATTTCTTTGTGAAAGAACCTAAATAATACAGAGTTATGAAATAACTCAGATTGGCAGTGTGATGATTGTTTTGTAATTGTAATCACAGTTTCACAATTATCAACATACGAAGGCCCCATGACCTTAGACATGTTAGAGAGAGTTGAAATATGACATGTTTCCAAAGCAAGATATTGAAATGGTTAGTGACTAACTGACTAGCATTTCTTCTCCTGTTTTTGTTCCTGCATGTGTTTGCCTGCCTGCCTGCCTGCTGTGTCTGACTGACGCCATCAGGAGCCAGCTTTACTAGTGAGTCTAGCAGGAAGTCCAGCATAACAGCATGTGCGGCCCCAGGTAATGGTGGGGGCGCAGACCCTATAGGTATGTCGTCAGACGAGGACAGATGGACACAGACACACCAGGGTTCATTGTCACTGTTTCTTAGCTTTGCTTCAGATTGCTGGGAGGGTTTTTTCATTATTGAGTAATATAAGTCTCCTTTGCCTATTTTGCCTATATCTGGCTCTTCAATTTCACTGGTAAGGGATCAGGTAACCCTTAAGTGTTCATATCAATCTGAAGCTTGTGGGGGCGGTCAGGTAGCCTAGTGGTTAAAGCGTTCGCTCGTCACACCGAAGACCCGGGTTCGATTCCCGACATGGGTACAATGTGTGAAGCCCATTTCTGGTGTCCCCCGCCGTGATATTGCTTGAATATTGCTAAAAGCGGCGTAAAATCATACTCACTCACTCACTCACTCACTCACTCACTCACTCACTCACTGAAGCTTGTGTATTCTGAAGTGGCATTAGGCCGGATTCAGTCGGTTCCTTTGGTTAAATAATCGTGCATTGTTTGTTTCAACTCCTGTGCACTTTATGAGCGAGTGAGTGAGTGAGGTTTTACAACGCTTTTAGCAATATTAAAGCAATATCACGGCAGGGGACACCACAAACGGGCTTCATACATTGTACCCATGTCGGGAATCGAACCAGGGTCCCCCTGTGCACTTTATGATAAGAAGATGATGTACAAGAAATATGTTGGTCCCCTCTACGGATTTATCTTTAATAATGACACAAAAATTAAAGCCTTAGCCTTAAGAGTAATATCATCAGTGATAAGACATACAGAGGTTTGTCTGACCTGTCTGTTCTCTGAGTGCAATATCTGTGTAGGAGGTGTCTAGCCTGTAGCTGCTCAATGTGATTGTGGTCGTCTTCACAGCAGTGAGGACAACAGCTGTAGTGTTAGGCCATCAGTTTCTTCCAGATCATGGTCCTACAAAAATGGGCGTGGCAGCACAAGGACCATAATTTACTTCTATTGAATGTCATATTAAGAAGATAATATTAACATGAGGTTTGAGTATTTTGTTTTCAATATCTCGTGCTGTTTTTTTTTTAAGAAGATAATGACATCTTGGTTATGGGGCTTCGGTTATCTGGGTTTTTTTAAACAGTGCAGGTTGCAGTGATAATAGTTACCATATATTGACCAATGTGAGTTTTATCTGCCAAGTCACAAACTTTGATGAATTCATGGAGGGAAAACAGCTTGTGTTTCTCAGCACAAGCCAAGTAACACTAGTATGTAGCCAAACTTTTGTGAAATAGGAAATTGTAACTCTCCTGTAGCTTACTTTTGACATTGACTGCTTCGAGCCATGTCATGTACCTGATGTTCTCTGTGAGACTCTGTTTACTTGTCTAGATTAATGGTTACATTCATCAGCAAGGAGCAGGAAGGAGGACCCCAGTGCATGTTGTTTGAAGCCTAGGATGTGCTAGAAATCAGTTTGTCACAGTTGTACTTTTGAAGGTTCACAGTATTAACAGTGACTTTAAATGCTTTTTATGATTCAGTCTCCCTTTCAGGAGCTTCGGCTGCCATAGAGGACCACGAGGTGGCAGACATCACAGCCACGTGTACAGCGGAACTAGCCAGTGTGGCCAGCGGCTTCAGCAACTTCAGTCAGGAGAACGGACACTCTGATCTCAGCGCCGATAGCATCAGTCTGGAGAAGTCGGACTCAGAGACAGTAGTGCGGCGTAAGTTTGCAACTTGTCACATCCGGTTGTTCATGTTGTACCTACATCTTGTTTCACACTAAGATTATATAGTGATAGATTATAGTGGTGGGATGATCGGTGGATCGCAATATTTTACTTCTCGATACAAGTATTGATCACAGTCCTACACAAAGTAGAAAATATTGATTCATACCTTAAAATGTTTGCTTTAACAAACTGTTACACCAAACTGTTACACCAAACACTAATTAGTAGTGAAAATTAGCTTTGAAAACGAAAATATTTTCATCCATTGCGCCATACTTGACACTGACAACTGTAAGCCTAGTTTGTTATTTGCAGGGTGATTCATATTACTGGGATGTTTTTTTTAGAGCAGATCGTGTAGCTGGAACAGGATTTGGTGAATCCTGTATGTAGCTGTCTATTCTTACAATATGTTGTATATGGTATGCTTTGTCACATCCAGCATCAAGAACACCCTCACCTGTGTCAGTGCGGTCCAAGTCTGGCTCTCGAACGCCATCACCTTCCGTGGAGTTGATCTCAGACAGCCAGCATAAAGACAGCCCCACACCTGACCGTGATAGTCTCCACATCGACATGGTGGCAGGACCTGAAGACACCTCCCTCAGTCGAGGTAACCAACACCTGACATGGCAACCTCTAGTTACACCTTGTTGTATACTGGTAACTTTGTCACTTTGAGATATAACCCTCTGCTGAACACCCACATCCACACCTACATCCACACCAACACCCACACCAACACCCAAGCCCACGCCCACGCCCACGCCCACGCCCACACACAAACTCCCAACACCCATCATCAACACACCCACACTTGCACCCACGCCCATGCCCATGCCCCCTCCCCCCACACACCCGCTACAAGTACAACGCCCACACAAACACTTGACACCCACACAAGCACTCACACAAGCACTCACACTCACACTCACACTCACACTCACACTTACACTCACACCCACTCCTACACAAAACACTGACACCCACACCTATTAATTCATGTTAAACCATGGTTAAACTCAGTAATTGTCATCTTTTTCATCAGTTTTGTATCAATTAATCTGTCAATGAAATAATAAGGAGGAGATTGACATGCCACATATTTATTTAGCCACTGGGACAACTTGTGTTTAGGATTTTTTGGTCAACGTTCAGTAGACCAGCTTATTTGTGAAGCCCTGGTACACTATGCTGTGTTTTGCCGGCTGTAGTAACATTGTCTTGGAATACTGCTGATGTGTCAGGAAGGAATTTGTTGAAATTCAGTTTGTGACTAAATTAAAAGGTGGCGTGGGTGTTGAAGAGTATAATGATAGACAGCATTCCTGTGTTGGTGACTGTCACCTGGTATCACCGTGTCCAAATTAACAAGACAATGCTGATGTACATGTGTCAATACACACTACCTCCGTGTTTCAGATTCCCTGAATGAGTTTAAGAGTGTGATGGCAGGTGGCGCTATGTCTGGCTGGATGCCAGATGTCGCAGTGGTGTTGTGGCGGAGGATGCTGGGATGCCTTGGGGATGTCAACCAGATACAGGACCCTGTTATACACGAATACGTCTTCGACTATCTATGTGATCTGGCCGAGACGCTCATAAGGGTGAGGCAGTCTTCTAACCATCTCGCAGTCATTACCATGGCACATTAGGTCCCCAGTACTCCTGCTTGTCACAGAAGCCACCTGCTGAGGCTGAGGCTGAGGCTGAGGATGTGTCATTGTACCCGACACTGTAGGTCATTGCTGGCACTGACTGACCCACATGGACTATTTGTAGGCGGCCTTGACATAGCTGGAATATTGCTACCTGTGAGATAAAACAAAGTTCACTCTCTTACACATAGTATCGCATGAGTACAATGAAGACCTTTGCCTTGTTTACGTCACAATATATACTTCCTCTCCTGATTGGTCTAATGTCAACATGATCAAAGCTGAACACATCTGACATGTCCAAGGTTAAGTTGGATTGTGGGAAATTTGTTGATAAACTAAGGGAGGTAACTCTGATAGTGTCCTGAATAGATACCAACATTGTTACTGTTACGTTGTGGGTTGAAAACAACGACGAATCTCCCAGCTGTGTGTCTATTTACAAGCTACTGCAACATTTAAAAAAATGTAAGGATCTGTTATGATGCAATCATTAACAGTATAAAGCATGTGTTTCTGAGTAGTATATGCTTCATAGGCCTCAAATGTAAATATACGGTCTTTTCTCATATTGCGATAGAGTAGTAGTATTGTTAACAGTAATTTTGTCAAAAATCATGAAAAAACTTTGATTATGATCATGATTCCGTAACAACTGGTTGTGACCCTGTGACAATGTTCTCGTCAGATGCGTGAAAACCTGGGTGTGACTCAGGACAATACCTCCTCCCCACCCCCGCCAGAGTTGATACCACCCCACCACATCTTCGCTACATGGTTGTTTGAGGTAAGTTGGGTGACACGCACTGGATGTCAGAGAGGGAAACCATCATTACCCCAGTAACCATGGTTTACTTCATGTAAAAGATGCGCTTCTCCAGCTTGGGCGATTAGAGTTCCATTCAGAAAGTTGATCTTGCTCGATTGTTTCCTGTATATCATCGTTATTCAGATGTATATCACATAAATATATCATGCCCAAAACATGCCAAAGCAAAGGATTACACCATAAAATCTCTCCTTAAGTATGTTGTAGTAGGGTCTATTTCAGTAGATCTGTACTTACTGTTACTGTGTAATCAATGTATAGTCGAACCTCAATGTATCGAACCCTGGTATCTCAAATGTATCAATATCCCGAACTTATATATTTGCTTGCTTTTCTCGCATTCGAGATGCAAACTCAAAGCTATGAATTAACAAGGTTGAGGTGAGAGTGGCACTTGTTGTTTTTGTGAAGTGGACAGGCTTAATAGTGATTGCTGCTATGCCTAATGAGGGACATGTACATGCTAAATAATTTGTCCCAATTGTTATTGATTTTTGCCGACGAAATACATTTCAATTAATCATTGCATAAACATGCTGGGCTCTTCATTCTTTGTGTATGCAATCGTATTGTGAGTATCTATAATACTGTTACTTGATCTGCCTGGATGTTCATGCCTCTTTGTCTGGAATACAATCCCACTAGGTTCTAGAATGTGGAGTTTGACTGTATTAACCACACGATGAGATTAGCCAAACCTGTTTTGCATATCATCCTGGCCATTGACATGAGTGTTCATTGCCTGTGTTTCAGTGCCTTACTCTGAACAACAAGTACAAGAAGGGCAAGTTGCTGGCCTATCAGCTGATCTGTCAGATGTTGGTCCGCCATCACGATGTGACGCCATCCCAGGAGATCTTGTCCCACTTCTACTATGTGCTGCACCACGGGCTGGTGGCTGTTGACCAGGTCAGTACCCCGCTCCCCCAACCTCCCCTCCCTCCCACGTAAGTCGGGTCACGCCGTGTTCCCCAGATTGCCTTGGTTGAAGAAAGGAAAGAAAGAAAAGGGTGAAATCTGATGTTAATTGTCCATTACCTGTAATATAAAGTTACATTTGTTATTTATTTATATGTTACAAGTCAGATTGTATTTGGTTGATTGTTTTAAGGTTTCTTTTCAGGATGTAATAAATGTGTTGGTACGAAATAGCGGACCCAAGTATTTTTCTCTTCCACTTCCCGGGAACCTACTGCTCATGATGGATTTTGTACATGCAGCAGGGACCATCATTTCAGCTGTTGATGTTAAAGCGGTGAGTTGTTCCCATGTGCATCTCCCTGTGCAGGTTCCGGCTTAGAATTGGGTGATGGGGTAGCCTAGTGGTTAAGGTGTTCGCTCGTCACACCGAGACCTGGTTTCGATTCTCCACATGGGTACAATGTGTGAAGTCCTTGTTGGTGTCCCCTGCCGTGATATTCCTTGAATATTGCTAAAAGCAGCGTAAAGCCAAATTTACACACTCACATCGTGTATACATTGGTCCCTAGCAACCTATGCTGGTTGTAAGAAGCGATCAAATGGATGTCCTCACACCCCGACGATGTGGATCGTTGCTCACAATATTGATCACTTAATTATCTGGTCCACACTTGATTATTTAGAGGCTGTTGTCATATAGCTCAAATATTGCTAAGTGTGGCTTTTAACAACAAACAAACATGTGCCCAACTGCTAGAACTGCAGCGACGTGTTCACAAAATAAGTGTCGTCAAGATGAATAGGTTGCCTGTACAGGGCATGTTATTGCAGCCTGTGTTTAAACACTGAAATCTTTGCAACACATGAAACACTGGGTGCACAGGTGTTTCAGTAGTCTTATGGTGCTACAGTCCATTGTGCAGGATTGTGTCCCTTACCTGATTAAGGCTTCAAATCCACGATTCACAGCCTGTCGGATCCCTAGACATAAATAAAGTAGTCCCAAGTATCCAAGGCTCTGATTAATTTAGAAAATGGCAAATCACAGATTTCATTATGAAGTATATATATCAATAATGTCCTAACATGACTGGTGTGAGGGGCAGTGGGGTAGCCTGGTGGTTAAAGTGTTTGCTCGTCATGTCAAATACCTGGGTTTGATTTCCCACATGGGTACAATGTGTGATGTCCGTTTATTGGTGTCCCCTCCATGATATTGCTAGAATATTGTTAAAAGCGGCGGAAAACCTCAATCATTACTGGTGTTTACGTCTCTGATTTTATTATGAAAAATGTATATTAGGACATTTCCTAACATTGTGGATCTGTGTGTACTTTCAGCCCCCACGTTCTGAGGCTGTGTCTGTGCTTGGTGCTCTGTTGTGCTTTCCTAATCATTTCCTGGAGTTGCCAGTTTTAAAGCCAAACTCTGTAGATATTTCTGTTTTAAAGTGTAATGAAATGAAGGTGAGTTCAAGACAAAAACCAAAACAGTTTCCATGAAGAATTCCACACTAAACAGATTACTCTTCAAAGCAACTTGCATTCTGAATTTGAATATTAAAACAACAAAAGATTCGGAAAAATATGATGAATAACAAAAGTGATTACACCATAGGAGGTGCAAGAAGTACAATGGTAAGAACAGTACATTGATATTTCACTTTCTCAAATACTTTATCATGTTCATGATACTACATACAGTAGTTTATTGTAGTCCTTTATTTATGAAACAATACATGCTGTGGAAAAAAATGAGATAAGTCATTTGCAATGTAGAAGTGTACAGCGCTTCCTTGTACCCTTAAAGTGAAGTTAAATGTTGGACTCAGAACTGTGCAGTAAACATAAAAACAAGAGGCAGCCAGACTGATAACTAATTGTAACTTTTATATATATATAAATAAATAAATAAATAAATAAATAAACAGGTCGTCTACCAGATCATAAGAACCTGAAATGAGAATAAAATGTTTAGTTATGCATTTATGTACACAACATAATGTCACTGAATTCATCCCTGTTACATAAGTGTGACACTTGGATATCTCGGGGATGCAAGTAACTTGTGTTGCTCTGTTTCAGGATACGGTTGTTAATTTATTGTTGAAGGCAGGAAAGAGAGAGCCAGCTGGTCTGGCCAGGTGAGGCCAGGTTTACTTTGAAACAGGATGTTGTATAGCTGCAGTATTATTGTTGTCACTTGTGTCAACCCTCATCACTCCATTTCACTGCAGGACAAAAATGTCCTACTTTTAAAATGTAGAACTATATACTGCTGTTTCATTTTAATTTTGATTTCACTACTGTTCTCATCAAGGAGCCGTTGTACAAAGTGATCTTAGAGCTAAGGTCATGGTGACTCCCATACCTTGAAATAGACTTATGACTGTCGTAGCGCCATGGTTGTTTTGTACAATGGCACCCAGAGATTTAGATTGATGTGAAATAACCAGTACCATGTTTCCGAACTATTAGGGAAATCATTTCGCTAAAAACTAAAGCAAAGTTTATCCACTTTCTCCAGATATCTCCGATCAGTAATGATATGTTGCTTGTGTTTCAGATGTATCGCTGTCAGTAGTGTTGGAATATACCTGTATGAGGAGCTCACCCACGGCACCCAGCACTCCAAGGTGAAGGAAGGAGTCCAGGTCCTGCTCACTGCGTTAAAGGTAACCCTGACTCCTCACCTGTTGTCTGCGGTTCAAGACTAACTATGCATCGTTTATCTATCATATCAAGTTCTGGCATAAGTCTGTGTCACAAACACAATTTCAGGCACACGTAGCACAGTGACAGGTGGGTCCTGTAGCATCTTTTTCATCCATACTTCGTGAGGTGGGTCTCTTCTTTAAGTACCTGTTTTTCAGGATCCATATGCACAAAGTGCTCTTAGCGCTAAAATGATCGTAACTCCCATACTTTAACATAGGTTTACAGTAGTCTTAGTGCTAAGGTTGCTTTGTGCAAGTGGGCCCTGATGTCATGTTAAAAAACATGTGGGTGGTAGACATTTTGGTATTATATGTGGTTTCATGCATAGGGTCCTGGAAAGTTAGGACTTAACTATACTATTCAGTCTGTGGACTACCTAGATAAATAACATTTTGATCTCTATGGGGAAACTACAATGAAACCTCTTCAACACGAAAACTCAATACAAATATTTTTTGACACTATGATCAAGCTAATATTGGTCCTTCAGTTTTCTCAAACTGCAGATAACTTTAACTATATTTGAAGAACAAAAATGTTTCATTGAAATATTTGCTTGTATTGGGACAGTTGTAAAAATAACAGGTCCACCCTTTCAATTTGCAAAACTTGGATTTACCGACAACTAATCACAATCCATTATCAAATGATTTTCCCATCCATGGGCAGAAATTGTTTTGATAAACAATGAGACCTTTAATTCTTTTATATAGCATCTAGAAGAAGACATGTTCAATGATGGAAATAAACTAAAAAAACCAAACAAGCCCACAAGCCCTGAAAAAGGTTACTAGTCATTTAAAATAAGAATACTTACAAATTCCAATCTTTAATGTGCCATAAATATATTCAGATATTAAGACTATTTTGAATATTTAGCGAGTGAATTCGGAAATTCTGTACATTATTCAGTACAAGAAAGCGAAAGACGAGAAAATTGTGCCAAATGTCTGGAGCAGCGATTTTACATAATCTGAGAGAATGATAGAGAATTTACAGCGTGTGTAAAAAAACTTACAGGCCCTACTGTCCAGTAGAATTATGATTTTATCAGCCTGAGGTAATTACCTTCGAGATTCGGACCTATGGATGAGTGTTAAGTTCCATCCCAGCATGTTGTTTCACAGAAAACAGGGTCGACTTTGCTGGGTGCTGTTTGCTGTACGTGTACTGTGACAGTAACGTGTGTGCATGATAGGCATTGTTGATACAGTGCTTTTCAAAGCATAAAGTGAATCTGAATCTGATACCTGTACTCTCCTGTTGAACTTTCAATTTATTTATTTCTCTCCAAGTTGATTTATGAATAAATAAGCTTTCATTTAAGTGTGTCATCAAAATGTGGCATGTAATGTTTTGTTGAAAGCTGATTGAACTGAATGATACTCTAATTTTCTGTAAATGGCCTCCTTACCAGCTATCATGGATGTATTTATTTGGCTTATTTTAAAAGTGTACACTTTTACAGTGGTTTATTGTTACTTTATCATAACTATGTATTTCTAAACGCAACTATACAGAAACTAGCCTCCTACAGTTGTGTCCCATGTATTGTGAACATTAAAGACACTGCAGTAATTTCTTCAGGAGTGTGACAAACCACACGTGTCAAAAGGCTACCATCAAAAGAGTGATGTGAATAGCAAGGTAACATCTCTCCTCCCCGTCCACGCTGCACCGACTCCGTGTCATTCATTGCATGACATCAACAGCACAGTCAAGCTTCTCCTTCTCTATAGCAATACCTGCACGCCAACAGTTACATTGTATACACAACTGTTTTGGTTCCAAGTTATGGAAGTAATTTGTTGATGAGTTAAGAGCCTGTGTTGTGTTATGAGTTGCGTGTGTCACTAGCAGTGTGTATGGGAGTTTAGGAGCTGAATGGTATTGTATTGTACACAACCCAGGGTCGAGGTTATGTACACGAACATCCAGTTCATTAAATCCAGCACACACACTCGCTTGTTGGTGACAAACGTACAAATTAATAATTATGAGTTCACAAGTTTCAAGACTTAATTTCGGAGAATTAATTTAATCAGACGTATTAAATCTGCCTTGTGACCGTCACAGGACTCCCAGTTGTGATGTGATAAGCACCTGACACGACATTAAGATTCCGTCATCTGATGTGTATGAGGTTTCTTACAAAATGATAGCTATATTCTTTGTAATTATAAATATCCTTTTGAATACCACACTATTTGACAGTGTGTGCCTTCGTTGGGTACGATAAGATCTTATGAATAAAGGCTCACGTGCTGACAGGGACTTGTGGAAATTTCTGAAATGTTCTTGTGCACACCCACCACCCAGCAATGCACCTACACTGTTGCAGAAGTAGTACACCAGAGAGTGAGTGTTGTGTCATGCCAGTTTGAAAAACTCCAGCAAACTACGGTGAATATAAACAGGAAATAATCCATGTCAGTTGGGTGTGATGACATAATTCTCATGGGTTGGTTCTTACAACAAACGTGATGTACCATAATCCCCAGGGGGTATTGTACAAGATGGCGAGAGATCTCTTGTTGTCTTCCCCTTCCATATGTAGAACTGTGGATCCAGAGTTTCAACATTCAAACATCACTTAGCCCCAGTAGAACACATACAATGGTACCTTGTCTGTCCACATGGTATATTTCAGACCAAAGGTTAATACATATTATCAGCTTACCCGACTGAAAGTCAAGTGAGCTTATGTCATGGCCTTTTTTGTCTGGCGTTTGTCATCCGGTGTCTGGTTTCCATGGTAAACATCTTCTCAGAACTGCTGGAACCAATGCGGCTTTAATTACATTAAGTAATACGTTACCACTGTTATACCGAGGCTGTTGTCTCCCACAACTGCTGCTATAGCGAAATCTACCACAGAGATCTCAATTACCTCATGCAGCACGTGCGTAGCCACCTAGCTGCCATGTGACACCCTTCACTCTTGTCTCCTTCGTCTGCTTAGCAAGACGTGTTTTCTCCTGCTGAAGCGTTCCTTGAAGATTTGGTGATATTTATTATAGTTTATTCTCTAATAAACTGTGCTTTTATGGGGCGTTGCGGTAGCTACGCTTGGTTATAAATTTCCCGCCAAACGGAAATTTTTTCCCGCCCTTTTTTCTATATACTTGCGGGGTTCGCGTATGCACGTTGTGTTTTACGTTTCCCCTGTTCTTGTATGTTTTGGGGGTTAACATAACTTATTTCTTTAATAAAAGTTATATGTGTATGTTATATGTTCACATTGCTCGTTTATTTTCTTGTGAAAATGTTCGTTTGTGAATCATTGTGGTGCGTGCGTTGTAACCATGTTTTGTTCTTTGTTTATAGCAAACAATCAATGTCTGACATGGATATGTCCCCAGTATCCACCCCCTCTACCCCTGCTCCTCGGAGTTATGGGGTGTGCAGAAAGTTTTTGTCGTCCCGGGATCCCCACGATCGTTGCCCGCGGTGCAGGGTTCCTTGCGGGGACACCCGGTGCATCCTGTGCGAAGGTCTGGGGCCTGCGGATTTTGAGCGGTACCGGCTGTACGTACAGTCCGTCTCCACCCCTGTGGTGGCCGGTTCGTCCGGTCGGGGTCCCCGTGCGGGTACCACCTCCTCGGCTGCGGCGGATCCCCTTGCGGCCCTCGGGCTGTCTGGGGATTCCGTCGCCGCATTGTTGTCGAAACTTGTGGATTCCAAGCTGGCGGCCTTATCGCAAGATAGGCCGCTGGCTGTTCCGTCCCCGGCCTCTTCGGTGGCCGCGGGGTCGGACGCGGGGTCCACCGGTAAAGCGGCGGATCTCTTGGCGGCCCGTGTGCTGTCCGGGGATTCCGTCGCTGCATTACTTGCATAACTTGTGGACTCCAAGCTGGCGGCCTTATCTCAGGATAGGCCGCTGGCTGTTCCGTCCCCGGCCACTTCGGTGGCCGCGGGGTCGGACGCGGGGTCCACCGGTACGGCGGCGGCTCCCGTGGTCACCGGTCCTTCCCCCGAACCGTTGCTCCCGCTATCGGTTTAGGACCGCGTGGCCATGGTTTATGACCTCTTTGAGGACATGCCCCGGCCGGTACCGCGGGGAATCCACGACTGTGGGTTCCTCCGAGGTATACGATGAGTCTTCCGACACGGCTTTCCCCGCATCAACCTTGCTGCGCGGTTTCAAGCCTTCCTTGGAGAACGCCTTCGCGGCGGCCTCCGGTCGGGGTCTCCCGTTGCCTCCGACGTCGTGGAGAAAGGGTTTATTCCCGGTACATGACCTTGCCTTTCCCGAGGCTGGTCCTACCGCAGAGGCCCATGTTGAGCGGTTGGGTGTCCGTGCCCCACCGGCTGCTACGGTAACGCAAGCTACCTTGCACCAGCTGGACGCCCTCGCTCGGCACTCCATGTCTCACGGAGACACTTACTTGGCTGCAGCGGCCCGTCTGGTCGAAGGTTCTCCCACGGACCGTGACCAGCGCATTTACAACTGCCTGCTCAGTTTAAATGCTTCCCTGGAGTACGTTGCCGAGGACTCTCGGCACACACTTGCTCTTGTTGGGTCCCTGCATAGGCGCCTGGGTGCCGCTCCTAACCGGAGCGCGCCCCAGGCTGCTGCGGCCGGTAGGTCTAAGGGGTCGGGTTCTTCTTCCTCTGGGAAGTAGCCCCGCCCTGAGGGCTCCGGTATGGGCAATCAGCTGCCCTTTCGCGGGAAGACGGGGAACTGGGGGAAGCCCAAGTCGTCGACGGACGGCAAGGGCCCCTCCAGGTGACTCTCATTGGAGGGGTTCGTATGCCGACAGCGCCAACTTCGGTTGGCCCTTAGGCGAACCCGAGTCACTTGGCCCTGGACAGTTGCGCCTGTCGCAACCTGTCAGGGCCCCCTCTCCTTCCCCAGTGGGAGCCAGACTCCAGACTTACTGGGAGAATTGGGAACAAGTGTTCGACGACCCGTGGGTGGTCAACACGATTCGGTACGGCTATCGGCTTGATCTCAAAGCGAATCCGCCGCTCACCGTTGCCCCGTTGGCAGGTTTCGATTCGGAAACCGATCTTCCCATCCTCGCCGATGCCATCGGCAGGTTGGTGGAGAAGGGGCAGTACGGGAGTTAGCTCTACCAGAAATAACACCGGGGTTTTACTCCAGGATATTTCTCGTTCCCAAGTAGGACAGTGCCGAACTCAGAATGATTCACACGTCCGCTCCCTGGCTGTTCACCCGGTTAACCACCCCCATAGTGGGGTTCCTCCACAGGAGGGGTGTCCGGTACTTCGCGTACCTGGACGACTCGCTAGTAGCAAATCGAATGACGGACACCCTGTCACGCCATCTCGATTTCGCACGTCGGCTCTTGGAGCAATTTGGGTGGATTATCAATCTCCCCAAGAGCGAGTTAACCCCTTCTCAGAACTTGCTGTTCATCGGAGGTCGGTTCAACACGGTGTCCCATCGCCTCTTTGTCCCCCCAGACCGGTGGCACAAAATTCAGGCGATGATTGCCAAAGTCTTAGCGGTGCAACAGACTGTTCACTTTTGGGAACAGCTGTTAGGGCTACTTGTATCAGCCCAGGACTGCACCGCACGGGGTCGTCTCCAACTCCGCCCGCTGCAACGGTTTTTAATCCAGTTGTTAGCAACGGAGGTGAACAGTGCGACCGTCGCCCTCCCGGATCGGCTCCGACCGCATCTGGAGTGGTGGACGGTCCCTTACATTGTCTTATCAGGAGTCTCTATGCGGCCCTACCGGGCCACGTTGACCCTGTATACAGACGCCTCTCTAGTGGGCTGGGGCGCCCATCTAGAGGGGGAGGTGAGCTCGGGGCTGTGGTGCTTAGACGAACTAGGTCTTCACATCACTTGTCTCGAGTTCAAGGCAGTGATCAACGCAGTCAATCACTGGAAGCATCGTCTCGTCGACGCCCGGCTCATGCTGGCGACCGACAACACGACGGTAGTGTCCTATGTGAACAAACTGGGGGGAACCCACAGTCACTCGCTACTCGATCTCACGTTCGAGTTTTACGCTCTGGTGGACAGTGTCCCGTGCCAGATACGCGCCCGTCACATCCCAGGTGTGCGGAACGTACTGGCCGATGCTCTATCGAGGCCTCAGGATCCGAGCCCCACAGAGTGGATGCTGAACCCAGTAGTGTTTCAGTGGCTGTGCGAACGTTTGGGTCGTCCGATGGTCGACCTGTTCGCAACGCGGTTCAACAATCAACTCCCGTTGTTTGTATCACCAGTCCCGGTCCCGAGGGCCATCGATCACGATGCTCTCGCGTTAGACTGGACGGGCTTGGTCGCTTATGCTTACCCGCCGACAGCGTTGATACCACACATTCTAAGCCGGCTCCGAGGAGTTCGCTGTCGAATGTTACTGATCGCGCCCATGTGGCCGAACAGATCGTGGTACCCCGACTTGCTGACCCAGGTCACGCAGTCGCCACTTCCACTGCCTGTGAGACCGGATCTTGATCCACCCTCACACCCGTCAGCTTCATCCAAACGCAGGGCAGTTCAATCTGCACGCGTGGATGTTGTCACCGAGCGTCTGAGGAGTAAAGTTTTTTCTCGCCGGGCGTCTCGGGCATACGTTAGTATGCATCGTGATTCTACCCAGAAGGTGTATAATGCACGTTGGGTTATTTTCACGAAGTGGTGTTGTAAACATCACATTCATTCGCCAGATAAGGTATCTGTGCAGGATATTGCTCGTTTCATGTCTCACTTGCGAGAGACCCGGAAACTCTCCGGGGGTTCCATTGCCAACTATGTCTCGTCCGTTGCTACGGTACGGGACGTTGCTATGGGTACCAGTCTCTCCAAAGAGCCGGTGATACGGGGTATTATCAAGGGTTTCAAACAGCACGATCTTAAGAAGGGCCGCCTTCGGGCACCGGCCTGGGATCTTTGGCTAGTGTTGCAATCACTTACGGAAGCTCCGTATGAACCCTTGCATAGTGCTTCGTTCCGGCATGTGACTTGGAAAACAGCATTTCTCCTCTCCTTTGCCACGGCGGCACGTGTATCCGAAATTCATGCACTCGATGTCGCCAAGGTACGATTCGATAGGGGTGACGAAGGAGCGGTCCGCCTGGGCCAGCTCATGGGCTTCGTCGCCAAGAATCAGAGAGTCGGGCAAACGGAGAGAGAATTCACTGTAAGATCACTCAAAGAAATCTTACATCCTGCTGATACTGAGGACAGAGCGCTGTGTCCGGTTAGGGCCCTTAAGTATTATCTTAAGGCTTCGAATGAACGTAGACAAGGGCGTGACCGTCTGTTCATATCGTGTAACCCTAATCGCACGGTTGACATACCTCGCAACTCGATTGCGTTGTGGCTTCGTTCTGTCATCAATCTGGCGTACCGGTCTCGGGGGTTACCGGTAGCGGGGTCAAACCTGCACGAGATCAGGGCGCTAGCGGCAACATTTGCCCTACACTCGAATATCTCTGTTCGCAGAATATTACGAGGTTGTTACTGGCGTTCTGACTCGGTTTTTGCCAATCATTACCTCAAACAGGTCGCTGATGCCGTCGTGGAGAGTGTGCACCGTCTTGGCCCGCGGATCGCGGCGCAAGCGGGCACCTAAGGGGTGTGCCCAGCGCAATTCCGAACTCCTCAGGCGTCTGACCTTGCACGGTGGTCAATCTGGGTCTACTCCAATGTTCCCACTGCCGTGGGTACAGGAGTTGGGGTCCCGCAAACCAGCGCACTCACACCACAGGTGAGGGCGGCTTTTTGTGTGCTTTGTCCTTATTTGTATTTTGACAATTATGTCTTTAATTGTCTGTCGTGTATCCCAACCTTGTGATGCATGCTTACAAATACTGGAATTAGGTCACGCGCCTAATGCATACTTTAAGTAGGCTTGCTCTGGGATATACGGTCTGAATGAAATTAATTTCCCTCTTTTCGACTGTTTAACCTGATCTAAGATTAAGCTCACGCGGATACAGTGTTCTCATCCGCTGCGGCGATGAAATACCTATCCAGTGGGGCCGTTTGGAGTCACCAATCGTTTTGGCAATGACGATTGAGCCTTACGGTATGCGCTTGACAGTGCTTTGGTATTCCTATAGGGTAACGCCTAGCTAGGTGCATGCGCATCGAGTGCTTCCGCCTTGGTGTTTACTTCCGCTGGTAGGAAGGAACGCTAGCAGTCAGGATTCGGGTTGTAGGTGCTCCCCACCGCCTACTGTGGTAGTCAGCCTCGGTATAACAGTGGTAACGTATTACTTAATGTAATTTGTAGAATTTTCCTATTCGGAATATTCTATAAGTAATACGTTACCACTGGGCTGCTGCCCGCCCGTCCGTCCCCCGAGCACTTGCTCTCGCAGGAGACAAGAGTGAAGGGTGTCACATGGCAGCTAGGTGGCTACGCACGTGCTGCATGAGGTAATTGAGATCTCTGTGGTAGATTTCGCTATAGCAGCAGTTGTGGGAGACAACAGCCTCGGTATAACAGTGGTAACGTATTACTTATAGAATATTCCGAATAGGAAAATTCTACAAACTTCACATGATTGTTCCCACTAATCATGACAGCCCAATTGCCTTTCTGAAAATGGCTTTCACAGCAGCCATATTGAAAAAAACAACTATTTATTGACATTACTCAGCCCTTGTGTGTTAAAAATGTAATGAAATTTGTTCGATATGTAGTTAGTTGTGGGACTCACCACACATGTACCCTTTTGGGCTAAATCGTAAAGTTTTTCCTTGATTTGTCCTTTGCATTTTAACTGGAAGCTAAAAATTACTCTGGCCCTCTACTCAACCATTTTGTTCAATTTGTCCAAATTGGAATGACATTTGGTATATGTGTTGTTTGTGTGGCTCACCACATACTTTCAAGTTTTGTGATGTTATGATTGTTTACCTTGTTTTGACCATGCTCTTAAATTCTCTTAAAATGCATATTTGGTTCTGAGGAAGCTGAACCTTGGCATCTATTTTTCTCATTATGATGTCATTATATTTAGTTCAAATAATTAGAGTTTAGTGTTTATGCAGAATATGTTTTGATATCAACACTGATGCAAACCTTTGCCTTTGTTGACATTTTAAACTTTTGACTGCATATCCAGGTGAGCTACACTGCCATGGCACTATTTTTTGTATATTGTTTTTTAGCCCCAGATGAGAGATGTCTTGTTTCTTAATGGAAACTTCAACGGATATAGATGGAATCAGAATAAAATAAATTTATGGACATGTACTCGGATCGAGTTCAATGAACAGACAAAATCAGTCTGTATTAACAAAGTCAAAGGTCTCATTGCAATAATTTCCACAATTCTTGGTTCATTAGGCTGCTCATGTTCCACACGTTGAGGTAGAGGTGGTAGTGTGGCACATGGACCTCCATGCCGTCGTGTCCAAGATGTCTTGTGTTGTAACTACGTGTAGATACATGGGTGTAGCTTGTGTACTGTGTCAGCATCTCCCAGCACTCGGTGCTTACTGTCATTGCATTCATTTTATTTATCAATCGATATCGAACCTTTCTCTACAAGACAATTATGTTGACTGTTTATGCTAACCTTATTATATATAATATTCAATTTTCTTCAGAAATTGTTCAGACTGTTTGCTCGGATGTGGCATTGCAATTATTTTTTTTCAGAGTTTATATAAATGTGTTGAACCATGTTAAACCATTTTCACAATATCAGCTTTGGCTAAGACCTGCCTCCTTTCATGCAGTCCTACCCCATGTAACTGACATGCCATGATATAACTGAAATATTGTTCAGGTTAAACTTGCGTGAAGACCGGGTTGCCAGATGATGTTTGCTGTATGTGAGACAGTAATGTGTGCATGATGATCAGCTGACTGTAAATAGGTCTTCAGCAACTCATGCTTGCCGTAAAAAACGACTATACTTGTCGTAAGAGGTGACAACGGGATCGGGTGGTCAAGCTCGCTAACTTGGTTGATGCATGTCATCATATCCCAATTGCGTAGATCGATACTTATGATGTCAATCACTAGATTGTCTGGTCCAGAGACTATTATTTTCAGACCGCCGTCATATAGCTGGAATATTGCTGATGCAGCGTTAAACAACAAACGAACAAAAACAAACAAAACAGCTGACTGTTAAAATGTGGTGTAAACCTGATTTTGATGTCTGGTTCGGCTTTTCTAATATTAGAGTCATGTTCCTGATGTGTGGGTGTGTCTTGTTTCAGTGTGGGTACAGGAAGGTGGCCAAAGTGGGCTCGGACATGCTGCTGTTGCTCTGTGATCACTGCGAGGTGTTGCTGACACACTACCCCTCACTACCAAGAACCATCGTGGAGGTACGTTGTATCAGGTGGCTCGCTGCCCTGTTTTGAAAGATCAACTACCACATGTTTAATTCTCAGTTTTTATCAGCCAGAAGTCATCAAATATGTTTATAGAATGTATATTCCTATCATTCCATGATGTATCAAACTTATTTCTTTAACTATGTTCATGTAAACATTAGAGCTGTAATGAATACCCTATGAGGTGAATATGATTTGTATTGTGAATATAGGGTAAAGAATACAAATAGAAATTCATCTTATTTGTTATATTCACTGAGGCAAATATGATTAGTATCGTGAATATTGGGTAACGAATACGAATATATAGTCACGAATACAATAACAAGTCAGCAGTTGATGTATCATTTGTTATATTCACTAGGGCTGCAACGAATACACTGAGGCGAATACGATTAGTATCGCGAATATTGGGTAACGAATACGAATATATAGTCACGAATACAATAACATGTCAGCAGTTAATGTATTATTTGTTATATTCACTAGGGCTGCAACGAATACACTGAGGCTAAATACGATTAGTATCGTGAATATTGGGTAACAAATACGAATATATAGTCACGAATACAATAACAAGTCAGCAGTTGATGTATTGTTTGTTACATTCAGTGAATTATTTGACATGTTTTGTTAATTATTAATATATTATACATTTATATACTGCACTTATCCAGTTACTAGTATCTGCTCAAATATGACGATGACCAGTGACGACAGTAGTGTCAAATCAAATATTATAAGAGTGTTGTCTTTGAAGAAATCTATGCATATAATATGTTCTTATGGATATTTTTAGGTACATGGTATGTAAATGCACATGATTGCATATTCATAAATATTCATGAATAGATACGGTTTGATTCACTGAATATGCAAGTGAATCGTAACAGCCCTAGTACACATGGTGAAATAGCTTGGTTCCTCTTGGTTTCAGTTTATTGCCCAGACCATCTCGTCCTTGCTACAAGCTCAAGAAACATCTAGTGTAGAGGAGGAGAAGCGAGTGAGTCCTTGACCATCCCTTGTATCTGTGTCACAACTCAACAAATGGCAATAGCATTGTTGGATCCACATAATGTACACAAGACATCAAAGATATTTTTCCACACATTCTATCAAAATTAACAAACTGATATGATAATGTGTTTTATCATATAATGGATAGATTGGTGCAATATATTCCAATCTGCGAAACTTGAAACACGATCCAATAAAATACAAATGAGGTCACCTCATGGGTACTACTTTTGATAGACTCCAGTGCCATGCATGAATACAATGTTTACTTGCTCAAAGTAATGCGTTTAGAGGTTGTTTTTTCGGTGTGTGGATGTTTCTGTACACGAACATTGATTTCAAATAATTTGGCACATAATTTTTGGGGTGGTTCACTCTGGTATTGTATTCATACGCATAGTATTGTATTCATAATTTTCTGAATTTACTCCAGTGAGTAAAATAGCATCTTAAAAATTGATTATTTAAGAATGATGTTATATGACAAAGAAATATTACCCTCGTGTTTCCACATTGTGAATACCATATGTCAGGATTAAAGAATTTGTATTATGCTGGCTAATTGCTCGCATAATACAATTTTTATTGCTAATATATGATATTTTATACACTTGGTTAATAAACTATTTATTGAAGTGGCAGTCTTGGTATATTAAGGGCCATTGTTGGTCCTGTTGTCTCTGTTGTTGCTGTGACCACAATTTCCTGTGCAGTGACATCTAAGCTGCCAGGATTTCCTGTTTTAGAGATCGAATCCCAGCATTACTTTTTTTATCACGTTTTGTCAGTCAGCACTGTACTTTCACTCATGGGTTTCACCAATAATTGTAAAAAGTTTCGACCTGGATTCCAACATAATGCCCCATGCTGTTACATATGGCGCCACTCATGACATGTTTGCTCTCTCCTGCTGTAGCTGATTGTGGCCATGATGTTCTGCATGGTGGAGTGGTGCCTGAAGATCCCCATGCAGCTGCTGATGGAGACCACGGATTCCGAGAGAAGCTGTATATACAAGGTGTTCAGGGTATGTCCTTGTGTTCACTAATCAGTCACTATCGTTATTCAGGGTCCAGTGGGTCCTGCAAAATGTATAAAGATTATGTGAACACGCTAAACTGAACTGCCTCATGTTAAGTAGGTTTTACGATTAAGGAGCACAGTGGAACAAATATCATTTTCAAACCGTATACCTCACCCTATATTTACACTAGCCACCAGAGTTGGTTTGGAAGGTCGGTGGTTCAATCCCCAGCCACATCATTTCCAAAAGACATTGAAAGATTGTACTTGTTACCCTGCCCGGCACTCGGCATTCAGAGGATAAAACAAGGACAAGTCGGCTCGGTCAGTATACTGTGTCTGAGCAGGGTGTCGATGTTAAATTGTCACGTGGTATCTCAGTTAGCCTGGGCCTAGTACAAGCAGCCATGTACACACATGTACACATCGATGCATGTTGCTATATGAGTGCAATAATCGTGAACACAACTTTAAACCCCATTTCGGGGGCACGGTTGACCCAGTCGTCTAAGGCTCCGCGATTCGCTGTGTAGAGTTGCGTCCCTTGGGCACGCCAGAAACCTATGATTGTGGGTTCGAATCCTGGTTTGCCCCAATTATGTTTCTAGGTTTGTCAGCACCTTACCCATGCTCCTGGGTTTCCTGAAGTGGTAAACATCTGAAACCTGCATTACTTCGGGCTTTCCTCCCACATTAGGTGACACGCCCCGATAGAACTGGAATACTGTTAAAAGCGGCGTTAAACCCAACTCACTCACTCACTTAAACCCCATTTCACCTCACCTCCTGTTTGACTCAGGTCCTCCACAGTGCGGTGACTGGCCACAGTGCGGCCTCCCTGTCCCGGACCAGTAAGTCCCTGGCCGACTTCATCCAGGACCTTGACATGGACAACATTACGGACAACCAGAGCACCAGCAGTGGCGGCTCGCCCAAGATGACATACGATGGCCCCACAGAACCAGTCACAGACCAGCCAAAGACCACAGACCCTCCAAGGAAACCTGAGACTGACATTGTCAAATTGGCAGCAAGAACGGTAAGGTTCATAAGAATGATAACACCAAATCTTGTTGAAATGGTTTAAAAACTTTGCTCATCTAAACAAAGACTGAAGTGATCTTGAGAACAGAAACTACATACCATCCACTAATGGTGTAAAATAATCAACAAGCAAGCCTGGTAGCTGCCTTGTGTACTGTACTTTTGCTGATGTTCCCGACTATCAGTGACTACACCTTGATTCCAGAAGATGACAATAATAACTAACTTGTTCTCATCGCGATATGACTGCAATATTGACGATGAGATGTAAAAGTTTAACTCACTCCAGATGATGACCCACCTCGTGAACCACCTGAACCACTTCCCCATGGGTTCGGGCGCCGCCCGCCTCAACTCCAACGTCCAGGAACACCATGACATACCCAACTACCTGGATGAGGAGTTGAAGCCAGACATCTTCTCTGCTCCCAATGTACAGGTAGAAACACATGCTTACTTAACGGCTGATTCTGAAACACAATTGGCTGTGTAGAGTTGCGCCCCTTTGCCTTGCCAGGATCAGTTTGTCATTGATTCGAAACCCAGATTTGCCTACGTGATCTTTAGCCTGAGAGTAACTCAAGCCTAAGCACTACATTTCCTGTATCCCTTTTCATATTTGGCCGACACATGATATAACAGAATTACTGTTCACGCACAACTTATTGCTATCTTCTAGTGTTTAATCCTGGTTAGAATAGGTCTCCAGCATACTATGCTGGTTGTAAGAGAGAAACAAATGGTGACTTGGTTGATTGAGTGTCATCATACTCTAATGATGTGCATCGTTGCTCACAATATAATCACAAACTCAATTATTTACAGGCTGTGGTCATAGAGCTGGAATGTTGCTCAACAACGGTACCACATCCTTGTGTGCATATTCTTGTGTATATAAGTATGATGTTCCCTGCGATGATCATGGTGTAGAATATGTACCCAGTATCCCTTGCATGACAGAAGAGATGGCTAAAGAGGATTGGGTGGTCCGACACAGCAACGTGGCTGATTGTGAGGATTGCAGGACATTGTCACATAGCTGGAATAGTGCTGATTCTGGTGATAGACAGTATTCACTTTATTCGCTTCATATTAACATTGTATTTGTTGGGAATTATTGTGATTCCTTTTGCCCTTCCGAAAGTGACACAGGTTTGATTATTTTGTTTCAGTTCTTTGTTGTGAACCACAGAGCTTTGATCTCATTTGTTGAACTCCCAGCAGTGGTAAGTCACCATCATTACCTCTTTGTCTTCAGCTTTACCAAAATATACTACTTGACATTTGTTAAGGGTATTGTGATTGTCCAGGGCCCACTTGCACAACGCGATCTTAGTGCTACGATAATTGTAAGCCTATGTTAAAATATGTGAGCTATGATCATCTTAGCGCTAAGATCGCTTTGTGCAAGTGGGCCGAGGTATTGACTGATTGCTTTGAGATGTTCAGCTACACAAGACTGTTATTGTTGACTGTTATTGATAACATCACCTCTCCCAGCCACTAGCCACACAAGATAGCTGTTGACTGTTATTGATAACATAACCTCTCCCAGCCACTAGCCACACAAGATAGCTGTTGACTGTTATTGATAACATAACCTCTCCAAGCCACTAGCCACACAAGACAGCTGTTGACTGTTATAGATAAAATAACTTCTCCCAGCCACTAGCCACACAAGATAGCTGTTGACTGTTATTGATAACATAACCTCTCCCAGCCACTAGCCACACAAGATAGCTGTTGACTGTTATTGATAACATAACCTCTCCCAGCCACTAGCCACACAAGATAGCTGTTGACTGTTATTGATAACATAACCTCTCCCAGCCACTAGCCACACAAGATAGCTGTTGACTGTTATTGATAACATAACTTCTCCCAGCCACTAGCCACACAAGACAGCTGTTGACTGTTATTGATAACATAACCTCTCCCAGCCACTAGCCACACAAGACAGCTGTTGACTGTTATTGATAACATAACCTCTCCCAGCCACTAGCCACACAAGACAGCTGTTGACTTTTATAGATAACATAACTTCTCCCAGCCACTAGCCACACAAGACAGCTGTTGACTGTTATTGATAACATAACCTCTCCCAGCCACTAGCCACACAAGATAGCTGTTGACTGTTATAGATAACATAACTTCTCCCAGCCACTAGCCACACAAGACAGCTGTTGACTGTTATTGATAACATAACCTCTCCCAGCCACTAGCCACACAAGATAGCTGTTGACTGTTATAGATAAATTAACCTCTCCCAGCCACTAGCCACACAAGATAGCTGTTGACTGTTATTGATAACATAACCTCTCCCAGCCACTAGCCACACAAGATAGCTGTTGACTGTTATTGATAACATAACCTCTCCCAGCCACCAGCCACACAAGACAGCTGTTGACTGTTATTGATAACATAACTTCTCCCAGCCACTAGCCACACAAGATAGCTGTTGACTGTTATTGATAACATAACTTCTCCCAGCCACTAGCCACACAAGATAGCTGTTGACTGTTATAGATAACATAACCTCTCCCAGCCACTAGCCACACAAGATAGCTGTTGACTGTTATAGATAACATAACCTCTCCCAGCCACTAGCCACACAAGATAGCTGTTGACTGTTATAGATAACATAACCTCTCCCAGCCACTAGCCACACAAGATAGCTGTTGACTGTTATTGATAACATAACCTCTCCCAGCCACTAGCCACACAAGATAGCTGTTGACTGTTATAGATAACATAACCTCTCCCAGCCACTAGCCACACAAGACAGCTGTTGACTGTTATTGATAACATAACCTCTCCCAGCCACTAGCCACACAAGATAGCTGTTGACTGTTATAGATAACATAACCTCTCCCAGCCACTAGCCACACAAGATAGCTGTTGACTGTTATTGATAACATAACCTCTCCCAGCCACTAGCCACACAAGATAGCTGTTGACTGTTATTGATAACATAACCTCTCCCAGCCACTAGCCACACAAGATAGCTGTTGACTGTTATTGATAACATAACCTCTCCCAGCCACTAGCCACACAAGATAGCTGTTGACTGTTATTGATAACATAACTTCTCCCAGCCACTAGCCACACAAGATAGCTGTTGACTGTTATTGATAACATAACCTCTCCCAGCCACTAGCCACACAAGATAGCTGTTGACTGTTATAGATAACATAACCTCTCCCAGCCACTAGCCACACAAGACAGCTGTTGACTGTTATTGATAACATAACCTCTCCCAGCCACTAGCCACACAAGATAGCTGTTGACTGTTATAGATAACATAACCTCTCCCAGCCACTAGCCACACAAGATAGCTGTTGACTGTTATTGATAACATAACCTCTCCAAGCCACTAGCCACACAAGATAGCTGTTGACTCTTATAGATAACATAACCTCTCTCAGCCACTAGCCACACAAGATAGCTGTTGACTGTTATAGATAACATAACCTCTCTCAGCCACTAGCCACACAAGATAGCTGTTGACTGTTATAGATAACATAACCTCTCCCAGCCACTACCCACACAAGATAGCTGTTAACTGTTATAGATAACACAACTCTTTCCAGTCGAGAGACACATAAAAAAGCTGTTTTCTGTAAAACAATTTGTAATATACACAATTTTTAGTAGGGGTGTTGATGAAGAGTACATATCGGTCTAGAAGTTGTTCAGGGGGCACTTATTGGAGCAGGGTGCTCTGTCAAGTGAATACGGTATGACAAGGACCCCTTGACCTGCATAGTTTGAACAGTGTAGGGTTGTGTTGTGTATGGACATTGTGATGGGTGACCTGCATGTTCTCCCTACCCTAGGATGCCCCAGGGGGCGGAGTGACAGCTGGTCTGTCCACGGCACGCACGGTGTGTCGGGTGGTGATCCGGGACCTGAGTGGCAAGTACTGCTGGGAGAGCTCAGTTCTGTACAGCCCTCCCTGGTGCAAGAAGGGCTCATCTCTACACAGTAAGTGGAGGCGCCATGTTCACTGTGTACAAGCAATCATTATGAAGCACCTGTGGGGTTAGGGATTAAGTATTGTCATGGATTAGAATTTGCATGTATGTGTTGGTGAACCAACCTTCTAGATACAACAGCACAAATATTCTAGCAAGATAAAGTTCCAGTTTTTTCAACTCAATGTATTGATCAGTATAGTAATTTGTATTTGAAGACATAATATTTTTGCAAATATTTTGACTCAACTCTCCCAGTACCTGTGAAAATGATGGGATATGTATCACAAATATAGGGCTTGGGGATTCATACTACAGTGTAACCCTGTTGATACTCATGGTCCAATTCCCAGGGAAATCATATGGATTAACCATTTCCTGATTAATGTAGCACTGTTATGGAGCAGTGTTAGTTGTAAGTAGTTAGACAGTCCTGGCTGTAGTGCTATGTATAAAATGATCGGTATATAAATTTTTCGTCGTTTTTTTTGGATGATGCGGATTATTCTGTTGTGGCTTCAGATGCTCAGACGCTGCTGACGATGACCACGGATATGGAACTGGAACCACTCATCATCCAGGAGGACTCTGACATCCATGTGCCCGAGGTCAGACCGAGACGTCCTCCCACTGACCTCCCTCATGCAGAAGACAATGGAAAGACAGAGGACTGTCTGGATGATGTGAGTCTTACTTTTCTTGACATCACAGAAATGCATTTGATTTGATTTGATTTGCAGTGCGTTTCCTTTAGTTTATGAATATTTTGTTTATTAACACATTAGTATATCATTGGCATCTCTATTGTTAGATTTAGTTAGAACTTGGATGGTTTCTTACTTGTTTTTTATATATCTTTTTACAATCTGTCATGACTTTTGGTTACGTGATGCTTTCAGCTTCTGCGGTATATTGGTCATACTAGTCCTGAGTGTTTGCTCCGACTGGGCAACCCTCTGAACATCTCGGCACCCATCCCAGAAGAACTTGGTGAGCAGGCCGAGACAATGATGACAGACATGGTGCTACAGCAGAAGATTGCCGAGTTGGAGTACTACCACAAACACAAGTTGGACATGAGGTGAGATGCCATGAGACAGGGAATTGGGGAATATGTGACGGAGGATTGGTTAGGTCTGTATGAAGATTTTGCTAGGGATGTGTGATGAGGTCTGATGTGGGTTTGGTTGGGTGTGTGATGTGGGTTTGGTTGGGTCTGTGATGAAGGTGTTGTTGGGGTCTGTGATGTGGGTTTGGTTAGGTGTCTGATGTGGGTTTGGTTGGGTGTGTGATGTGGGTTTGGTTGGGTCTACGATGTGAGTTTGGTTAGTGTCTGTGATGTGAGTTTGGTTAGTGTCTGTGTTGAGGGGTTGGTTGGGTCTGTGATGTGAGTTTGGTTGGGTCTGTGTTGATGGTATGGTTGGATCTGTGATGCAGATTTTGTTGGCAGTGTATATGATGGTGATCTCTAGGCTTTAGGAGTGAGGGAGTATGTATAGTATTAACAAACATATGTCTCAAACAAATTGATGACAAATGAGTGCTCCTGTATGATTGTCTGTTTGGGATATGTTTCTGTGCTGTGATCAACAGAGTTCCACTCCCTGGACTAGAAGGTGCTTGCAGAATGTGCATGAAACTAACAGAGAAACTGATCTGGTTTAGCATTTGAGACTACTTTTGGCTTGTGTCATGGTATCTCAAGACTTGATGATAATACGGCATGATGCATTACATAACAGGGTCGAATGGCATTACAGGTCATTTCAAGAGATATGATCCGTTACCTTAAACTACAGCAGACATTTGACATGTCAGGCATGTACTATAGATCTGCTCACTGTCTGTACATAGGTAGATCTGACACTGGTAACTTGGCTTGTCAAGCCTAAAACAATATGTAGTGGTGATGATTTTCTTGAACTTTATTGGAACTATTGCAATTAGGGACCAATAATTTCATAATCTGGGGTGGGGAGAGAGGTCTGAGATAAAAAAAATGAAATAAATTCTTCAAAAAGAAAAACCTTGAAAAATAAAAATTTGTCCGGAAGTTTTTCCAAGAAAGACAAATTGCTCATTGTCTGGTTCAGGGCAGCACACTGCTTCACGTTTAACTAAACACTACAACCCTACGGGATTGTCTGGTTCACCCAATCAGCACACTGTTTCACATTGCAGCATTAGAAAATGGCACAAGTCCTATAGTTCTTGCCAAACAGCCCAATAATTAAGGTATCATAAGTACCAGTAGAAATATGCCATTTTTAAGGGGTTTGCTATATGTTATCATTATCAGGACTAGTGGACGAAAACTGGTAGTTTCTATCGCTGCTTCAACTAGAAATTACAGCCCTACAGGATTGCCTGATTCACCTGATCAGCACACTGTTTCATATTAAACTAAAAAGACACCTGCCCACATTTTTTCAAATGTCAATGCCTTATGACTAATTGTTTTCACTTTTAATCTAATGTTAGTTTGACTTGAAGTTTATAGGACAACACCGATGTGATGTCAACTATGTATTGTACCGATGCACATGCTGCAGTTTACTCAGTCGGATAAAACTGATAACAGTGAACACAAATATGGACTATTGTACATGTATTTCAGTTGCAAATGCTGTTCGCTCACCACCAAAGATATGCTATATTAACCTTCGTACATACATTTCCAAAAATACTTTGAAAGATATCCTGTTGTAACCTTCGTACGTACAAGTAGACACAAGTCTTTTTAGGATATTCTATTTTAACCTTGGTACATGCATGTAGACACAGGTCTTTTTAGAGATCCTGTTTTAACATCAATACATATATTGGCACACAGATCTAATAAAGATATCCTGTTTTAACCTTGGTACATGCATGTAGACACAGGTCTGTTAAATATATCCTGTTTTAACCTTGGTACATACATGTAGACACAGATCTATTAAAGATATCCTGTTTTAACCTTGGTACATGCATGTAGACACAGGTCTGTTAAAGATATCCTGTTTTAACCTAGGTACATACATGTAGACACAGGTCTGTTAAAGATATCCTGTTTTAACCTTGGTACATGCGTTTCCATAGGCTACACAGTACCACTCCCCTCAGAAGTTAAATGTTGTTTTAACCATAGAATCCCCAACTCAAGTTGCACTGAAGCAGTAGTATTGTTGATTACACTGACTGCCTGCCTGGTCCATGAGTTTACTAACAGCACGATTGGTTGCTCTTGTTCAGGCGGCTGGAGACAGGACAGTAAGTGAAGTAGCCCCAGCCTCTCAATGTGTCTGTCAGCTTACAAAATCATGGAAACCTAAATTGCAGCATGGCTCATGGGCTTAAAGTAGTGGACATTGCTGTTAAACTACATAGCAAAACGTTTCTCTAGCTGATAAGGTTTAAGTGAAATCGTCTGTAGTTCTGGTGAGTATTAGCCTTGTATACTTACAACTTGTGTGTACTGTTTGAGACAAGCGTTGCAGGTAGTCCCGATGTACGGGTAGGTATCTGGGTTGCCCATGAGCCTTGCTGTGAGTTGTTGTGTTCACTTCTAATCTCTCACACACACTTCGCAGGAATGAAGGAATTGATGTGTCACATTTAATGCCCACATATATTTTAACCTACTAATTCTAAACACTTTTCCAATCCATTGCAAGACACATGTGAACTGTTTTCCATTATTTTGTGAGCCTACTTCATCGTAGGACCTTTGATATTTCTTCACATCTTTACAATTATTTTGAAATAGGAATTTTGAATATGACTAATTGTTCTAGGCAGTTTTAGTCTAATGTTTGGTGTTTTTGTACTAGATTTGTGACACGGACTATTTTTTATATAATGCACTCTATTTCATCAGCTTATGCACTGGTCATTACTTCTGTATAACGATGTGCTTAGTTCATTTTTCAACCATTTTTCAACCTTTCTGTTTATTTTTGTACATTTCTATTCAACACAACTATGACAAGTATTGTAATACCTCAGATGTTGTCATGTTTTGTGCCTTACCTTGGTTATGGTGAATGTGATAACAAGACATTGTCGTAATTCATTATAATTTGTTGTTGTATGTCATTGATTGTTTCAGAGTAAGCTGTACAGTCAGCTCTGAACTCATCATAACCAAAGTAGACACAATTTATGGATAACAACTTTGTTAATACTGCAAAGGCTACGTTTTGGTATAGATCCTTATACCGTTGTTAACGGCTACGTTTTGGTATAGATCCTTATACCGTTGTTAACGTTTAGGTTTAGATCCTTATACCGTTGTTAACGGTATAAGGATCTACACCTAAAGGTCGCCTTTTTAGTATTAAAGAAGTTGTTATCCATAAATTGTGACTACTTTGTCATCCGTCAACTTAGTAATGCCTATCAAGCATTTCATCATAACCAGCTAGCTATACAAGTCACTACTATTACACGGAATACAAGTTGTTTGTTATTACTGTTTGTTCTCTATGGCCAATTTTATTATATACACTGTATTAACTAATAATTATAAAAAGCAGAGAGCAATAGTTTTTATCTTGACTCTTCAAGTGAAGTTTTAATGTTTTAACAACTCTGACAAGTTAGAATGATTTTTGGACAGCCTACCAACATGTGAAAAGATTGTTCATGTGTATTTTCTGCTGAAATGTTGTGGTATGAGGTAGCAAGAGCTAACATGGTGTTGTCCTCCTCCCCCTCCTCAGCATGTTGGCCAAGCCACAGCTGCCAGCTGACATCCAGGACCCCGTCTCCCCCTTCCAGATGTGTCGCCTCGTCCTCAACCAGATGGGGCTACTGTCCTGGGAGAAGAGGTTTGTACATCTCAGCCCTTCCACAAAGTGCTCTTGTCACTGTCATAAGGCAAGACTTTTCTGATTGGTGGGTTAAAGGGTTTTGGGCCCAAAAATTCAAGTCAAAAGGTCAGAATATATTTATTTACCAAAAAATTCTATTTCAAGCATATATTTTCATTTCCTCGAAATGTTCAGTAGGCAGGAAATTGTGAAAACAAACAGGCAACAGGTTTTAGTTATAGTATTTTAAATAAGTTATGTATGTTGAAAAGTGGCAGCAAATGAGATTTTAGCATTGTACTTATTTCTGGTCAGCAGAATAAAAACTTTGTCAGATGCATGTTTAGTGGTATTAATCGTAGAACTGAGGTTAACTGGGTCGTTCTCGGCTTGAGTACTACAGATATGTACCCCAGATATGTTCTGAGTACATGTACCATGAAACATTTACTATAGTAATATGAAAGAATAGGGTGGTCCTTTCTCTTCTCCTACTGAAGTAGTGGATATGTTTCTCCAGATGTCACTTTGACCTGATGAAGAAAAGTGACAAGTTACTCCGGGAACTCAAGAACCTGGATAATCAGATGTGGTAAGTGTGATGAATGGTGGTGTCGTAAGGATAGGCCTTTTGATAGCTAGGACTGGCAGTAGTTGGAGTCTTTGGCAAGGATCGCATTCTATCACAACAATGTGAACACTTGTACATTATAGTAACACAACATTTCCAGACATGAGACACACAAGATAGTTGTTGACTGTTATGATACCATCTCTCTTCCCAGTCATGAGACACACAAGATAGTTGTTGACTGTTATGATACCATCTCTCTTCCCAGTCATGAGACACACAAGATAGTTGTTGACTGTTATGATACCATCTCTCTTCCCAGACATGAGACACACAAGATAGTTGTTGACTGTTATGATACCATCTCTCTTCCCAGTCATGAGACACACAAGATAGTTGTTGACTGTTATAACATCTCATTTCACAGTCGTGAGACACACAAAATAGTTGTTGACTGTTATGATACCATCTCTCTTCCCAGTCATGAGACACACAAGATAGTTGTTGACTGTTATGATAACATCTCATTTCACAGTCGTGAGACACACAAAATAGTTGTTGACTGTTATGATACCATCTCTCTTCCCAGTCATGAGACACACAAAATAGTTGTTGACTGTTATGATAACATCTCATTTCACAGTCGTGAGACACACAAAATAGTTGTTGACTGTTATGATCCCATCTCTCTTCACAGTCGTGAGACACACAAAATGGTTGTTGACTGTTATGATAACATCTCTCTTCACAGTCGTGAGACACACAAGATAGCTGTGATCTATGTGGCGGAGGGCCAGGAAGATAAGATATCCATCCTCTCAAACTCAGGTGCCAGCAAGGCATTCGAGGAGTTTGTAGCCGGCCTTGGATGGGAGGTAACCAAATCATATATAGAGTTTCAGCTTCTGGAAGAAGAATTTTAAAATTGCAAACAGAAATTTTGTAGAACTGTGGATTATTCTACATTTGAGTGTAATTAATCTACTGTTACGTGTCAAATATGTTCAGTGAGTTCAATAAGGATTTCATTGTGTGTGTACATAACATTACTAATGATAATGTGTGAACATTTCAATGCTTTGTGTGTATATTACCTCCATGTGTGTGTATCGATTCTACAATGCTTGTGTACAATACAGTGCTGACATTTCAGTGTTGTTATCCCCGCCACGAAGTGGAAGGGGGAAATAGGAATGGGTGCCGTCCGTCCGTCACATTTCATTTCTGGAGCAGATCTTGAAAACCGTACCTTATTTCTTCACCAAACTTGGCACAAAGATAGGTCTAGTCGTGAACTGGTGCCTTTTGATAGTTTGGGATTTTTGTAAAAATAATTTTTCGAGTTTCCATGGCACTGACTTTGACTTAGTTTCCGGAGCATATCTTGAAAAACGTACCATATTTCTTCACCAAACTTGGCACATAATGTCATCTTGCAGTATTGAATACATTTCCTTTCTTGTTGGTATGTTCTGCATTGCTTGTGTGTATGTTCCTCCAAAAGTGTCATGGACACGGTTGTTGCATTCACTGACTAACTTCATGCAGAAACACAAACTCATTACAAATATAACAGTGTAACTGATCTTCACTTGCTTAATAACAGTGTTAGAACCTACACCGAAACCATCGCTCCTAATTGTAATAAAGAAGTTGTTTGTCCATATGTCTCATCCTTACTCATTTCAAATACAGTTACATATTCTATCATAATCTGCAGATGGCAAAACAACACCAGTAATAACTTTTTTTAGTGCTGCAATTAGGCCATTTACAAAAAGGCCCAGTGAATATAGTTCACAGCAGCTAATGCATTGCACACAACTTGACATGTCATATTAGCGGGGGATATGAGTTTTCCATGCTTGTTTTGTTGTGGTTTCCGCTGTGTGTGTAAATGACAATGTTTGTGCGTGTGTCAGGTGGACCTGGAGACGCACCAGGGTTTCAGGGGTGGCTTGCAGGCCAACAAGACCACAGGGGACACAGCACCCTACTATGCAAACTCCACGTGTGAGGTGGTGTTCCATGTGTCCACTCGGATACCCTCCGGCAACGACGAGTCCAGACATATCAAGGTCAGACCCTTACAGCAGAACACCAAGTAGCCTTCTGAAGACAGAATACTGTCCTGAATCTCTTTACATGGCTCTGACTGACTGACAATACTAGACATTAGTTTTTTATGTCAAAGTAGACACAATTTATGCATCGAAACGTCGCCTTTACACTAAATAAAGTAGTTGCTATCCATAAATTGTGTCTACTTCGTCACCCGTCAACTTCTAAGTAATGCCTATCAACAATTCAAGTCTTTGATGTGTTTCTTAGAATTATGCCATTTCTGGAAAAGAAAGAACTTTGGCTTTCCTTGCTGAAAAGCTAGTGATAGTGCTGGTTCTGTGTTAACAAATATTTTCACTCTCACAAATGTGTGAAAATGTCAAGTATTTCTGTCCATATTCCCCAACATCAACCAATGAGTTACTGTTATTGTTCCATTTGTTCATTATTCCCTGCTGTGAGACAGTGTGATACAGTGTTGTGTCCCATGCAAAGTGGTGTGTGTACAATTGAATGTAATAGCCAGTAGGACAGCTTTGATATTGGCCGTTATTCTCAGTCTGGCTGTTGTTTTTCAGATGCGTCACTTAGGGAATGATGAGGTTCACATAATCTGGTCGGAGCATGTACGGGAGTACCGACGTGGCATTATTCCCACGGAGTTTGGGGATGTTATTATTGTGATATACCCCCTTCCTAATGGTCTGTACAGGATACAGATCAACAGGAAACAAGAGGTGGGACTCGGGATGTGTACACATTCCTTCAGTACTCTTATTCCTTGGCAGCACAGTTTTGTCTATTCAATAATGTTCAAAAGGAACAAACATGTGGAGATTTACAAGATCAGTTTCAAAATTTACAAGTTGCTATTTATGCCTTCTAGTTTAAGGCAGTCCATTTGTTTATGCTACTTGATATGTAGCTTGGATATTCTCTGCTAATAATGTTGTCCTAACTGAATTGAGTTTAGCTATGTTAGGTTTCTGTTAAAGATATTGGATGTAGTCCTGAATAAATCGGAAGTATTGGATATGATCCTGAATAAGGTCGGAAGTATTGGATGTGATCCTGAATATGGTGGGAAGTATTGGATGTGATCCTGAATAAGGTCGGAAGTATTGGATATGATCCTGAATAAGGTCGGAAGTATTGGATATGATCCTGAATAAGGTCGGAAGTATTAGATATGATCCTGAATAAGGTGGGAAGTATTGGATATGATCCTGAATAAGGTCGGAAGTATTGGATATGATCCTGAATAAGGTCGGAAGTATTGGATATGATCCTGAATATGGTGGGAAGTATTGGATGTGACCCTGAATAAGGTGGGAAGTATTGGATGTGATCATGAATAAGGTGGGAAGTATTAGATATGATCCTGAATAAGGTGGGAAGTATTGGTTATGATCCTGAATAAGGTGGGTAGTATGGGATGAAATCCTGAATAAGGTGTGAAGTATTAGATGTAGTCCTGAATGAGATGGGAAGTATTGGGTGTGATCCTGAATAAGGTGGGAAGTATTTGATGTAATCCTGAATAAGGTGTGAAGTATTAGATGTAGTCCTGAATGAGATGGGAAGAATTGGGTGTGATCCTGAATAAGGTGGGAAGTATTGGATGTAATCCTGAATAAGGTGGGAAGTATTAGATGTAGTCCTGAATGAGATGGGAAGTATTGGATATGATCCTTAATAAGGTGGGAAGTATTGGATGTAATCCTGAATAAGGTGTGAAGTATTAGATGTAGTCCTGAATGAGATGGGAAGTATTGGGTGAGACCCTGAATAAGGTGGGAAGTATTGGATGTAGTCCTGAATGAGATGGGAAGTATTGGATATGATCCTTAATAAGGTGGGAAGTATTGGATGTAATCCTGAATAAGGTGTGAAGTATTAGATGTAGTCCTGAATGAGATGGGAAGTATTGGGTGAGACCCTGAATAAGGTGGGAAGTATTGGATGTAATCCTGAATATAAGGTGGGAAGTATTGGATGTAATCCTGAATGAGATGGGAGGTATTGGGTGTGATCCTGATTAAGGTGGGAAGTATTGGATATGATCCTGAATAAGGTTGGGAGTATTAGATATGATCCTGAATAAGGTGGGGAGTATTAGATATGATCCTGAATAAGGTGGGGAGTATTGGATATGATCCTGAATAAGGTGGAAAGTTTTGGATCCTGAATGAGATGTCAAGTATTAGATATGATCCTAAATGAGTATTTGGTGTAAAGTTGCAGGTTGGCTACTTTGGACCTCTGTTTGATGGTGCAATAGTGGACCACATGGTCCTCCCAGGTCTAGTCCGAGCCACAGCAATCAACGCCAGTCGGGTCAAACGCTCACAACTGCCTTTCTTTCACTCATTGTATCCTTTCCTAGTCATTAGTCTAATGATTACATGGCTTGAATTGATAATATTAATGATTCTTACGAAACTTCTACCTCTATTACATCTCTGCCATAAATCCTGTCGAGACTGATTAATGAGTGATTTCGGTAATTCGTTGCAAATCAGGTGTGTCAAGAGTCAGAGTGCAAGACTGTCGGATTAACGGGTCTAAATAGCACTGATTTAATCGGTTCCCATCATTAGTGTTGGATAAAGCCGATTGTTGGATTAACATGTGTCAGATTAACGAGACTTGACTGTAATTCCTCACGTGTTGTAACCAAAAAGGCATCACGCTGAGCCCGAGTGGATGGGTTTGTTTCTGTGTAATGAAGGGAAATGGAAAGGTCACAATCACACCTTTGATTTCATAAAGAAAACAAAGCTTCTTTACCCTATCAGTATTATTTTGGTCGGGTTTAAAAATTGTACAGTGAAAGTTCAGGTCCATCAAATGTCAGAATGTTTACATGTTTTGTCTTAATTAAGTTTACAACAAATTTTTCCTCAGAGAAGAAACAATAATAATGGAAGTCTGATGCTTATATGCTATTGCACCTGTTGGGAGTCAGGGTCAGAATGGGCCACCAGTACTTCAAGCTCCATGTGAGAGCCTATATGCTATTTCTCCTTTTGGGAGTCAGGGTCAGAATGGGCCCCCAGTACTTCAAGCTCTGTGTGAGAGCCATGGAAAATGGGGGTCAGGCACTGTCAATCGTTGCTCATGCCTTTAATCACTGGTTTGCATCTGCTTTGATTATTATTACCTGCCACAGTGACAAAGCTGGAATACTAAATGTTAAACAGCATTCACTCACTCTTGCATAAATTGCTATGGACTCTGTAGGCAGGTGAGCTACACTCACTCACTCTTGCATAAGTGGCTATGGAGTCTGTAGGCAGGTGAGCTACAGTGCCAGGCGTCCACTGCAGTACATGCCTCCTTGACAGAAGTAAGTTATGAGGAACGTGCCAAGTGCCTTGAGACAATCATACAACAGCATACGGAACACAGCACATTCGAGGACTTCGCTGCCCATGTCTTTGCTCCAGTGCTGCCAAATAATGGAACAAGTGAGTTTCTTATGGCTCTGGATTGTCACCTTTTTGGGTGTTGTTCTACTTTTTCATAAATGCAGATATTTAAGGATACAAAGGTTTCACAGGTCCATTAACTGTGCTATATTTACCTGAATAACCCAGGCATTGGTGTTGGCATTATCAAATACAGAAGACCGATATGGAGTTACAGATACAAAATGTGTTGCCAATATTGTTTTAATTGTGTCCCCCACCGATCTCGACTGTGATGTTTTCTCAGCACATAGAAATGACTGAGCACCATTTCAAATGTCATAGAAAGCCATATATTTATCAGACACTGGAATTCACAAATAGAAAAGTCACTTATCAGAATCCACTGACACCTTCTTAAGGAACTGTTTACAATCAACCATGTCATTATGTCTCCCCCAGAATGGAGGGAGACATATTGTTTTTGGCACGGTTCCCGTCGGCGTCGGCGTCGGCGTCGGCGTCGGCGTTCCCACCGTTTCCGGACCATAACTCAGAAACCGTTTAATATTTTTTCGCGAAACTTTGTATACAGATTAACCCAGCACTGAAGTGGTGCCTTTTGCTATTTAGAGATTTTTGACATTTTTATTTCTTCTCGTTTCCATGGAGATAACTTAAACATAGACTCTGAATGGGGGTAAGCTTGGTTTCCGGACCATAACTCGGAAACCATTTAATATTTTTTCGCGAAACTTTGTATACACATTAACCCAGCACTGAAGTGGTGCCTTTTGCTATTTAGAGATTTTTGACATTTTTATTTTTTCTCGTTTCCATGGAGATAACTTGAACATAGACTCTGAATGGGGGTAAGCTTGGTTTCCGGACCATAACTCAGAAACCGTTTCATATTTTTTCGCGAAACTTTGTATATACATTAACCTAGCACTGAAGTGGTGCCTTTTGCTATTTAGAGATTTTTGACATTTTTATTTCTTCTCGTTTCCATGGAGATAAGTTAAACATAGACTCTGAATGGGGGTAAGCTTGGTTTCCGGACCATAACTCGGAAACCGTTTAATATTTTTTCGCAAAACTTTGTATACACATTAACCCAGCACTGAAGTGGTGCCTTTTGCTATTTAGAGATTTTTGACATTTTTATTTTTTCTCGTTTCCATGGAGATAAGTTGAACATAGACTCTGAATGGGGGTAAGCTTGGTTTCCGGACCATAACTCGGAAACCGTTTAATTTTTTTTCGCGAAACTTTGTATACACATTAACCCAGCACTGAAGTGGTGCCTTTTGCTATTTAGAGATTTTTGACATTTTTATTTTTTCTCGTTTTCATGGAGATAAGTTAAACATAGACTCTGAATGGGGGTAAGCTTGGTTTCCGGACCATAACTTGGAAACCGTTTAATATTTTTTCGCGAAACTTTGTATACACATTAACCCAGCACTGAAGTGGTGCCTTTTGCTATTTAGAGATTTTTGACATTTTTATTTTTTCTCGTTTCCATGGAGATAACTTGAACATAGACTCTGAATGGGGGTAAGCTTGGTTTCCGGACCATAACTCAGAAACCGTTTCATATTTTTTCGCGAAACTTTGTATATACATTAACCTAGCACTGAAGTGGTGCCTTTTGCTATTTAGAGATTTTTGACATTTTTATTTCTTCTCGTTTCCATGGAGATAAGTTAAACATAGACTCTGAATGGGGGTAAGCTTGGTTTCCGGACCATAACTCGGAAACCGTTTAATATTTTTTCGCAAAACTTTGTATACACATTAACCCAGCACTGAAGTGGTGCCTTTTGCTATTTAGAGATTTTTGACATTTTTATTTTTTCTCGTTTCCATGGAGATAAGTTGAACATAGACTCTGAATGGGGGTAAGCTTGGTTTCCGGACCATAACTCGGAAACCGTTTAATTTTTTTTCGCGAAACTTTGTATACACATTAACCCAGCACTGAAGTGGTGCCTTTTGCTATTTAGAGATTTTTGACATTTTTATTTTTTCTCGTTTTCATGGAGATAAGTTAAACATAGACTCTGAATGGGGGTAAGCTTGGTTTCCGGACCATAACTTGGAAACCGTTTAATATTTTTTCGCGAAACTTTGTATACACATTAACCCAGCACTGAAGTGGTGCCTTTTGCTATTTAGAGATTTTTGACATTTTTATTTTTTCTCGTCTCCATGGACATGATGGAGATAACTTGAACATAGGCTCTGAATTGGGGTAAGCTTTGTTTCCAGACGATAACTCAGAAACCGTTTGATATTTTTTCGCGAAACTTTGTATACACATTAACCCAGCACTGAAGTGGTGCCTTTTGCTATTTAGAGATTTTTGACATTTTTATTTTTTCTCGTTTCCATGGAGATAAGTTGAACATAGACTCTGAATTGGGGTAAGCTTGGTTTCCGGACCATAACTCAGAAACCGTTTCATATTTTTTCGCGAAACTTTGTATACACATTAACCCAGAACTGAAGTGGTGCCTTTTGCTATTTAGAGATTTTTGACATTTTTATTTCTTCTCGTTTCCATGGAGATAACTTGAACATAGACTCTGAATGGGGGTAAGCTTGGTTTCCGGACCATAACTCGGAAACCGTTTAATATTTTTTCGCGAAACTTTGTATACACATTAACCCAGCACTGAAGTGGTGCCCATTAGTTGTTTTAAATTTCTAGGAGTTCTATTTTTGTCGCTGTTATTTAGTAATGGAGGGTGGGAATGAAGAGATGGGGTTTAACGTGAAGTAAACGAATGAATGGGGGTTAGGGGAGTGGGGGGAGACATATGTTTTTACGAGTAAAAACACTTTCTAGTTTGACAATGTGTCAGATGACTTCCCCTTACCACATTATGTTTCTAGGTTTGTCAGCACCATATCCGTGCTCGTGGGTTTCACTGAAGTGGTAAACGTCTGAGACCTGCATCACTTCGGGCTTTTCCTCCCACATTAAGCTGACACGCCGTGATATAACTGGAATACTGTTAAAAGCGCCGTTAAAACAAACTCACTCACTCACTCACTCCCCTAACCACAGATCAATGCCATTGTGCCCCACAAGCAGTTGAGTCAAACTTGACGGCTTGAACTCAGCTTTTGTAATCCAAGTCGTTTTTTAGAATCTGCCTCCTTGTTGATGATGTTTTTCATTTGTTCATGTGATTAGCGAGAAAACTACAACTGTTCCTTAAGCGTCCGAAAACCCATAACACGGATAATTGACTTATATTTTGCTGAGATAGATGAATGTACAATGGGGTGTGGGTGTCAAGGGAATAACTGCTCATTCACTGTTCAATACTGGTAAGGCTTTTCTCATGTATTAAGGTGAAGTGAATCTTCTGCAACTGATTCGTTGTTGTCTGGTTTCAGTTTTGGATACCCAAATTCCATCAGAGACCAGCAACACGAGCCTGAGTGAACTGACGAGTCCCGAGCCATCAGTATCTATGGGCCAGGTGTCGCCTACAGGGATGAAACACAGCCGAGGTAGGAAGGCACAGTCTGCCCTCTGGCAGAAGGGAATAGATAACCTCATATTCTTATAGCTACTTAGTTAACAGCAACACTCGCCATCCAGTTTCTCTGAGGTGTACCAGCCATGTAGCAGCTACACCGACTCGGGAACGTCATGCAGCTATCTAGCAAACACACCTACATCATGGAGACGGAGACGGAGGAGGACTCTGGCATCCTCTGCTTTAAAACTGTAAGGGTAGTCAGCATTGCCCTATAATTGCCACTACTTTTTGCCATCTAAACCAGAGGTACCAATGATGACTTGTCTACCTAAATGGATGACATTTTCCATACACATTGTTTCACTATGCAGACATGGAAACATGTTTTAGAAGACAATTATCTTGATACCTCGTGGTGTGAGCAGCCCTGATGTGCTGGTGGTGTTCTGTATGCCTGGAGACTGTGAGAAGCAGAGCAGCTTGAAGAGGATTGGCTTCAAGGGGAGCAGCTTGAAGTGAACAGGCATGCAGAGAAGTGGCTTCAAGGGGAGGCAGCTATCTTGACAGTCTAGGTTTTCTACAGAAATATGTGAATATTTGCCCTGAATCAGTGTAAACTGTAGACAATAAGACATCATCAGAAAGACCTTACTTTGTTTCTACCAGTAATATGAGGAGGACGTTTTGCCCTATACTGTCCACAACTCTTTAAGTAACACAAGTTCCTCATTTTAATTTTGAAGGAGTCTGTACAATACATTTCTACTTGTACTAAGGCTGTAATAATTCACCATTAAGATACCATGCTCCGTCTTGAAGAGAAAATTATTCATTGACACAAGAAGTATGAGTAATTTTAAACTTACTTGCCAATAAATTGTCAGCGGCTATTACAGAATCTGTATGTTATAACTCATTGTCTCATGGGTAAAAGCAGCATTAATTTTCTGACTTGTCAGGGTAACTTTAACTTATTTTTTACCATTGGAACTATACTTTGAGTTCAAGACAACCAGGAATTTGTCTCATCCAGTTCAAAACATCTGGGCTAAGATAAGGATAAATATAGTAAGCGTTTGCCAGTTGAACACCAAAGAAAATGGCACAACAGGTAGAGGTGGACAGATAATTTAAACAGAATTGAACATAATTCATTTTTCTGTATTAGACTTTGTTCACTGATCTTAGCCCCATCTGAAATATACATGTATTTTATCATGACAATGGGCATTATAATGAAATGAGAAATGAAATGACAAAAATGGTTAGAAGAATTTTTTCATTGAAAACAATCAAGTAACATAGGTAGCTCTCCAAACGATTGAAAAGTTGCTGATGCAGCATTATGTGCAATATTCATTTCTTCATCCATCCATCCATCCATCCATCCACATACGGCATTTAAAGAATATAATCAATTTGTTTACAGGAGCAAAATGGCATACAAGTGAAGATTTATCAAACCTTTATACTTAATTACTTCTGGGATGATCGTTGACAAGAAATATCTAATAGGTCTTCAGCAACTCATGCTTGCCATGAAAAGGCGACTGCTGGTTGTAAGAGACGACTAACGGGATCTGGTGGTCAGGCTCACTGACTTGGTTGATGCATGTCATCATATCCCAATTGTGTGAATCGATGCTCATGATGTCAATCAATTGATTATCTGGTCCAGACTTGATTATTTATGGACCGCCGTCATATAGCTGGAATATTGCTGAGTGCGGCGTTAAACAACAACAAACAAACTATTCTGCGGACTTGAAATCGGAAGAGTAAAATGTTGACATGCACTTTGACATAAATTTTGTTTTTGAAATAAGTTAACCCTGATTTCAACCACATAGACTATCATGAACATATTATTATCTTGTTCCAGTTGTGTTGCAGATCATGACAATAGTTTGTCACAGTTGCATGTCACATGTCAATCATTCTTGCCAATCATAGTCAAACTTTAAGAAATGACATTCCAGTCTCTCTATTTGTTTTTGAGGAAAGGATTAGGGGTATATTTGATCATTATGGAGGTGGTCAAGAAGGTCAATAAGCCACAACAAATTGTCAGTGTTCTGTTTTGTGGACATGGACTCCTCCAGATGATGCCTTGTTGCTTGAGGCTTTTCAATTCTCTGTGCAGAGTTGTGTCCCTTTTGTGTGCCAGAATACTACAATCGTAGGATTGAATCCTACATTCACCCTGATTATGATCTTTGGTTTGGCTGTACCCTATCTGTAATTTGTTGCACCCAAGTGGTAAATATAGAAGGGCTAAATGTCACTTCAGGCTTTCCTCAAACATTAATTTGACATGCTGTGATATAGCTAAAACAATGTTCAAAGTGGCAAACTCACAATTACAGGACCATTGTTTGTGTTTCTTACAGAGCTCTTGGTTTAAGGTTAAATTTATTTTCTGAAAAGTCACCTTATCCTCAAAACATGAAAACAGTGGATACCAGCAGTTTAGTTCTATAACGATTTTATTCTTTATTTTAAACATTTTCTAAAACAAACTTACAAGTTAGAAAATAGGTCAACTTGAATGAAAGAAAGAAATCAGTTTTAAGACAAGAACAAAAGATTTCAGGGTAATTCTTGAAAAGGACTCCATTTCAGAAAGAAAGAACAATCTAGCCAATAATGAGTGAACTTGAAATGAGTATTCCTTTGACAGACTTGTAGATATGTTACACTCACTGCTGAATATCCCCAGTAAACTGACTTGCAAAACAAGGCTAGCAGAAATAGAGATTAATGAATTGTTTATTTGTTGACCTGGACAAGAAAGTCATATTTGGTTTGTTTGGCCTAAGAGCCAATGATAGTTTTGGTTACTAGGGGTAGATCATTGGGACATATATTTCAGTGGTTGTGTTAAAAGTTGTGGATATCTTGATACGATAGACAATAATCATGACAGTATCATGTCAGATGTTCACTATGTTGTTACGGGGCACCCATCATTTGTTTATGCTGAATATTTGTGTTTATTTATCATTACTCCTGCCCAACATGTGACAGAAACCTCAGATGTTCTCAGTATGTTAACATACATCCCTACTACATAGACTACAGAGAGTACTAGGTTCCTATATTTTATCCAATATATGGTCCATTCACCCAACTCTGCAAAGATATTTTACAAGATGGATATTGTAGATTGCAACCCTGAAAGAATGGAAGTTATTCTGTTGTTTTGGTTTCAGACAAATACAATGGGTTTCATCCAGAGTTCATCTGTATTTGTTACTTATCTAGAGGACTAAGGTATTTCAGGACAGACTGCACCTGTGGAGACTTGGCTTTGAGTAGGTCCACAGCACTCTGTTGCTTGTAGTATGAGGCAGCTAAGTGGGTTCTGATGGTCAGTTGACGTGGTTGATAGTGTGTTATCGTACCCAAACAGTGTGATAAATCACTCATATCACCCACTGGTCTCTCTGGTGCAGATTCAATTGTTTACAGGCCATGTTGGCAGCATTGGCTTGAATATTGGTGAGTTTAAAACAACAAACAAAACAATTTAGTCAAACTGGAGATCGTTAGGGGTAGTGTCAGCCTAAAGTACGGAGACGGAACGGATCCATACATGACACAAATGGTTAAGGTACATTAATGGGACTGGAACTACAGGATCTTATGTAAAAAAAATGATGAAAGTTAGAGGAGGTGAAGTGTCCGCAATCATAAGATATCTTCAATGCCATCTATGCACTGTTAATTTTGTTATAGTTGTATTTTTGTTAATGATGCATTTATGAAATTAATCATTCAGTATAGAAATCATTCATATGTAGCTATAACACACACATCAAAATAACAAAACAAGTACGTCTAAGCTGATGTTCAGGTGAATCCTTATTGGAGGGGGTAACTTCAGGCTTCCGATAATTAGGAAGTAAACGTCTTACAAATGTCATGGTCACTTCAAGGCAAGGATGGATGTTAGGGTGTCCTTGTATATGTTATACAGGGTATGTGTTTCTCTGTCTCTGATATGAGGTGTACCATCATCCATCACCTGTTCTGAAGTTCCTCTGAGAACATCACCAAGACAGTGTGCGTGAATCAGTGTGAATGTGTCACAGCCAATGTGTGAATAGGCATATGTCTTGAGTTACATATCTTTACATTTTGTAACAGTTTGGTTGTAATCAACTCAATTCAAAATAATCTTTGCCTTGATGGTGCAGAGATACCTGGTCTATTTGAATGTATTTTAAGATTGTATGACTGTTAAAATACCAAACCTTATCTGTGATTTTGATTGTGAGATTTTATATCAATCATGTATTATAACATTAATCTTTGCACAGTGCTTATGTGGCTTTGTATCAATAATGGTTATTACTGGGATTTTTGTAAGAAAACAGTGATATAAAATAAAATATTCAATATGCAACAAATCTTGTTTGTTACCATTTAAGAACTGAGTTGGGTTCCTCCTAGCTTTAATCTTATTTTCCTGTCATTTACTATTTCTAATGCAGTATAAATTGGCAGTAGGGAAACTCTCTTTTGAATTGAAACTAGAAAAAGTGCTATTTGGCTATTAACTATCAGTGGGTATGTCATGCAGTTTCAGAACAAAAAATATTCACAGAAGACTTGCAAATTCACACACATTTTTAACTATAGCTGTCAATGTCATTTTGAAAATACTATCCTAGTCAAAGATTTCAAAGAGAATGAAACGAAAACAGTTTAGTACGAAGGCAGCTCTGTCACAACTAGGACTGGCCATAACAAAGTTTTTCCGTAGTGATGATAGTTGATACAAACTGTGACCTCGCTATGTTACAACTGCTGTATATCATTGATGCTGACTAGCGTTTATTGATTTGTAGCTCACCATCACCATACAGCGCCAGGTGCCATATTCTGGCCATCTGGTTTCCGACGACAACGCTCCAACAGCAATGACTTTGATACATTGTAGTCAGGAGGTAGTTTGTCCTAACTTGGCAAGTGTGGATGACGGGATGCTATTTACTGGCCTGAACTTGTCCCTAGCTAGACTTGGGTTGTCACTGTTTGATGAGTTGTTGTCGGTGTTGTGTCAGAAGTGCCAAAGTGGAGCTTTGTTTTGTTTCACAGACATTTTTATTTGTTGATATTGTCTTTCTTCCTTTTTGTAGTTGCTGCATCAGAGTGATGGTGGTTTAGATTGGGTTCTTGTGACCGTATACCACTTCTCCCACAGAACACAATGCCAGTCTATTATTGGATTCAGATAGTAACATGATTGGAGATTTACTAGTAACCATCTGTTGTTTTTGATCATCTGTTAATGGGACCAACAGCAAAAAACATTACAAGACAACAAACATTAAATGTCGGTTGTACAGTCTTTGAACTGTAATTACAGGATTTAATTATCAGTTAAGTTTGGCAAGTAATCATTCAACCAGCAGCGTTAGAAATTGGCACTAGTCCTGTAGTCCTTGCCAAACTGCTCAAAAGGTATCATAAGGACTAGTAGAAATTTGACATATTTAAGGGTTTTGCTATATGATATAATTATAAGGACTAGTGGACTAAAAATGTTAGTTTCTCCCTCTGACCTGTGGAATTGTTTCTAGGGAGAAGTGGTGTATTGTGGCTCTCCTGTTGCACCATTCAGGTTATCATGCTTACCGGTGTTTAACAACTGCTTATTAATTACATAGTATAACACTTTTACATCATTTTGGAATCATTTCATTTCTGGTGAACATACATGACAAACACTGTGTGAGTGATGCTTCTTCCAGGTTCTTGTTTTACTTTTACCATCCCACACATTCACTGAACTACTATGTTAAGAAACACAAAATATTTCAAGGCCTTTTTTGAAATTCTTGGACTCAAAAAGTGTTAGCATTAGATCCCCTGAATAGCTTCCCCAAGACACCACTATATAACCTCCATGCATGATGTAGTTAGTTGTCTTCCTAAGTTTGTTTTATTTGTTTTGTATTATTTTTGATGCAGGGATAGGTGTTCAGCCCTCAACATTACCGCGCGCTTCTTTATATAGTTCATGGATTCGTCATATTCCTCGGGTTGGGGATTTGTTCACATAGTGAGTCCTGGACAATTTCAAACTGTTCCATTCATTACTTAAGTCTGTGAACTCTATGAATTGTCTCTACTCTCATCAAAGTCTATGAGTTGCTTGCTGAAAGGAATGAACCTTCATCAGTGATGTCACTCTGCATTTGGGTCTGTGATTAAACAATGCTGTGGCAAGACCTTATCACAATTCACACAGAATGACAAAATGTTATGTCACATATTCTTGTCCAACTAACACCATTTGCAGTTTGAGTTTCGGGGGGATACCAGCTGACTATATGATATGTAGAAGTAATACCTTTTGTCCTACAACTCATCACGTGTAGTTTGAAGGGAAAACTTGAAACCATACAAAATGACAAATACAAAACGTTCTTCCATTTTGTGAAGAATGAGTCTTTAAGGTATAGAATTACAAATTGAGATAGTTCTTTTTACACTAATTTTGGGAAGAATGTATCTCTAAGGTATAAATTGTCATTCAAAGAACAGCCATTTGGATGATGCAGTTCACATATGGTGATGTTAATCCGTATTGACAAATGCAAGGTTTCTGCAAGTTTGTCAAATCAGAGGCACCATTGACTATCCAGTGTTTCATGTCTCCATTCAGTAGGATAAATACTTACTCTGGTACCCTCCACCACCATCGCTTCGTTTCCGAGGTCGTCATCTCCACCTCCTTCACCACCAACTTCGTGCACATTATTCTTCACTCATGAACTTGATTCAAACAACCAATGGAAAACACTTTTTTGACATGAGTTTGGCATAGAACCAATTTCAAATTTGCAGCCTTAGACGAGCCAGCTTTGAGGTACGAGGTTGATTGATATGTTCCAGGTCTCATATAGAAGGAATTGTGCAATAGTGAAATCTTTTGTGGTGCACTTTACAAGATGTCATTGATATATATCCACCAACATCTAAGTCGACAAGTTTGAGTGATCAGTGATCAAGGATATGAGTGATGATTGTTTCAATTAAAAGAAGTATAGTTGGTTTGGACTTGGAAATAAAGCAACAAAACCCTTTTCATATCCAATAGAAATCTCTGCATAAAGTAGAGTCGATTGAACAAATCCAACCCTATCATGAGCATCTGTTTATGAATCTCTATCAAATAGTAATGATACCAGGTGAACATATCCTGCCCCACCAGTGGCACCCATCACAAACACATGCAAAGGCAAGTCAACTGTTCACCTGAACAAAAACGAAGCTATAGAAGTGAATGGAGATATTGTACCCTGGATGGTTGGATGATGCATCAGAGGGTGCTAGTCACCATAATAGACCGGAGGTATCTGCCAATGTGCCTTATATCGGGGTGTTCATCAGTATTGACAAACACGTCACTGCAAGTAGTGTTGGTTGAGCAAAGGTCTATTTTTTTCCCTGAATCATGCTTTCACTTTGGGATGGCCATGGTAAGTCATAATTACCTTAATTTTCAATGGAGTTTGCTGTATTTTCAGTTTCTCTGCATTAGTTTATCATTTGTTGACTCGTGTTCTCAGTTGAATGTGCACATCTTTGAGAATGTAACGAACACATGCATGTGATAAATGTTACTTTTAGTTTGGTTTGAATTACTGCATTTTTTAGTTGTAGATGGTGATGTTTCTGTTTCTAAATTTAGCATTGTAGATAACATGTATTTGTGAAGTGGCTATGTCTGAACATAGTGTACAAGTTACATGATGTTGTATGGCTGTACAGTAACATTGAATCAGTGTCACTCTGCAGGCTCAGTTTTCGGCATGCAGCATTTGACTAGTTTCAGTTTAAGTTTAGTCTGTTGTTTGGCAGCATGTTTTTCTCAATCTGATTTCTACTGAAGCATGTTTTTAAAGTATCCTGAAAAACTTTGTTCATTAGATTTACTCCAGAAATTTGCATTATTGAATGATAAGATATGATCTTTTAATTAAGCACAATTCTAATTGTTTCTAGAGAAAATTAATTCTAAAGTAATCATATATAAATTGGATTAGAAAACTAATACTTAAATATTGATAATTCGTAAAAGAATCTCAGCTGATATGCTAAGATAACCAGTCTCTGGTTCCATGGTAGTATAACCATTATTATGGTTGCAGGAAGCGAGTCTGGAACTGACATGGATGAGACTGACTCCAAGATGGTGCGGTCGCCACGACGATGGTCCATGAGGAGTAGGAAGTCTTCAGCCTCTAAAACCAGTGCCCCAAACCCCAACATCTTCACCCCTCCTGGAAGCCCCAAGTCAAAGAATAAGAAGTGACATCCTTTAGATTCTGATCTTCCTTGTTGTAATCATCATATTGGATGTGGATCATAATTTTCCTTCTTGGGCATCTTTGAAAGGAAATTTTATTTATTTCTAACCATATATACTCTTCCAGTCAGTTGTGTTCATGATGTTCGCTGAAGCTCACACCTAGGTTGTAGAAATGTGGTCCTGTTCAATACCTTTGGATTGCATCACATTTCTTTACCTAAAATTACCTTTTCACAGACGTTTTACCTGGAAAAGGTGATATGCTAGATACCATCAACTTGGATATGTTAGAGTAAAGAATAATAGGGCAGTTCTCATCCTCAAGCAATAAATATTTGTTATGGATTTGAATAACAAATTGATTAGAAAGTCCCCAATAATGTCTGGAGTTTAGTGTAGTATTGTGTCACAGTTAGTATCAGGTATCTCAGGTGTTACTGTGCATTGTGTAGCTAGAGCAATATTTACTTTGTTTTGCATATCGCCTAAGATGGCTCCAAGTACCCAACAGCAGTAACCACAATTAAGGCATTACTCCAAGATGTTGACTGAAGCGTATAGTCACAGTGAATAAACGCATCAGTTACTTCTGTCAGTTACGGGAACATGTCGTTTCATTACCTGTGTCTGGTGGGTCGACAGACATGCAGTATATATCCTAAGCCACCTCTCAAAGCACAGCTACTTTTTCATTGTAACACTGTGTCAATACTTCAGGGCTGAATCCTTTTTGATCTGTTAAGATGAGGTCACTCAAAGTTGTTTTGTTTTTAAATTCTTTTAGATTCATTAGGAATAGTGATTAATTGTTATGTTGTGGAACATGCTAAAGATATGAAGCTATACATTAGAACATCATGTGTGATTGTTCTAGTTAGTTGGTTTAACTGTGAAAAGTGGTCTTATTTGACGACCAGTTTTTGTGCCAAAACAAATAGTATCATTTTAATTTCTGTATTGTTTTTTTTCAAATTTTTACACACTTGTTAAGCTTGGTCACATAGTCTACTTTGCCATTGATGACAGATAAAATCTAGACTATGTAGCACTAAATGAAATGTTTTAATCAAAAGACTTTTATTTTCTTATTTTAGGATATTGAATGTTTTAATTTATTAACACAAAATTATGATGTGTATTTGCCTGAGGGTGATTCTAATTTGACTGATCTGTGAACTTTATTTCATAAGGTTCTGTTCAGGCAGAAAGTGCTGAGATATCTGATCATCAGGGAAGGGTGACAATAAGATGTGCACTCTGTGAGTGTGTAGCCCCAGCAATGGGTTTCCTTACCTGACCAGAACTCTGTTGGCCATCATGACAGTCATCAATATGTGGTTTTAATCAGTCACTATAAGACAAAGAGTTCAGCTTTGGATGTAAGTAGCATAGTATGGAACAAGGTTTTGTATTAATTTAAGTTAATGTGTGTCCCTCGGTTGATGTTGAGTTCAAATACCAGATTTAGCCGCTGATGAAACTTGGTTTGTCAGCACCATGCACGTTCTGGTTGGGTTCCTTAAGTAGATGTAAAATTCATTTTTGACTTTCTTCACATGTGAAGCTGACAGCCATTGTACAAGTGACATAGCGACATCAAACGAGGGAAGAGTCAAGTCCAGTCTTGGATGTCATTGCCACGATGAGGATGCTTTAAGTTACTTATGTTGCTACTACTTTTCTCATGAGATGACAGATTTATTACATTTTTCAAGTGCTAGTCGACAACATGATTTATATACCATCATATCTTTCACATGTGCAATTATGCTCAGAGAATAAATATTGAACACATTTGATTACAAGTCAGTATGGAATAAGGTTCACATCTGCAGGGGTTTAATAGTGACATGATGTCATGTGTTGAATGCTGATATTTTCATGTTTTTTTAATCAATCTATGCAAATTGTAATTATGTTGTTGCTATGTATTTTTCTCAGCATTCATGTACATATGCACTTGTCATAAGACATCTATGTTATGTAGTGTTAGACTGGAGCTTTAATATATATACCACTCAATTTTGATTAAGGATTCCCAATGCTTCAATTTGGCATTTCAGTTTAGATGCTTCTAGAAGATCATCACACAGACAAATTACAGGAAAAATATAGGCATATCTTTAGTGAATATTTTTGCATGTACCTAAATGTATTTGCTTGATTATATTTATTTTACCAAATGATATAGGTCTTCTATACAGCAGGAAACAAGTGTATTTTGTAAATCTTTTTTGCATGATGAATGATGTCATATCTAGCCATAACAATGTATGTTTTATATGTTACAACAGTATTATGACAGAGATGTTATTTTTACCAAAACTGACATGAAGGATCCTTAAGACTTGTTAAGTGGTATAGGTGTATGGTGCAATGTTGCCCTCAGGTCCTACTCAGTATGGTGTATTGTTGCATGTTATGTAGAGACACTGACAAATCCGACTTGGCCAAACTAGTATTTCTTGGCTCAAAACTATTATCGCTTGTTGGTTTGGGTAGTGTATTGAGGTTGCTTTTTACCCGAGAACACTTGACTGACAGAACGGGATCTGGATCTAAGGCGTTGAAGATAATGAAGCAATGCAGTGGCAGATTGGTTTGGTATCTTGTATTATTGAATTTTGAATTATTGAATTTCTTTGGAAATATGTCATGAGGCAAATTAACAAGTGTTAACTGTTGATTTCCAAAAAATGTTTAAAATATGCATGTATATTTTTCAATGTAAGGTTTCACTTTTGAAAAATTTCAGCAGAGTCAATAAAAAATCAAAAAAGAAAAGATGAAAATATAGGGTTTTTCAATGTATCTATGAACACTGCTCATCTTCTATACATGGGTAGACAATTCTTAGTGACAAGTCACATTGGGATACCGGTATTCTTGTTATACACAATCCAATGCTATGTTTCAAGTACTGTAGAGGATTTCTATTATGAAGTTTAAAAAGTATTTAAAAGGAAGACCTCTACTTGTTTTTGAAAACTTTGGAAGAAATTAATTTGTATTTGTTGTCACCACATTTGTATCTATTGAGCCAGGTCCTTGTCAGTTGAGTGTTGAGACAGTAGACAGCTGGGGTTGAGGTATAACCTTGTGGCAGTGGAGGGATGTAGGCTTGCTGTAGATACAGCATGCACTAGACCACACTTCAGCTCAGTGTATGCACCCATTTGTTATGACATTTCTTAAAACAAGCCTTCAAAATTATAGAATAGAACATACAAAATATATACAATTTGATACTTACATATTTGGCTTCAGCTGAGGTTGACCAGTGTAAAAACTTCCTCACTTTGTTTAGTTCAGTGTCATAAGAACCCTCAGAGGTAGTGTAGTATTTTGTTACGTAAGCTGAGGGAAACGTTTTTTGATGATTAAGAAACTGCCTCATACTAGTTGACAAGTATTTGATGCAGCAGCCAACTAAGTCGGTCTTTACATCAGCATTATGAGAGAACAGATCCTTAAAAGACCATATCTGTTGTTGCCATCAGTTGTCTTCAAAACAAAACAATATTTTCTTTTAAGTATTTGTGAGCTATTATAAGAAATATGTGATTGTGGATGTTGATACAGAGAGGGGAGATTCTCTATAGAACAGCTGATGTGTGTTTGTGCGTGTTTCCACTGTGTTCAGTGATGTGTGTATACAGACCTTGACATTATTGACTATCTGCATATGTAATGTGTAATTCGATCAAAAGACACACTATGTGCTATGTATGTGTATTTCTTCTATGTCACGCAAGCATCATTTATTTGATTGATCAATATGCCATAAGACCTTGTGAACATTTAACTGGAACCCCTTGACCTTCACTAATCACAAGATGAAGGCCTAGGTGAGCTTTGGGACTCCATTCTCTATTTTAATTATGATTTAAATATCAAAATGAGATGTTTTTAAAGAATATACCTGGAGTTGGCATATTTTCTTGTGTATGTTACGCAGTTACAGGAACAAATGCTAGGGGCAGTCGAGAGTTTTTATTCTTACAAATAAAGATCTTTTGTCCACCATTAAGAAATAGTTACACAACACATAATAAAACAGCTCTTTCGTGGTAAGATAAATAAATTTGTAGTTTTCAGGAGTATCAATATTTCTTTGAGATATTAAGATGTTAAGGTTTACAAGTATTTGGTGGAGTATGTATTAAACTTAAAATAATTGTTGATGCATATTATATATTAACGAAAAGTGAATACTTTTTATCACCACATAGTTTAATTGAAGGACTGACTGGGGTACTTCTCTAGGCATTTGGTTACATGCTATTTCTGCTATTTGCATGCCACTGCTAGTGGTAATGTGTTTATCGTGGGGAAATATAATTGCTGTGTAATGCAATCTACCCTCCAGACAACTGTACTGTTGGGGGACAGGGCATGTTTTACACAAGGACATGCCATAGCAGACAGTAAAGCAAGGACTGTATACACACGTGAATGTTCTTGCTTTTGTTATGAAGGTAAACATTTTACTTTCCTCCTCGTTATAGGTGATCATTTGCATTATGTAATCCCATTACCTTACTGCGACCATTGTATCATAACCCTTTGTTATTTATTCAATCAAGATTTCTGAAGTGAAATATATTTGATGTACTGCAACAATTCATGTATGTTCAAGCTCATTTATTGCTCAGAATGATTATGAGTGTAACTGTTCACATGGCTGAGTGAATGCCTGAGAAGTAGCGTGTGTAGCCCTTGCATCTGTGTAGGCTAAACACCATACTTGCAGCACATATGTAATGCATTCTTTAACTTGGTGGTGTTAATAGTTGCAAACAAGTTCTAAATTTATCAAAAGTATTTCATTATTGTCATGTGTGGCCTGCATTATACCTCAATTTGAATTTGAACTCCTGTATGAAGAGAAGCCACACACTCAATGTCTACATAAACAGAAGTCACATATTGAATGCCTACATATACAATAGTCACACATTCAGTGCCTACATAAACAGAATCCACACATTCAATGCTTACATAAACAATAGTCACACTTTCAATGCCTACATAAACAATAGTCACACACACACACACAATGCCTAAATATACAGAGGCCACACACTCAATGCTTACATATACAATAGTCACACACTCAATGTCTACATAAACAATAGTCACACATTCACTGCCTACATATACAGAAGTGACACACGCAATGCCTACATATACATGTCACACACACAATGCCTACATATATGAGCTGTACACTCAATGCCTACAAATAATTTTATGAGCTGCACTTCCTAGTTTTTACAACAGGGAGGTGATTTTAGTGAAGCCTGCAGGAATCCTGCAGTTTGATGCTGTGTATATGTTCTGTCCATGTTGATATACCTCCAGTCTGTGTCTGTGGTTCAGATCAAGTGCTGATATTATACATGTTTTCTTTGTTTGTGTTACGTTGACCACATATCAATGTCCACTAGTGCAATATTCTCCCAGCAAAGAAGCAAATATGAATGTCTTGTATGATCAATATTAATCATGTGCTCCAGTGTTAAACTGATAAGAGATTTATTTATATGTCAATATGATAATACTATTGTAGTGATAAGAAATGTGAACATCACTCCATTTCAATTACATGTATACTCAATAGCACTAAGTATTTATTTGGATAATGAAGTAAATTATATAATTATGTATTTTTAACATCAAGCAATCGACAATGTTCAGAGTGAATTAACATAAGACCATATCACCATGTCTGATTGTTAACATGTGGAGTATTTGGCCATTTTGACTTGTATTGTTCAAGAATAAATGTTTTGTTTTTTACACAAACATTTTCCTGTTGATAATTTCTGCACTTTGAGTTGATTGCAAAATACTTGGATGCAAATAGTTAATATGGTGTGAGGGGACGAGTGGCCCCGTTGTCTGAGGTGTCACAAATCACAGTACCGAGTTGGCACTTTCGATGTGCCAGAATCCTATGACAATGGGTTCGAATCCCAGATTTTCCTCATTGTCCAAAGCAGCCACTAATCCAATTGATGTGATGATAAGTTATGACTTCCTCTCTGTTGGTTGTCAAGGGCAGCTAGTCAGTCTTAAAGGTAGAACATGCTTTATAGGTATGTGGTGGGGACCTGGGGTGGTACAGATGTGCTAGACACTGCACTTGATGGTGCAAAGTTGCATTCCTTAGCGATGCAAGGATCGGCTCATCAGTCGTTTGAACCCTACATTTTCCCCAAGTTATGATCCGTGATCTTTGCTCTATCATTGCTATACCTGTGATTCTGGACTTCACTAAAGAGACAAACAGGCACCGGCGTCATTAAACTGAAACACTATGTACTCACTCAAGGTATATATGTGCATATATCTGGTTTTGATATAACTAGGCCCTAGAAAGCTGACATTGTTTATGGGATGTCCAAGGGCTCTACGCTAGACATGCAACCCTTAGTCCAAGAAAGTCCAGGAAATTCCATTGTCATCTGTTCACCACATGCTTACTATATACTTTTATATAAATCATGCACTTGGGATTTCTACTTGGGATAAAGTCGGAACAACCACAGCCACACATGTCAAGTCAACAAATTTCTTAACACGTCATACATGCTGTGTGTATCCTCGATAAATATGTTTTCATAAAAAAAATACCATCAGAATCGACCAGGAAAAACAACACCGAATATATTAAGATGACCTCCGGACGAAATCGCGTGGGCTTGTTTAGTAAACAAGTATGGTACATGCGGGCGCATGAACAACGACACACAATCGACCAGGCTACACACACAACCCATTCGATCCTTATGTCTAAACTACTTCCGGAATCCGCATGCGGTGTAAAGGAAACAATTTATTTTACTGTTCACTGTTATCAGTTTGTTGTGCTTCCGTTATGTGTCGATTAGACGTGTACACTTTCATTTCATTGACGTCATGAACTCGCCTGTTTGAACAGCAGAGAATCTGGGTGACCGATTCCCGATACGACCTGAACAGGGCGAGGAGCAGAGGCAGTTTCAGGGCCATGTAGGCGTAGTTGATGAACAGGGCCGTGAGGCTGATGACACTGTCACCGTAGCTGGCGGCGGTGCGAGACTTGAGGACCATCTGGGTGACCACCACAGGGAGAAATGTCAGCATGTATATGATTCCTATAACGAGTATCGACATGGCGTGACGGATGTGCCTTGTGGTTCGGGAGTTGACATTCTGAAGGTCGCTGAACGTGCGAGCGAACTGAAAGATCTTCACGAAGCTGACAATAGCGACACCGAGAGGTATTACCAGAAGTGTTGTCAGATCTAATGCTATAATCCACCAGTCAGAAGCATTTTGGTCTGCTAAGAACATGTGGGGCAATGCTCGGGACTTGTTGAATGTGTCGGATGATAGGTCTAACAAAGACAGGGCTATGTTGATCATCCATGTCAGGAAAATCAAAACACAAACCCGTCTGATTGTAATATGCATCGCGTAGTCATGTGCCCGACAGATGGCGAAACAAAGGTTGCAGGCAATGGCAGCCAGCATCTGCATTGACTCGCTGTAAAAGATGAACGCGAACATCCTCATCCAACCCAGAGCAAGAAAAATAGTATGCCCTTGATAATGGAACGCATCAGCGCAGCTGTAGACCATGAACGTCACGCCGACACCAATATCTGCAAGTGCCTGGTTGCAGATCAACACTCCCGATATCTCCTTGATGCCCGACATCCTGTAGGTGATGAATATGATGATGACGTTGTTCAGAATGGTTAGGGTGTCAGCAAGGACACAGACGATAACGACAACGTAGGTGTTGATGCCATGTAGTTCCGGGTTTGTCGCGTTGGCTGACATAGTGGATGCGTTGAATCTCATTATTCTTATTATCACAGTTCAGGGAAAATATTGAACAGGTCTCGGAGACGTAATGTCCAATGTCCAATGGATCCGATGACAATGCATCCATATACCATATTCGTGCTATTATGGTCATGTCAAAACAAAAATGTTTCTAACAGTGCAGATGACAACTGATTCGTGTTGCCATGCCACACATTTACGAGTCCACACGAAGCCAACACATTGACTCCTAATGCATGTCGGACATCTGAAGCTACGATGTTGGTCTCATTCATTATATGGCTCCTTCCACGACCAGCCTATCTGCTCGGTAATCTGGGGCAACTAATGAAGAATGTGGCTTCATATGAATATTTCTTCGGTTATCTGTGTGAGCAGGTGCGTGTTCCCCATCAGTGCCCGTGTTTGTCTTGTAGTCGGATTTGCGGATTGTGCGGGAGCACCACGATCTGAGAACCCATTTACTCCACAAGTGCAATTTACTTAAATCATTCTGGCTTTCATGTCACAATAGACGCCTATCAACACTGGATGGGGTTTCTGATAACGGCCTCAAACCAAGCACTTGTAAATAACGAGTAGCAATTTTGTGCCCGTAATCTCTCTCAATATAAATACCACTGAAAATTTGTTACTACCAGTAATGCCTGACCACACTGCCTGCAATTAACCAGATGGAGGTATTCCCCACACGACCTGCATAATTGTCGGTGGCAGATATCTCCATGTCATGTCAACGTAACTCACACTGTGCACACAAAAGGTTCACGAAACTCTCTCTAATTGATAGAGACCGCCCCCGTGGTCTAATGGTAGAGCGACCGCCCGGAAAGTTGAAGGTCCGGAGTTCGATCCCCGGCCGTATCATACCAAAAAGACGTTAAAAGATGGTACTTGTTGTTACCCTGTCAGGGGCTAGAACAAGGTCTGGTCAGCTCGGAGTCAGTATACTGAGTGGGGTATTAATGTTAAAACTGCGGCATGGTATCTCAGTGGGCTAGCACTATGAAATCGGCATTAGTCAGACTAGTACAAGTTGACAAACGCACACACGCACACATGTATCTAAGAGGGCTGGCTCCATAAAATCGGCATAAGTCGGGACAAGTACAAGCAGCCGCGCACGCACACGCACACGCACACGCACACGCACACCGCTGCATGCACATCGATATATAAGTGCAATACTCTTGGACGCGACGTTAAACCCCATTTCACCTCACCTATAATTGGTAGGGCTTATATAAGATATTAATTTAAACATACATACACAATAAGTGTATTTGAGCAATTATAAATTAGAAAGTGCGCGATACAATTTCATAATTTAATTATATTAATTTTATTATCATCATTAGACTCTATTACTACATTTACTTTGTATAGGTGAGATGTCTACAGCAATGTGTCGCGGAACTTGGTCTTGTGGACACCGGAAATGGGCTTCACACTTTATACCCATGTTGGGAATCGAACCCGGGCCTTCAGCGTGACGAGCGAATGCTTATACCAATAGGCTAGCTCTGGACCTGTGGTGCGGCCACAGGTCACACATGAGGCGAAGTCAAGTAACGTTACCCACGGAGAGTAGGTGGATGGGTGACCGGGCAAGCCGGTCTTCTGAGTGTTTCTAGGTCTTCGATCCTGCCCATTACTGGACTACATGTGAATGTTACACGTGATATCTCCCTAAGAAAGCAACGGTGTTTGAAATATGCCTTTATTTCCGTAGCAGTTAATGGGTACCCGGTAGGATGAGATGTGAAGCGGCTGTAAACCTATCGCCCCATAGGACAACTTGGGTTGTATATACACATGTACTCCCCATGGAGCTGAGAATGAAATTCGAGTGCACATTGATCCATTGGCCAGTGTTACATTGTAACAGGAACATTTACTTGGTCACTGGGGGCGATCGGGTAGCCTAGTGGTTAGAGCGTTCGATCGTCACGTCGAAGACCCAGGTTCGATTCCCGACATGGGTACAATGTGTGAAGCCCATTTCTGGTGTCCCCCGCCGTGATATTGCTGGAATATTGCTAAAAGCGGCGTAAAACCATACTCACTCACTCACTACTTGGTCACTGGAGTGGCGCATATAATTGACATCATTACATCCTAAATCCAATTTTCCCGACTCTGCCGTTCACTCACTCACAACTTGAAAGACGCAACTCCAAGAAAATCAAGCATGATATTACAATCTGTCACCGACTCAATAATCGAAAACATTTGCTTTCGGAACATTTACTCGGTGATTTTAATCATGTCCCTAATCAATTATATCAAACTACCGCACTTTCATTACTCTCGTAAACCAATAACTAAATGCAACTTTTATACGTTCACTGACTATCATTATCTTCCGAACGCTGTCAACATTATCAGTGGACACGAATGCATTTACAACGTCCCCATGGTGGGATTCATCGGGGAGGTCAGATGTCTGTCCATTACGTGAGTTGATCAAGCTGTTCCGTGTGCCTCCCGCTCATGTTGATATACATGACTAGGTTTGTATACTGTAAATATGTGATCAGTGATAGCTCACCTGTACAAAGAAATGGAAGCATACATGACGAGCATCCCACAAAAGGTTGTCATTAAGTGGAACACAGTTTTCCTACCAGACAAAAGAATGTTTTCCAGCATAAACACTTTGTTTCCATAGTGATCGATTTAACAGGGCTACTAGTCAAACCCACCTGAGCGTGTTTTAGAGTGTGAGCGTGTTTTAGGGTGAGAATATTGAGCTGTTGTTTACCTATGGGGAGACATGTTTAGTAATTAAACGACAAATGCATTCTAACACTAAATGAAACAAGCTGCCGCAGTTTGAACAACCTTTGCGTCAGGATAACCTGTAGGCTTATGACTTGAGAAAGGCCACTTTAGTCTTGTTGCCTTCAGACTTCCTCAGCATCCCCAACAGCGTCCATAACACCATCAACATCATTCGTAAATATAGAGTATAGCCAACAATGTGTTAAGTAACAGTCTGAGGAACTAGAATAAATCTTATCCAAGTTTAATACACACAAACAGCTTGAAGATACATTGTCAGTATAGACCAGCATGGGAGTTTGCCTTTCACGCCCAATGGGATGTGTTAAGTCGGATAATCGAGACTGGTTATTATCTGGCGTTGACGTTTTATATAAACTTTGAATTATACTGGTACATGACATTATATTTGTTTGTTTGTTTGTTGTTTAACGCCGCACTCAGCAATATTCCAGCTTTATGACGGCGGTCTGTAAATAATCGAGTCTGAACCAGACAATCCAGTGATTGATATCATGAGCATCGATCCACGCAATTGGGATCGATGACATGCATCAACCAAGTCAGCGAGCCTGACCACCCGATCCTGTTAGTCGCCTTTTACGACAAGCATAGTCACCTTTTACGGCAAGTATGGGTTGCTGAAGACCTATTCTACCGCGGATCTTCACGGGCCACATGGCATTCTAACATCTCCTAGCGCATAGTGGAACGGAGATGAAAAAGGAATATAGCAACCGTGAAAGCACTAGATACAGTGCACGCATTATAACATACACAGAAGGGGGGGGGGGGGGGGGGGGGGGGGGTACATTTAAGAAGCTTATATATAAACGCTAATACAAACTGAATAATAAGTGGAATTCAATCCTTTTGCAGAGAAGCCCCTTCTGCTTGTATTGCCAATAGCTTGCTTCTGCGAGATATTAGTATTTAACGAAGATATGCATCACTCAACATCTTGGATCAGCTACCGGAAAGCCCAATGTCAAACACCCATCTGACTCCTCCCCTTCTGAAAGGGTGACCTGTCACTCACACCCTTTTCTGCCATATGATTTACAACAAAGTAAGCACATTGTACGTATAACGACTACTTTATAATGCTGTAATAACTATTACAAAATCACACGGAAGTTGTAATCCATACATTGTGTCTCCTTTGTCATCCGTCAACTTCTGAGAAATGCCTTTCAAACAATTCAAAATTTACAACAGCAACAAAAAAAGTTTTTGTTTTTGTTTGTTTGTTGTTTAACGCCACACTCAGCAATATTACAGCTATATGATGGCGGTCTGTAAATAAATGGACCAGAAAATCCAGTGATTGACATCATGAGCATCGATCCACGCAAGTGGGAGACGATGACATGCATCAGCAAGCCTGACCACCCGATCCAAATAGTCGCCTCTTACGACAAGCATAGACCCTTTTTACGGCAAGCATGGGTTGCTAAAGACCTATTCTACCCCTGATCTTCACTGGTCAACAAAAAAGTTCCCAGGACAAGGCGTTTTGTTGATTATCACACAATAGTGCATGTTTTGACCTGCTGCACGTGTTCATGTAACAGAAACTCTACCTTAAAGCAACAATGTAAAATATCACTGAACAGATTACTTATATAATACACTAATATAGATTATCACATGAACCTTGACTGATAAAGGATCTAGCTCAGATATTATCAGATGTAATAATTACATTCTTCTTCCATGACTAGCACCATCTCGAAGCAGGGAAAATGAGTGCCAAAGTCTCCTAAAACTTTATGTGCATACTTTAACTACACCCATGTCGACTTGCAGGTTGATGTAGGAAAAGTCCTCATAATAGTTTTGACAGACCTGAGAGGTCGGTAATCCATAAACGACCTCTAGCACAGTCCTGTAGTGCCCTAGCTACTTGGGTGTAGTCGTACAGATCTGTACGCACTCTTGAGGTCAGCCTTTGGGAGAAAGCTGCCAACTCTGTTTTCAACCTGTAACTTCTTCATCGTGGCCTCGAACACAACACACTCTTTCTCCAGTTAGCTTACCGTGGCTTTGTCCGACATATACGGCGACAGCAAACCAATTTGGGCGCCGTATTCCCCCGGATGGCTGCTGGTGACAAAATCAGCATCACTCGCACTCTTCCTCAACGCATCCATTATGTCAGGCATCTGTGCCCCTGTCCCCTTTCTCTTAGCGTTTGTTTGAGATCCCTCTGGCATCATATTTCTCAAAACCCTTAGCAGTTGGTAACACAAACATTTTGCTAATTTGACTGCGGCCATATTGTTTAATTAAAATACGTGGAAAGAAAGCGCTATAGTGAAGGGCGACAAACCAAGCTCAACGCAAAATATGAAACATTAGTGGTCAAAGGGGAACAAATCTTACTCCCTGTGTCATAATACATTTGTTTCTTTAAACCTATTGTTTCACAATGAATGACACACGTGTATGATAGGCTAATGGGGGGTATTTTTACATAGTAACTATGCACAATGTGCATTTAACGTCTGCATTATTCTAACACCAAATCCGGGAACCTACAGCAACAACCTTCGCGACTGAATTAGCTGTAGGCCTATCACTTGAGAGAAGCTACTTTAGTATTGGTGCCACCATACTTCATCATCTTCCTCATCAGCGTCCACAACATCATGAACAACGTCTGCCCTATCTCCGCCACCGTCACCAGACTCGCTCCCAGGAAGAAGCCCATCTGACCACCCAGGCTGCCTGGAAGGAGAGAGGAGATTCAATGCTATAGTCCATCTGACCTCAGTTCTTGGTAACTTAGTCAAAATGATGTTCATGACAACTTAGTCGGTACTCAGTGTTCAGTAGGCTGTTCATACTGACTTGTCCAGTAGGCTTTCACACTGACTTAGTCAGTAGACTGTTAATACCGGATTACTCAGTAGGCTGTTCATATTTACTTACTCAATAGGCTGTTCATGCTGACTAACTTAGTAGGCTCTTCAAACTGACTTACTCAGTAGGCTGTTCATACTGACTTACTAAGTAGGCTGTTCATACTGACTTACTCAGTAGGCTGTCCATACTGACTTACTCAGTAGGCTGTTCATACTGACTTACTCCGTAGGCTGTCCATACTGACTTACTCAGTAGGCTGTTCATACTGACTTACTCGGTAGACTGTTCAAACTGACTTACTCAGTAGGCCGTCATACTGACTTACTCCGTTGACTGTTCATACTGACTTACTCAGTAGACTGTTCATACCGACATCCTCAGTAGGCTGTTAATACTGACTTACAAAGTAGGCTGTTCATACTGACTTACTCAGTAGGCTGTTCATACTGACTTACTCCGTAGGCTGTTAATACTGACTTACTCCGTAGGCTGTTAATACTGACTTACAAAGTAGGCTGTTCATACTGACTTACTCAGTAGGCTGTTCATACTGACTTACTCAGTAGGCTGTTCATAATGACTTACTCCGTAGGCTGTTCATACTGACTTTCTCAGTAGGCTGTTAATACTGACTTACAAAGTAGGCTGTTCATACTGACTTACTCCGTAGACTGTTCATATTGACTTACTCAGTAGGCTGTTCATATTGACTTACTCAGTAGACTGTACATACTGACTTACTAAATAGGCTTTTCATACTGACTTACTCCGTAGACTGTTCACATTGACTTACTCAGTAGGATGTTCATACTGAATTACTCAGTAGACTGTACATACTGACTTACTAAATAGGCTTTTCATACTGACTTACTCCGTAGACTGTTCACATTGACTTACTCAGTAGGATGTTCATACTGAATTACTTATAATGCTGTTCATCCTGAATAACTCAGTAGGCTGTTCATACTGACTTACTCAAAAGACTGTTCATACTGACTTACTCAGTAGACTATTCATACTGACTTACTCCGTAGGCATTTCATACTGACTTACTTTGTAGGCTGTTCATACTGACTTACTTTGTAGGCTGTTCATACTGACTTACTCGATTGGCTGTTCAAACTGACTTACTCAGTAGGCTGTTGAAACTGACTTACTCATTGGGCTGCTCATATTGACTTAGTAGGTGACACAGTTCGTGATGACTTACTCTGAACACTGTTTTGATGACTTACTCTAAACACAGTTCGTGGCGACTTACTCTAAACACAGTTCGTGGCGACTTACACTGAACACAGTTCGTGGTGACATACTTTAAGTGCAGTTTGTGGCGACTTACTCTGAACACAGTTCGTGGCAACTTACACTAAACACAGTTCGTGGCGACTTGCTCTAAACACAGTTGGTTGCGACTTACTCTAAACACAGTTCGTGATGACTTACTCTGAACACTGTTTTGATGACTTACTCTAAACACAGTTCGTGGCGACTTTCTCTAAACACAGGTCGTGGTGACTTACTCTAAACACAGTTCGTGGCGACTTATTCTAAACACAGTTCGCGGTTTCTTACTCTTGACACAGTTCGTGATGACTTACTCTAGATACAGTGCGTGGCGACTTACTCGAAACACAGATCGCGGTGACTTACTCTGAACAGTTCGTGGTGACTTACTCTAAACACAGTTCGTGGTGACTTACTCTAAACACAGTTCGTGGTGACTTACTCTAAACAGTTCGTGGTGACTTACTCTAAACACAGATCGCGGTGACTTACTCTGAACAGTTCGTGGTGACTTACTCTAAACACAGTTCGTGGTGACTTACTCTAAACACAGTTCGTGGTGACTTACTCTAAATACAGTTCGTGGTGACTTACTCTAAACACAGTTCGTGGTGACTTACTCTAAACACAGTTCGTGGTGACTTACTCTAAACAGTTCGTGGTGACTTACGCTTAACATAGTTCATGGTGACTTACTCAGTATGCCGTTGATGGTGACTTCTGGGAAGTACTCCACACGCTGGGTAATGAACCGGTCGTAGTATATCTTAACTTGTATTAAATTCCTCCTGGAATTGAAACATGTTTTGCTCATAATTCCTCTATTTACGACAGCAAGTACATTTTATTTAAATATTAGTGTTAATATTTGTTTCCGAATTGACACCGAAGTCTTGCGACGTTCATTGAGTTTAAAAATTGATCTAAGTGGAATCTGGTGAAAATTAGGAAGCACATACATTGTAGAAGTGTTTAGATCCCGAACCAAACTTAAGCGTGTTCCTGGTCCCATTTTGTTGAGGATTGTGTTTAACAGCTGAACGTGTTTAAAATGTTGAAAAGACCCGTATAGACTCTAAACGTGTTTAGATGAAACACACCGAATGTGTAATCCGTTTAGGATTCAAACACATCCCTAAACATGTTTAGATCTAAACCTGTCTTCTATGGGTTCATTTTCTAAATACACACTGACATTGTTGAGGTGGCTTCTCATCAAAAGTTAGAGAGAGTGAGTATGGTTTTACGCCGCTTTTAGCAATATTCCAGCAATATCACAGCAGGGGACAGCAGAAATGGGCTTCACACATTGTACCCATGTCGGGAATCGAACCCGGGTCTTCGGCGTGCCGAGAGAACGCTTTAACCACTTGGCTACCCGACCGCCCCTCAAAAGTTAGTAGGATTTATAGTGCAAGTATAGTTAGATACTGTTTCACATTTTTCGTTATAATTGATTGATAGCATTTCACATTTCATATTAGGGTAGCAGAGGTTTCATATTGTACGTAATTTTAAAATAGGGTTTCACATTGCATATACGGATAGCAAGGGTTTCATATTGCACATTCAGATAGATAGGGTTTCACATTACACCTCGTATTTAACATATATTTTGAAGTCGTTATAACCCTCCTCGTATATGTGCAACTGAAGTACTCTAGTGTTCATATAGCAGTGTATGTTGCTGCAATTGCAATCGAGTTGTTCTCAGTAATATCTGTTAAATTTGGTCTGGCCTTTTTTTTATTTTGGTAAAGATTATTTTAGTCGTCAGTACATATTGAACGTGTGCTTACATTATATAGTCTAATCTTAGCTGTGCTTATCTGACAAAGGCTACCATGTACATGTGCTTATCTGATATACGTGTATACTACTTTATACATGTGCTTATCTGATATAGCCTACATTGTACCCGTGCTCACCTTAAATAGTCAACGGTAACATTTGCATGTCCCTGTTGGCGTATCAGGTCGACCATGTAGTGACCTGCCGGCTCAGACGGATACCTGGCGAAGGATATTCCGGTATCGTACCGCACATAGGAACAGGGTTTCTGACAAGCTGGGAAGTCCTCACGTAGTGTTTGTTTTAAAAAATATCCTGTCAACATGCAAATATACGGAATATGTTGTTTGTAAACATATAGTTTATTTAATATACTGAACTGCAAAAGAAACGTCACCCCAAGCAACATTGCATGAAAAGCTGTCATTTAAATATATGGGTAATTTTTGTCAATGTTTCTTAAATTTAACATTACCTTATCCGGAAAAATGAAATTTGATGAGAAAAAAACAAAGCAGATGACAATTTAACCGATCGCTCAAACGCATGACGGCAACGGCCATGGTAACATACAATGCGGTAACCATTCATGTGTTAACATACAATGCGGTAAGCAACTATAGCTTAACATAACATGCGGTAACCAACCATGTGTTAAGATACAATGCGGTAACCAACCGTGTGTTAACATACAATTGGTTTGGTTTGGTTGGTTTGTTGTTTAACGCCGCACTCAGCAATATTCCAGCTATATGACGGCGGTCTGTAAATAATCGAGTCTGGACCAGACAATCCAGTGATTGACAACATGTGCATCGATCCACGCAATTGGGACCGATGACATGCATCAACCAAGTCACCAAGCCTGACCACCCGATCCCGTTAGTCGCCTTTTACCTATTCTAACCCGGATCTTCACGGGCCTGTTAACAAACAATGCTGTCACCAACCGTGTGTTAACATTAAATATGGTTACCAACCATGTGTTAATATACAAAGCGGTAACCAACGAAGTGTTAACCTTCAATGTGGTTACCAACCATGTGTTAATATACAAGGCAGTAACCAGCCAGGTGTTAACATACAAGGCAGAAACCAACCATGTGTTAACATACAATGCAGTAACCAATCATGTGTTAACATACAATGCAGTAACCAACCGTGTGTTAACATACAATGCAATAACCAACCGTGTGTTAACATACAATGCAGTTACCAATCATGTGTTAACATACAAGGCAGTAACCAACCGTGTGTTAACATACAATGCAGTAACCAATCATGCGTTAACATACAATGCAATAACCAACCGTGTGTTAACATACAATGCAGTTACCAATCATGTGTTAACATACAAGGCAGTAACCAACCATGTGTTAACATACAATGCAGTAACCAACCGTGTGTTAACATACAATGCAATAACCAACCATGTGTTAACATACAATGCAGTAACCAACCATGTGTTAACATGCAATGCTGGAACCAATCATGTGTTAAGATACAATGCGATAACCAGCCATGTGTTAACATACAATGCAGTAACCAACCATGTGTTAACCATAATGCAGTAACTAACCATGTGTTAACATACAATGCAGTAACCAGCCAAGTGTTAACATACAATGCAGTAACCAGCCATGTGTTAACCATAATGCAGTAACCAACCATGTGTTAACATACAATGCAGTAACCAACCAAACGAACCAATCATGTGTTAAGATACAATGCGATAACCAGCCATGTGTTAACATACAATGCAGTAACCAACCATGTGTTAACCATAATGCAGTAACCAACCATGTGTTAACCATAATGCAGTAACCAACCATGTGTTAACGTACAATGCTGTAACCAACCATGTGTTAACATACAATGCTGTAACCAACCATGTGTTAACGTACAATGCTGGAACCAATCATGTGTTGACATGCATTAACCTATAATGGGTTAACGTACCTTAGCAAACATGCCACGCGTTAGGAGAACAAATGTATACATACCATGGGTTAACCTGCCTTGATGTCTAGCCTTAGATAGTTTAACATGCGATAACAACTATGCGTTAAACTACCACTGATAAACATCACATGTGTTAAGATACCATTTGTAAACATACCATGTGTTAACATGTCCTATATTACCATGCGTTAACCTCGCACTGGTTCCTGTCCCTTGTGTTAACCTACTACAAGCTTCCCTACCAAGTGTCAACATCCCATCTGTTAACTTACCATGAGCAACAACGTAGCACTCCGAGAACTGGCGCATGGAACAATCTGGGTACTTCTCCTGGATCTCAACTGGAACATCAGGTGTGGTGTGAGTTTAAATTGAGTTTAAGACATAGACGTGTCTGCCCCGTGTGTGAGTGGCTACTTGCTTGTATTAGTCTTAGTCTAGCAGGTTGACAACGGATTACGTTAACTAAAGTGAACATACACCACATGGGATATAACTACAGTGAAGATACACCATGTAGGATATAACTACACGGAACACACACCACATGGGATATAACTCCAGTGAAGATACACCATGTAGGATATAACTACACGGAACACACACCACATGGGATATAACTCCAGTGAAGATACACCATGTAGGATATAACTACACGGAACACACACCACATGGGATATAACTACTGTGAACATATACCATGTAGGATATAACTACACTGAGTGAGTGAGTATGGTTTTACGCCGCTTTTAGCAATATTCCAGCAATATCACGGCGGGGGACACCAGAAATGGGCTTCACACATTGTACCCATGGCGGGAATCGAATCCGGGTCTTCGGCGTGACGAGCGAACGCTTTAACCACTAGGCTACCTGACCGCCCCATAACTACACTGAACATATGGGATATAACTACAGTGAACACACACCACATGGGATATAACTACACGGAACATACACCACATGGGATATAACTACACGGAACATACACCATGTAGGATATAACTACACGGAACATACACCACATGGGATATAACTACACGGAACATACACCATGTAGGATATAACTACACGGAACATACACCATGTAGGATATAACTACACGGAACATACACCATGTAGGATATAACTACACGGAACATACACCACATGGGATATAACTACACGGAACATACACCATGTAGGATATAACTACACGGAACATACACCATGTAGGATATAACTACACAGAACATACACCATATAGGATATAACTACACGGAACATACACCATGTAGGATATAACTACACGGAACATACACCATGTAGGATATAACTACACGGAACACACACCACATGGGATATAACTACACGGAACATACACCATGTAGGATATAACTACACGGAACATACACCACATGGGATAAAACTACACGGAACATACACCATGTAGGATATAACTACACGGAACATACACCATGTAGGATATAACTACACGGAACATACACCATATAGGATATAACTACACGGAACATACACCATATAGGATATAACTACACGGAACATACACCATGTAGGATATAACTACACGGAACATACACCATGTAGGATATAACTACACGGAACATACACCATATAGGATATAACTACACGGAACATACACCATATAGGATATAACTACACGGAACATACACCATGTAGGATATAACTACACGGAACATACACCATGTAGGATATAACTACACGGAACATACACCATATAGGATATAACTACACGGAACATACACCATATAGGATATAACTACACGGAACATACACCATATAGGATATAACTACACGGAACATACACCATGTAGGATGTAACTACGCGGAACATACACCATATAGGATATAACTACACGGAACATACACCATATAGGATATAACTACACGGAACATACACCATATAGCATATAACTACACGGTACATACACCATGTAGGATATAATTTCACGGAACATACACCATGTAGGATACAACTACATGGAACATACACCATGTAGGATATAATTTCACGGAACATACACCATGTAGGATGTAACTACACGGAACATACACCATGTAGGATATAACTACACGGTACATACACCATGTAGGATATAATTTCACGGAACATACACCATGTAGGATGTAACTACACGGAACATACACCATATAGCATATAACTACACGGAACATACACCATATAGGATATAACTACACGGAACATACACCATATAGCATATAACTACACGGTACATACACCATGTAGGATATAATTTCACGGAACATACACCATGTAGGATACAACTACATGGAACATACACCATGTAGGATATAATTTCACGGAACATACACCATGTAGGATGTAACTACACGGAACATACACCATGTAGGATATAACTACACGGTACATACACCATGTAGGATATAATTTCACGGAACATACACCATGTAGGATGTAACTACACGGAACATACACCATGTAGGATATAATTTCACGGAACATACACCATGTAGGATACAACTACATGGAACATACACCATGTAGGATATAACTACAGTAAACATACACCACATGGGATATAACTACACGGTACATACACCACACGGGATATACCTACAGTGAATAAACACCATGTATAACTACAGTGAACAAACACCACATTGGATATAACTAAACGGTAAATACACCACATGGGATATAACTTCACGGAACATACACCACATGGGATATAACTACATGGAACATACACCACATGGGATATAACTACATGGAACATACACCACATGGGATATAACTACACGGAACATACATCATGTAGGATATAACTACATGGAACATACACCACATGGGATATAACTACAGTGAACATACACCACATGGGATATAACTACACGATACATAAACCACATGGGATATAACTACACGGTACATACATCACATGGGATATAACTACACGGTACATACACCACATGGGATATAACTAAACGGTACATACACCACATGGGATATACCTACAGTGAATAAACACCACATGGGATATACCTACAGTGAACATACATCATATAGCATATAACTACACGGTACATACAAAATATAGGATATAACTACACGGGACGTAAACCACATAGGATATAACTACACGGAACATACACCATGTAGGATATAACTACACGGCACATACACCATGTAGGATATAACTACTCGGAACATACACCATGTTGGATAAAACTACACTGATGATACACTATGTACGATATACCAACACTGAACATACACCATGTAGGCTATAACTACAGGAAAAGTACACCATATAGGATATACCTACACGGAACATACACCATAAAGGATACAACTACACGAAACATCCACCATTAGGATATTGAACATAGAACCCAACCTGCTGGCATATATTTTGACATCTAAACGGACACCTGGTGCAACAGGATATTTAATTCAGAAGGCAGATTCCCTGTGTGAATACACTCTTGTGTTGTAGGGCATGTCTGCCAGAGAGAGGATATTCAGGAACGTACGTGGTTCAATTACGCTGGTGCAGTTACACGCTGTGGCAGCTTGTGTAGACGCCCACGCTCGCATGCATCCGTCGTAGCTGTAGGTGCTGTCTACGTCGACGCAGTAGGAGTCGCCATACGACTTGTAGGGGGCAGGCATGTACTTGTACTGCAAACACAGGTTTCCTCAAATGAATCATGAGACCATTCAGCAAACATTACCTTCCGTCTGACCCGTAGATCCGGAGAAGACTATGTCTTCAGCAACCCATGCTTGCCGTAAAAGGCCACTTTACTTGGCGACAAACGGGATCGGGTGGTCAGGCTCGTTGACTTGGTTTATGCATGTCATCATATCCTAATGGCGTAGATTGATGCTCATGAAGTCAATCACTGAATTGACTAGTCAGACTCGTTATTGACAGACCGCCGTCAAATAGCTAGAATATTGCTGAGTGCAGCGTTAAACAACAAACAAACAAACTTTCCGCCTTGTGGTTTTCGACCCTCAGACCATTCCTTCCTCCCGAAAGCAACATTCTAATTAAGGTATACATTTAAATTGTTAATATTTGGGTTCATTGTGTGGTATATTAGTATAATGAGACTAGAAGATACAACGTCAAGCATATTGGGAGTAGAAGATACAACGTTAAGCATAACGGGAGTGGAAGATACAACGTTAAGCATAACGGGAGTAGAAGATACAACGTTAAGCATATCGGGAGTTGAAGATACAACGTTAAGCGTGACGCAAGTAGAAGATACAACGTTAAGCATAACGGGAGTAGAAGATACAACGTTAAGCATAACGGGAGTAGAAGATACAACGTTAAGCATATTGGGAGTAGAAGATACAACGTTAAGCATAACGGGAGTGGAAGATACAACGTTAAGCATAACGGGAGTAGAAGATACAACGTTAAGCATAACGGGAGTAGAAGATACAACGTTAAGCATAACGGGAGTAGAAGATACAACGTTAAGCATAACGGGAGTGGAAGATACAACGTTAAGCATAACGGGAGTGGAAGATACAACGTTAAGCATAACGGGAGTAGAAGATACAACGTTAAGCATATTGGGAGTAGAAGATACAACGTTAAGCATAACGGGAGTGGAAGATACAACGTTAAGCATAACGGGAGTGGAAGATACAACGTTAAGCATAACGGGAGTAGAAGATACAACGTTAAGCATAACGGGAGTAGAAGATACAACGTTAAGCATAACAGGAGTGGAAGATACAACCTTAAGCATAACGGGAGTGGAAGATACAACGTTAAGCATAACGGGAGTAGAAGATACAACGTTAAGCATAACGGGAGTAGAACATACAACGTTAAGCATAACGGGAGTAGAAGATACAACGTTAAGCATAACAGGAGTGGAAGATACAACGTTAAGCATAACGGGAGTGGAAGATACAACGTTAAGCATAACGGGAGTAGAAGATACAACGTTAAGCATAACGGGAGTAGAACATACAACGTTAAGCATAACGGGAGTAGAACATACAACGTTAAGCATAATGATAGTAGAACATACAACGTTAAGCATAACGGGAGTGGATGATACAACGTTAAGCATAACGGGATTGGAAGATACAACGTTAAGCATAACGGGAGTGGAAGATACAACGTTAAGCATAACGGGAGTAGAAGATACAACGTTAAGCGTGACGCAAGTAAAAGATACAATGTTATGTGTAACGGGAGAGGAAGATACAACGATCAACGTAACGGAAGTGGAAGAAATAATGTTAAGCACAAGGTAGTGAAAGATATAGCGTTAAGTGTAACATGAGAGGAAGACACACTTTGAATCTTTATGCATAGATGTAAATATTAAACAGATGAGGCGTTTGGTTGTACTGGTCTCTTTTATTTCTAGTTCAGATGGGTAAATCAGTGGAAGCGAAGTGGCTATTTGCTTGTTACTGAACGATATCAGATCATCGATATACCTGAAGCGTAAGTTAAACTTCCCTTGCTTTGAATTTGCCAATCTGAGCAGAAATTCCTATCCATGTGCATAAAGAAACAGATCAACATGAAGAGAAGGACTGGCGCTCATGGGGATGACAACTACTTGCCGAAAGGTCTTAATCCCAAATTCACATAGATGACAATAAGGAAATCCAGTATTTCACATATCGTTTTCTCGGTAACTAAATGACTTGCCTTTGCATGTATTTGTGACGAATACCACCAGTGGAGCGGGGTAAGCTCATCTCGTCACTAACTACTGATGTCATCACTGATATTGGTATTCATTGACACATACTTATGATTCGTATGGACCGCCTCCGTGGTCTAGTGGGAGAACGTCCGCCCGGAGAGCTGAAGGTCTGGGGTTCGATCCCCGGCCGCGTCATACCAAAAGACGTCAAAAGATGGTACTTGTTGTTACACTGTCTGGCGCTCGGCATAAAGGGACTGGTCGGCTCGGAGTCAGTATACTGTGTCTGAGTGGGGTATTCATATTAAACTGCGGCATGGTATCTCAGTGTGCTAGTCCGGACTAGCACAAGCAGCCATGCATGTCGCTATATAAGTGCACTAATCTTGGACGCGAGTTAAACCAAATTTCACCTCACCTCACCTCACCTCACCTCACCTCACCTTATGAATCGTGCAATGGACCCTACTTTAAGCTGATATTTCTGGTGATTATGGAAATGGTTTTGTCTCTTGTATTTATTGCGATGTCCATTAACATGATTGGCGAGGGTATAATATATTCATATGCATAATAAGTTAAAGAAAGCATACAACTTGAAAATTATATTTTACCTGTCATTGTATCGAGAACATTTCCTTTCTTTATTTCCCAAACCTCTCAAACGTTTTTTTCAATAATTAATGTTCAATGTGTATTGTAAGCATAAAACTTAAAATTTAAGACTCGTTCAGACCTCGAAGTTTTCCTTATAGCGGAGTACGTTTCCTTTTGTTTGTATCAACAAAACTCGAACACTCAGTTTTTCATAATATCGAAGTTACTGCTTCAGACAAAAGGGCTAGGTGAAATGGAGTACCATCGATTGATTAATGCACTTATAGAAGATTAATGCACTTATATAACGACGTGCATGCACGTGTGTGTGTGTGTGTGCGTTATGCGTTTGTCAACTTGTACTAGTCTGACTAATGCCGATTACATAGTGCTAGCCCACTGAGATACCATGCCGCAGTCTAACACGAATACCCCACCCATACACTGTATACTGACTCCGAGCCCACCAGTCCTTGTTTTAGCGCTTATATATGGAGCGCCAGACAGGGTAACAACAAGTACCATCTTTTGACGTCTTTTGGTATGACGCGGCCGGGGATCGAACCCCAGACCTCCTGCTCTCTGTGTAGACGCTCTACTACGGGGGCGGTCTTCAGGCAAACAGCACCCGTCAAAACAATCATGGAAATACAGGTAAAAAGAGTGACCTTATTATTTGTAACAAATTTTATGACCTTAAGTTAAGCGGTAGCGGTATAACCTACACTACGCTCAAATATTATAACACCTAGTGACTCGTTCAGGATTCATTATTGACAACATTAAAGGATGCACACTCATCAATCCCACCTTGCTTTGCTTGACGTCGATGAAGAATGAGCTTCCAGGGGCCAGCATGATGCCGCTCTCCAACGTCCTCGCATATTCCTTGGGCTCGTGCAGAAATATCTTTAACATTGAGACTTCCATTGTACTGATAGTCATTGTCATGTACGTGTATATTAGATAATAAGAAAACGTGTTTAACAAGCTCAAAACAGGGGACTACCTAACACAAGTTGTTTCACTTTCATCTGACACAATTTGACTAGTCATCACAGTATGCACCATTCTCCCAAAACGCTGTATCCGCGCTTGCAAGAATTAACATTTTTGAGGTGGGGTATGTGTAAAGATTGTTAGTTAGTTAGTTTGTTTGTTTGTCTGTTTTTTAACGCCACACTCAGCAATATTCCAGCTATATGATGGCGGTCTGTAAATAATCGAATCTGGACAGACAATCCAGTGTTTGACATCATGAGCATCAATCTACGTAATTGGGATACGATGACATGCATCAACCAAGTCAGTTAGCCTGACCACCCGATCTTGTTAGTCGCCTCTTACGACAAGCGTTGGTTGCTGAAGACCTATTCTGACCCGGATCTTCACGGGTCGGTATGCATAATGATGTGTGTGATTTGTCATCAGTGTTTTACAAAAAAATTCTTTTAAAACAAATCTGCTAGTTCAAAATATACATTTAATTGATTTAACGACACTTGTCTTTCTGATAAAACATTTTTGTGTCATTATTCAGACATTGTATTTATCAAATTTATTTCGATGACAACAAATAGAGTGATTGATTGAGTATGGTTTTACGCCGCTTTTAGCAATATTCCAGCAATATAATGGCGGGGGACACCAGAAATGAGCTTCACACATTGTACCCATGCTGGAATCGAACCCGGGTCTTCGACGTGACGAGCGAACGCTTTAACGACCTGGCTACCCGACCGCCCCGACCACAAATAGAAATTTCACTGACCACAAATCATTGTCAAAATGATAGTAGTTGTGAGGTGATACAGTTCAGTTAACGTTAGTGCTTGGACATTGATGAGTCCAACGTACTGGTTCAGAAGACTTAGAGAGGTTTATCTGGCCATACCATTGCGCCTGCCGTCAAGTCCCCTTCCATGATCGCTCCTTCATCCCCAATGTTGAGAAACATCTCCAGTCCCCCATTGCGGCCTTCAAACGTGGATTTAGCTACATCTGTAAGATTGGTGTTCGCCACGAAGCATTTCCCAACGTAGGCATTGACTGGCTTAAAAGTCATTTCTCCAGTACCTCGCCATCTCACAGCCGATATGAACTTAGACATATTTGTTGAATAGTGTTCATTTACATAGCTGAGCGTGAGTTGTTCTAGCTCACGTGATTTAGGATCTGACCAATTAACTGGTGGAAGATTGCCATAGATTGTGAAATTGAATAAGTAGTTCTTCAATGTCTGGGAGATATTCTTTTCAAAGACATCTATATTGTTCATATTACAGACAGTTATTGCAGGAAATGGCATTTCTCGTTCCACGTTGATCTGAGTTTTAGATATTACCCTGTATTCGCAGAAGTCTTTGTAGGACTGGAAGAGTGTGAAGAGAAGACCCCCCAGCATCCCGAGGACCAGGAGTGTCCACAGTACCCTGGAAGTAGAAAGGAGGTAATTAATAGTGCCTTATCAAGAGAAGGAATACAGATCCATTTTAATGAGCCCGGGCAACAGAGGGTAGAGGGGGTGGGGGGGGGGGGGAGGGGGGGCATTGTACAGAGCCATGGCAACAGAATCAATGGAGATCCATTGTACAGAGCCGTGACAACAGGTGGGCGAGAGATCCATTGTACAGAGCCCTACCAACAGAATCAATGGAGATCCATTGTACAGAGTCATGAAAACAGATGGGAGAGCGATCCATTGTACAGAGCCCTACCAACAGAATCAATGGAGATCCATTGTACAGAGCCATGGCAACAGAAGAGGGAGAGGACCATTGTACAGAGCCCTAGCAACAGAATCAATGGAGATCCATTGTACAGAGTCATGACAACAGAAGAGGGAGAGATCCATTGTACGGAGCCCTACCAACAGAATCAATGGAGATCCATTGTACAGAGTCATGAAAACAGATGGGAGAGCGATCCATTGTACAGAGCCCTACCAACAGAATCCATGGAGATCCATTGTACAGAGTCATGGCAACAGAATCAATGGAGATCCATTGTACAGAGTCATGGCAACAGAATCAATGGAGATCCATTGTACAGAGCCATGGCAACAGAAGAGGGAGAGGACCATTGTACAGAGCCCTAGCAACAGAATCAATGGAGATCCATTGTACAGAGTCATGACAACAGAAGAGGGAGAGATCCATTGTACGGAGCCCTAGCAACAGAATCAATGGAGATTCATTGTACAGAGCCATGGCAACAGAAGAGGAAGAGATCAATTGTACAGAGCCCTACCAACAGAATCAATGGAGATCCATTGTACAGAGCCATGGCAACAGAAGAGGGAGAGGACCATTGTACAGAGCCCTAGCAACAGAATCAATGGAGATCCATTGTACAGAGTCATGACAACAGAAGAGGGAGAGATCCATTGTACGGAGCCCTAGCAACAGAATCAATGGAGATTCATTGTACAGAGCCATGGCAACAGAAGAGGAAGAGATCAATTGTACAGAGCCCTAGCAAAAGAATCAATGGAGATCCATTGTACAGAGTCATGACAACAGATGGGAGAGAGATCCATTGTACAGAGCCCTAGCAACAGAATCAATGGAGATCCATTGTACAGAGTCATGAAAACAGAATCCATGGAGATCCATTGTACAGAGTCATGGCAACAGAATCAATGGAGATCCATTGTACAGAGTCATGAAAACAGAATCAATGGAGATCCATTGTACAGAGCCATGGCAACAGAAGAGGGAGAGGACCATTGTACAGAGCCCTAGCAACAGAATCAATGGAGATCCATTGTACAGAGTCATGACAACAGAAGAGGGAGAGATCCATTGTACGGAGCCCTAGCAACAGAATCAATGGAGATTCATTGTACAGAGCCATGGCAACAGAAGAGGAAGAGATCAATTGTACAGAGCCCTAGCAACAGAATCAATGGAGATCCATTGTACAGAGTCATGACAACAGATGGGAGAGAGATCCATTGTACAGAGCCCTAGCAACAGAATCAATGGAGATCAATTGTACAGAGTCATGAAAACAGAATCCATGGAGATCCATTGTACAGAGTCATGGCAACAGAATCAATGGAGATCCATTGTACAGAGCCCTAGCAACAGAATCAATGGAGATCCATTGTACAGAGCCGTGACAACAGGTGGGCGAGAGATCCATTGTACAGAGCCCTACCAACAGAATCAATGGAGATCCATTGTACAGAGTCATGAAAACAGATGGGAGAGCGATCCATTGTACAGAGCCCTACCAACAGAATCAATGGAGATCCATTGTACAGAGCCATAGCAACAGAAGAGGGAGAGGACCATTGTACAGAGCCCTAGCAACAGAATCAATGGAGATCCATTGTACAGAGTCATGACAACAGAAGAGGGAGAGATCCATTGTACGGAGCCCTAGCAACAGAATCAATGGAGATTCATTGTACAGAGTCATGAAAACAGAAGAGGAAGAGATCAATTGTACAGAGCCCTAGCAACAGAATCAATGGAGATCCAATGTACAGAGTCATGACAACAGATGGGAGAGAGATCCATTGTACAGAGCCCTAGCAACAGAAGCAATGGAGATCCATTGTACAGAGTCATGAAAACAGAATCCATGGAGATCCATTGTACAGAGTCATGGCAACAGAATCAATGGAGATCCATTGTACAGAGTCATGGCAACAGAATCAATGGAGATCCATTGTACAGAGTCATGACAACAGATGGGAGAGAGATCCATTGTACAGAGCCATGAAAACAGAATCCATGGAGATCCATTGTACAGAGTCATGGCAACAGAATCAATGGAGATCCATTGTACAGAGTCATGGCAACAGAATCAATGGAGATCCATTGTACAGAGTCATGGCAACAGAATCAATGGAGATCCATTGTACAGAGTCATGGCAACAGAATCAATGGAGATCCATTGTACAGAGCCATGGCAACAGAAGAGGGAGAGATCCATTGTACAGGGCCATGACAACAGAATCAATGGAGATCCATTGTACAGAGTCATGACAACAGAAGAGGGAGAGATCCATTGTACAGAGCCATGGCAACAGAATCAATGGAGATCCATTGTACAGAGTCATGACAACAGAAGAGGGAGAGTTTCACTGAGTTGACTCCCAGACAGATGGATATATCCGGTGAAATATGGTATAGTGACATAGTGAAATGTACTTTTGCAACACAATGAAATAAGGCGTAGGGACATCATGAAATGTGGTTTTGCAACACAATGAAATAAGGCGTAGGGACATCATGAAATGTGGTTTTGCAACACAATGAAATATGGCGTAGGGACATCGTGAAATGTGGTTTTGTAACACAGTTAAATATGGCATAGGGACATCGTGAAATGTGGGAGATCTATGTCACTATACAGGGAAATTAGCTTTTGGAATCAAATGCTCTTCAGACAATGGTTTTCTCAAATCAGTCGCTATGACATCATCATCAAAATATTGGTATAAGATAGCGAAAATCAGTGTATAACATGATATATATGACGTAACTGAGGCAGAACTCAAGTTTTGGTAACTTTGGAGATATAACTTGATAAACAGTTTTGTTATTTTGCCTTTATGAAGTTGCACCATCTGTAATATATATTAATGCGCACAGTCCAGGAAAACATTTTGTTAGAGAAGGGAATAGGCTTTTCAACGATAGAATTTAAGAATGGCATACAATAATACAGGCATCTTCCCGCGGAAATGGTGTTAACTGACTTTTTTATAAAGTCATTTAACATCTTTGCCGCGGTAAGATGTAATACAGAATGAGTGAATGAGTTGGTTTAACGAAGCTTTGAACAGCCTTCCCGCTATATCATGTTGTGTCAGCTTGTAGTGGGAGAAAAGCGCGAAGTGGTGCATGTCTTAGACGTTTACCACTTTGGTTAAAACCCACGAACACGGGTATAGTCCTGACAAACCTTGAAACATAATAAGGGCGAACCCGGTTTCGAACCCACTAGCATGCGTTTCTGGCGTGCCCAAGGGACGCAACTCTGCATAGTGAAAGCACGCCGTAGACGACTGGGCCACCCATGACCCTATTTCATAAAAAGGTATCATGCTTCACGGATGGTAAATATCATGTATTAGGCATAAGGACTATGTACTTAGCTTGCCAAGGCTCGCTAAATTCAATGTTTATTGCTAAAACAGGACATATACAATCCCAAAATACACTCGTGAGATAACCTCTCTATATGTTTCAATGACGCAGACTGATGTAGAGTCGGCGTAAATTTATATTTTTAGATAAATACATAATATCACCACGAAATGGGCTACATCATAATACCTGTGTACAGACCCTCGCTGGCTGTCTTCAGCGTTCTTACACCCATGCAAGGTGGTCTCCTGTAGAAAGCCCCGCCATATTTGGGAGACGTCGTTGTTAGTCATGCATGTTTTCTTTACTCTATCCTGGAGATCGCCCTCTTTCAGATTCGGTGGCAGCTGATCTCGACATGGGCACCTGCAGGTGTGACTATCCTCTTCCATACTTGGTGCCAGCAGATTGGAATCCTTTTTTGAAAGTGGTGCCAGAAGTCCATCAATCAGAAGTACATGTCAGTCAATCATAATAACCATTAACTGTTCTTATTCCACGTCTCCACACTTTGTTCAGATTCCGGCGCATCTGGTAGTCCTGTGTTTTATGCGCATCTAGCCCAGTGAACTTTAAACCTACACAGACTACATACGATGAGTCGTTGCCCTAATACGATCTGCGCAAACGCATTCGATGTTCAGGGGTCCGTTCCACAGAGCTATCTTTGCTCTAAGTGATCGGAACTACCATACTTTAACATAGACTTACGACTGTCGTTGCGCTGCGATCGCTTTTCGAACGGGGCCCAGAACTCCTCCAGTGAAAATCGCCATGTACACACCGTCTACTTGGCCACGTGTTGATGTCTATGAAAATGATAACCTTCAAAGTGGACAAGAGCGATGGTTAATTGTAAGTTAAGTATGACTACTGCTACTTTCCATTATTCTGAACAAACGGTCGATACTCGCGCCTAACGTGGAGAGTTATTGCACATGGTGTATTAACGGCCATCTTCCATTAAGTGATTTGACAAATGCCAGTACAGTCGTTGGTGGTTTTCTGGAGTTGATTGCTGGGACGTTACCCGTTTGTACCACCAGCCAACCCGCTCATAGGCACGGCAGTCCATCGGACAGGATCGATGTGTGTACTGCATTATTGGTCGTACCTGCATTATTGGTTAAGCTTTCTGGACAAATGGATTGTCAAACAACTCATTTTGGGAAAGTTTGTACTGTAAATGAAAGTTCCATTGTTCACACAATTGATCAATATCGGCTGTGGACGCAACTGGGCTCAGATTCTCATCAAATGATAACGAATTGAATGAAAGGCGAATATGGGCCAATCTTTTAAAATGGATTCTGTAGTGATTGTTAACCTAAACATCAGATTCTGTTCAATTCTATTTAAAAGAGATCACTTTCAGTTTTGAAAATTAGATCCAAGGAACTCATAAAAATACAATGCCCTTTATATTATTATTGTAATTATTATTTTATATTATTATTATAATCATTATAATTTAAATAACTGCCAGTTGACCAGGCTGGGGTTTGAATTATTTCATTGTTAATATATTCCATCTGGAGCACATTTTGCACCAAAAAACTCCAACGACTGAAATCTGAAACAACTTGTGTCGGGTGGAGGCAGGATACGCTCACCTTGCATCTTCACAACTGATATTGATTCATAAACACATGATTATGACATAGTCGGAATTGTACAAAATACTTTTAATAGATTTTTTAGGATTATTGTCAAGGTTTTTTTGTCGCTTTTATTTAGAAACATGAAAATTCGACCTCAGGTATTCCTTTATTCACAATATGTTGCATGTGTGTGTGTGTGGGTGTGGGTGTGTGGGTGTGTGTGTGTCTGTGTCTGTGTCTGTTGTGTGTGTTGTGTGTGTTCCGTGTTGGCTGTTCGCTGACTGATGAGAAACACGTGAAAAGTAAGCTATAGTTTCACAATGGGAGACACACGTGTATATTGGGGTACTGGTGAGAGACGCACAATTGTTTCACAATGGGAGACACACGTGACTATTAGGCTATATTCTAACATTAAACGCTGACACCTACAGTCGTTTGAACAACCTTCGCGTCTGGATTAACCATGTGTTAATGACTTGTGAGAAGCCATTTTAGCTTTGATGCCACCATACTTCATCATCTTCCTCAAAAGCGTCCACATCATGTACAACGTCTCCCCCATCTCCGCCACCGTCACCAGACTCGCTCCCAGGAAGAAGCCCATCTGACCGCCCAGGCTGCATGGAAGGAGAGAGCAGATTGAATGCTATAGGCCATCTGACCTCCCAGGCTGCCTGGAAGGAGAGAGCAAATTTAATGCTATAGTCCATCTGACACCTCATACTGCCTAGAAGGAGAGAGCAGATTCAATGCTATAGTCCATCTGACCACCCAGGCTGCCTGGAAGGAGAGAGCAGATTCAATGCTATAGTCCATCTGACCACCCAGGCTGCCTGGAAGGAGAGAGCAGATTAAATGCTATCGTCCATATTGTTCAAAATTAACCAAAAGCGCAACAACGCAACATTTTTGACCATTTGTCGCAGTGTCGTTTACCAAAGGGCGCCACGCGACAACGCCACATCTGCAAGGTCAAAATGTTGTGTTCTCGCGTTGTCGCAATTGGGTTAATTATGACGCTTTTTGCCTGACAACACGCCACTGACCCTCATAGGATTCCATATACTATAGCTAGTATCCTATCCTATTTGCTCACCTAGCAGGTGCGTTGTGAAGCAGTAGTAGTAAACATTAACTTGCAAAGATTTTGTCCTGCAAACAAGACTAAAACATAACCAAAAGAAACGCTAACAACCAATATTGTTTGTTCCTAAAATCAGAACAGGACCAATGTTAAGGAAGATCAGAATACATGAATTAACAACATCATTACAAGTTATGCCCTGAGAATCAAGTTGGCCTAAAATGTACCCTATTTCAGCTTGAGATGTATCAGTTGTGAGGATAAAGGGTTCGTTTTGGTTGGGATGTGCAAGGATTGGGGCTAAAGTAAGGGCTTGCTTTAGTTTTCGATTGTCTGGTGGACCATTCGAAAGACACGTCTCTCTTCAGAAGGTTGTATAGAGGGGAGGGGATGCCAGAAAAGTTTGCTACAAATTTGCGATAATACGATGCTAAACCTGGGAAATGACGCATGTCGTGGACATTTTAGGGGGTGGGATCTGTGTGACTGAATCTATTTTTTGAAGTCCTAAAAACAAAAGGGAATTGATTTGGAAACCTTTCGTAGACTGAACCAAAACAAAGTTTTCTCAACAAAGTAAACAATGAAAGATTATTTTGTTTAATCTCAGCTCATCTGTGACCAATGACTTACGCCTTTAATATAGGTAAGTGGGTGACAAAACAATGTCATGCAGTTGCTTCTACATTCCGTGTAATCCTTTGTCATCTGATAATGTGTTTCCTAGACGCAGAGTATTTGCAAATTCCAGACAGAAAGAGTGAGAGAACGGGGTCAAACTTAGGTCACATGTCAAGAACAAAAATATGACTTATGAACATCAAATTGTATTTTTCTTATTTTGTTAAAAGGAATCGTGGGACCACATGTTAAATCAACTTTCTCAGAATGTATATGCATACGACTTCCTCGCTGTCTGTCTTCGACCATCTTCCCGAAGCAAGGGCAATAACGGACAATAAAAGTCCAGTTTCCATCCTTGCCGAACAAGGCTGGAATTTACAGGCTCGATCCTAGCACCATCACTGGCTATTACGAGTAATGTCCCTTCTATGTTCATCCTATTGACCAATCAGATTCCATCTCTCATATCACTTGCATTAGCTTCAAACAAAATGGCGCTGCCCAGTCAAGACGATCTGCTCAATGGTCAAGCTCTATATTGTAATAGAACGGGTCTTACCCCGCGAAGTGCATGATATCACGTGAGCACCTTGATTAAAAGCATGAAACAATTCGCAAAGTATCTGTCGATGCCCAGTTGGCGGTATACATGCTTTGCAAATCCTTCAGTCGACCGAAATCTGCACATTGAAATCCATGTTGTTTACGAACCGGATGTCTAGTTCGTTACGCCATTTTGATTGGACTATTCATAGGCTCGTTAGTCCAACCAACTTGTAACTCCATAATTGCAGCCTAGTTAGGCAAGGGTGGAAAGGGGACTTTTATAGTCAGTTAACTCCCTTGTCTCGGGAAGATGGTTTTCGATGTTCTTATACCAATACAAGGTGGTCTCCTGTAGAAAGCCATGCCATACTTAGGAGACGTCGTTGTTGGTCATGCAGGGGTTTGTTTTAATCTATCAGGGTGACCTCTCTCTTCCATGCTTGGCGCCAGCGAGTATCCTCTTTAGTACTTGGTGCCAGGTGACCTCGACACGGGTTCCTACAGGTGTGACTATTGTCTTCGCGACTTCGTGCCAGCTACTCTCGACACGGGCACCTGCAGGTGGGACTATCATCTTCCATGTTGTACAATACGTGTAACCTAGGGTAATACATCCCATATCACATGGCCTAATATCACACAGCACACTCTGTGCTAGATAATTGGAAGTACATTATCGTACCTTTCATGGTGTCATACAATCATCGACCAATCTATACTGTCAACGCTAAACACATTAAGAGATTAAAGATGCATTAGCTTCAAATAAAACGGTGACGGTGTATCACAGAGGCAAACAGCCTCCATGACCTTGGCATTAGCACATGAAGATGTCTGTACACAAGCCTGTGCACTTCCGTGAATGTCTTAATCATTTTAAACAGCTATAATGGCCCCCTGATGCAGTTCTGTTTATTATACCATATATAATGGACATATTTACGTGATAGTAAATGTGAAACTAACTGCCGACTAGTGTGCTCGCCAACCCCTACAATCCACCCAGAAGCCTTCGATCAGAGCATCAACTCCTGCTGGCAGTGCCCAAGACTCAAGTCATATGGTCACATTCGCCACTTGGGAGTTCTCTGCCTGCCGATACCAAGTAGTCGCCCTCCTGGGACTCTTTCAAATCAGTCCTGAAAACCCAACTCGTCTGATGTTGCTACTTCTAATTCCCACCTGTTTTTACTGTCTGGCTGGAGACGCTACATTTAGTTACTCCCTAGACGTTACCTGGTTGGTACGTAGCCCTCGCCGCTACATGGCTGAAATAATGCCGATGCGACGTTTAATGTTAACTCGCTCGCTATTATATAGACGTTATCTAGTTATTACCTGTTCTTACTGTCTAGGCATGGGTTAACCCACGAGGACTCGGTGTCTAATCGTTGAAATGGTAAATTAAACCACGAGGCTCGCAGCGCCGAGTGGTTTAATCAACCATTTCAACGATAAGAGTGGTCCGAGTGGTCTAACATACTTAAACCATGTCCAACATTTATAGCACCTAAAATCTTTGAAGGTAATTTGAAAGATATTAAGGAACTCTGTGTTCAAGTGTGAGAACACTGTGTGAGTCGGCCTTGCGTGAAGCACGTGAAAAGTGTTCCCCCAGCTTTGGGTTATGAAATGCATGTCCCGGGGCAAGTATAACAGTCATTTTGGACCAACTCGAGCACATTTATCAATCACCTGAATATTACTTGCCCATGTTGATAGGCCTATCATGAGCAAACATAGCCCTGATCAATATAATAGTAATTTCTTTTCTGTCCGTTCGTTCGTTGAACGTAAAGCTACAAAATCACAAGCACTGTACAAATACTAGAATGCGTAGAGTAACTTACTGCTTAAAAATTGCATAAAACACATTTCGCAGTTCATAAACGGATAAACAATTAGTCCTGATATAAGTAAATATTTAGTTAATTCCACACCATATCTTTCATGTCGCCGTAGCAGAAGACTACATTCGTTAGCCTTCATTGCGGACTTCGCATGTTCGAATTCCGCTGGCGACAAATGTTTTTCATGAAATTGTTCTCTCATCAAGATACACCAAAGGGGAAAAAAACAAAAGTTCCGTCATTTCCAAGTGGTGTTTAACTAACAATTCAGTTAGTTATACCACGGTCAAAGACAAAGCAGCCATGTTTAAACCCTGCATGCTTAAAGCCTTGCGTGTTTTATGTGGCGGTATGAGCATGCACTCGTGTGTGGGTATGGCGGAATAGAAATGTCCATTAATATTAACACATTATAGCCGTTAGATAGTTACAACATAGACGTTGCCTTAGTTACTATAAACTGTCCAAACGTCCAAAAGAAACTTTACCAGAGTTTGAAATCACTCTTGCTCAAAAACAAAACATACATGCACAAAGTGAAGTGTATTGAGAAGATCAATATATCAACATAATCAACACTGAAAATGACAATCATACCGCGACCGAGAATGACGTCAGAGCCCCCCAAAGTTGGGTGTGGTACAAAACTCGAGTTTTCAGAATCATGGACAATAGGCAGAGTACATAAACAATCGCTCACGTTCAATAAAAAGTCATTCGTAGCGTGTGTGACCACCAAATGCCTCAATACACGCAAAAACTCTTCGACGCACAGAAAAAGTCAGTCGTCTGATGAGGTCACATGGGATTTGACGCCATTCTTCTTGGAGGGCCAAGATCAGTTCTTGCCGGTTGGCTGGAGAGTGTGGTCGTTGTCGAACACGACGACCCATCAAGTCCCAGAGCTGTTCTATAGGGGACATGTCGGGTGAGCGTGCAGGCCACGGCAGGACGTTGACGTCCTTGGCTGCGAGGAAGTTAGTGACAATTATGGCTGTATGGGCTCTAGCGTTGTCATGCTGATAAATGACACCACGTGTCTGCTGTTGGAGAAATGGTAGGACAACTGGACGAAGAATGCTATCCATGTAACGCTGAGCTGTCAAGTTTCCGTCAACGATGACCAGCGGTGTCCTCTCCTGCCCACAGATCCCTCCCCACACCATGACACTCCCTCCACCATATGGTACGACCTCCTGCACGCAACACGTCGCCGTTCGTTTACCCCTTCGGTGGTAAACACGTTGTCTTCCATCAGCCCTAAACATACAGAATCGACTTTCGTCAGTGAAGACAACCTTCTGCCAGTCACGTCGTTGCCAACGTCGTACAGTCCGGGCCCATCTCAATCGCAGACGACGATGTTGCGCTGTCAATAGCTGTCCTCTGTATGGTCTAAAAGCCCTGATTCAATGAGCCCTGAGTCTCCTGGCCACTGTCTGTCGACTAACCCTGTGACCTAAGGCATTTGTCGCTGATGACGTCACTGTCAGGAAGCGATTTCGGAGGTGCAAGGTACGCAAGTACCGGTCATCATGGGGCGTGGTCTGCCTGTTCTTGGCCTGTCAGCGGTCTGCCCTGTCTTTCTGTAACGTTGCATCAAGTTGGTAACGGCAACACGGGAGGGTTCGTGCAATCTGGTCGTGGGTGGCTCCCATCTGTACCATACCCAAGGCTCGTTCACGTTGTTTGACTGTGAGTCGTGGCATTTCTTTTGTGTTTTTTTATCACTGTGGATGTCTGACTTGCCGTTGCAATCGTTTTATACCCTTACCCGCACGTGCATTTGCAGTTGTCCGTGGTGCACGTGTTTTTCACTTTTTCGCGTGTTATCTCGCAAACATGTAACAGACGATTACCATTTTCTGCATACACTATTGTTGTATTTAGGTTATGTGTTTTAGATGGACTTCATCGAAAAAAAAATTATACTCTGTCTGAAATTTATATTTTCAGTTGGTAAAGTTTCTTTTGGACGTCAGTTTATATCCACTATCTAGTTATTATATATTGCCATTACCTTTCGTTACTATATAGCCGTTACCTAGCTACTGTTAAACTGCGGCATGGTATCTCAGTGGGCTAGCACTATAAATCGGCATCACTATACAAGCAGCAACACAAACACACACACGTACATGCACGTCGCTATATAAGTGCAATAATCTTGGACGCGACGTTAAACCCCATTTCACCTCACCTCACTATGTAGCCGTTATCCAGTTACTATGTAGACGTTACCTAGTTACGTTATAGCCATTAACATAGTTACTATATAGCCGTTATCTAGTTACTATATATAGCCGTTTTGTAGTTACAATGTAACCGCTACCTAGTTACTATATAGCCGTTTTCTAGATACTATATAGCCGTTTTCTAGTTACTATATATAGCCGTTTTCTAGTTACAATATAACCGCTACCTAGTTACTATATAGCCGTTTTCTATTTACTGTATATAGCCGTTTTGTAGTTACAATATAACCGCTACCTAGTTACTATATAGCCGTTTTCTAGTTACTATATATAGCCGTTTTGTAGTTACAATATAACCGCTACCTAGTTACTATATAGCCGTTTTCTAGATACTTTTTAGACGTTACTTAGATAGGATATAGCCATTACCATAGTTACTATATAGCCGTTATCTAGTTACTATAGCCGTAACTTAGCTACTATATAGTCGTTATCTAGTTACTATAGCCGTTACTATATAGCCGTTATCCGGTTACTATAAAGTCGTTACCTTGTTACTAAATAGCCGTTACCTAGTTACTATATAGCCATTATCTAGTTACTATAGCCATAACTTAGTTACTATATAGCCATTATCTAGTTACTATAACCGTTACTTAGTTACTACATAGCCGTTATCTAGTTACTATAAATCCGTTACCTAGTTGCTATATAGTCGTTATCTATAGTTACTATAGCCGTTACTATATAGCCGTTATCTAGTTACTATAAAGCCGTTATCTAGTTACTTTTTAGCCGTTACCTAGTAACTATATATAGCCGTTATCTAGTTACTATATAGTTGTTACCCGGCAACTATATATAGCCATTACCTATAGTTACTATATAGACGATACCTAGTTACTATATAGGCGTTATCTAGTTACTATATAGCCGTTATCTAGTTACTTTATAGCACTTACCTAGTTACAACATAGACGTTACCTAGTTATTTATAGCCGTTAGGGACCGACCATTTGATATTCTTGGGGTGGGGGGACCGAGATTTTATCAAAGAAAGTAAATTGCCTCCGAAATCTCTTGAAAAATATAATTAAACTTCAGAGTGTTGAGAAAAAATTACTTTACCTGCCACAATAATTACATTCTCGTAAGGTAATGTTTCTCAGGTCCATACTTTGAAATATAAAAAAGATCTAGTTTTGAAGCTGTAGCTGATAAAATATCTAATTACACCCAAGATTCAATGTCACAAGGGTCAATATTTACAACGACTAGACCTTGACTTGAAATGATCCTCGAAATCGTGAAACAACGCAATATTGGCAGGCAGTCGTCTTGGGCTGGGACGGGTAACATGGGTGGGTGGTTACTGAGCAGGGCCCGTGGTTAGTCACGTGATATATTGTTTCATGACAAAAGTTCACATTTACTACATGGGTACACAAGTCAATAATGTTCGCATTTCTTCAAGACCATGAACGCATTCCTCCAGACTTATATATGTTTGAATAAAGATAAAACGTCAATCAACTTCAGGGTATATGCATGACCAGATCGTTTTATGCGTGTATCTAAATACATTTTGCTCGGGCTACTGTCAAACTATTCCCAATCGGACATTTTGTACCTATATCTTGAAACCAACAACGGGTACCCGGGTATGGTCAGGTAATAGGGGTGTGGGTGCCTGGGTAGTAAATCAGGACTCGTTCCAGACCTACAATCGTTGCTAAACTGCAAATCGCCCACAGCTCCGGTTTGTTATTGCTATTGCTGTGCCGTTTCCATTTCATTCCGGATCCCTCTTTTGTCCATTTTAATCTATTTCATGTCTCCCTCCTAGAAGAGTGCTTCCGGTTGAAAATGTCGAACCTGTCACAGTTGTGAATCAGAAGACAATTAGATGCTTCTTCACAATCTAGACTAGACAATACAAACATGAAGAGTCGTGTCTCTTAAGAAGACAGAAGTGTGTGCTGTGTTGCAAAGGTACGATACTAAAAGAAAACTCGATGTATGCGGGTTCAGCTGTGTTGTCTGTTTACCTGCTTGAAGGCCAAGATGAGGTTCGAATGGTGTTGGGATTTGCGACGTCAGTATCATTAATTTGACGCCTAGTTACGTAAACTGTACGCGAGATAATTATCTAAATTACTTTTGCAGTTTAGTGCATGTCTTTTACGAGTCAACAAACACATACTACGGGGTTGGGGTCTTTATTGCAGATGCCAAAATCAAGGATCTAAGATATCAGACACCCTGAAACACATAAACCTAAAATGAAATTAAAACAAATATATACTAAAAACTACATCGGCCACATTACAAGCAGTTATCTAAATCAAAAGAACTTTTATATGAAACATTAATTGCATGTGATTCTGTTGTTGTAGATGAAATAGAGATTCAATTGTCGTTGTTTCGGGTTGTGGTAATATCCCAATGTAACCTGAATTCGGCGTTCTCCTGTTTACGGCGATCATGTTTCTCGCGTTATTGTCCCAGAGCACGTGCAGTGTCAGAGGTCACTGGATGATATTTTCGTCAGCAGGTCACTTCGACCCTCTCGGAAAAAAATCGGCTACATATAATGGAAATAAGGAAGGTATTCTCACTATATTTACAAAAACGTTGTTGAAATATACTCTAGAAACTTATAACCATTCTTACCCTATTTAAAAGTGTTGAAAATCGTAGTACTAAACTTCTAAAAATTCGCCTTTCAGCATCGTTTGCTAAGTTAACCATGTCTGTCAACAATATATCATGTGACTGACGTCATCAGATGCCACGGGGTTAAACAAATATGGAAACATTTTGGGACATCTCTTATACTATTTTACCATTCGTTCCAATGGTTCTAAGATACCTCTTTATGTTCTTTTAGACCAGTACGACCGTTCGTGGTCATTATAGATCAAATTACAGCATTGATGACCTGTATAATGCCTATAAACTTGTTACCGAAGAAAATGTATCTGCACAGAGGGCTGAAGCTAGGTGGGGGGTTCCAGTTTCAACACTTAAAGACCGTCTTCTCGGAAATGTCAGCCTTGACACAGTCAAGTCAGGACTGATGCCTTTATTTACAGCAACACAGGAATCATTCTTGACCAGTCACATTCGGGTTATGGGGGAGATTAGCTATGGTTACCCTCGTCAGGAGACAATCAACCTTGCGAGTGACTATGCTGTCCACTGGGGATATCGGGATCGTTCTCATCCATTGAGTTTACGGTGGTTGTACAGCTTCACTGATAGATGGCCAAAACTTAAAGTACAGAAGCCACGCAAACTGGAGGCTGCAAGGGCGAGATCGGCGATATGGAGAACATTGCGAGGTATTTTGAAGAGCTGTCACATGTCATAAAGAAACACAGCTTGGACAATTCTCCTCATGCTATCTTCAACATCGACGAGACAGGCCTCTCTACCGACGATACAACACCCAAGATTGTTGCTGGTGTTAATTGCAAGGCACAGACCGTGACATCCGGGAAGTCTAAAACAGTCACGATGATTGCAGCTGTCAGTGCAGTTGGTGGGAATGTTCCTCCATATTTTGTATTTCCTGGTCAACGGATAAGAGAAGAACTGGTGTCTGAAGCAACACCTGGAGCCTCTGGCACTGTGTCTGAGACAGGATGGTCGAATACAGACGTATTCAGCACCTACATGAAGGATCACTTGGCAAAATACCTCCTAGCTCGTGACGCAGATTCACCCGTTCTTATATTATATGACGGCCACAAGAGTCACGTGTCACTTGGTTTAATTGAATGGGCAAGGCAAAATCACGTCATATTGTTTGTACTTCCACCTCATACCAGTCATCTTTTGCAACCGCTTGATATTGGGTGTTACAGTCCTGGATTAGAGCCTGTCATTCATTTCTTAGAGAAAATTCTGGGAGAGCCGTCAGTAAACACGACATATGCGGGATAGCATGTAAAGTGTTTAATTCCACTTTGACGCCTATTAACATTGTATCTTCCTTCAGAAAATCTGGGGGGCGGTCGGGTAGCCTGGTGGTTTAAGCGTTCGCTCGTCACGCCGAAGACCCGGGTTCGATTCCCGACATGGGTACAATGTGTGAAGCCCATTTCTGGTGTCCCCCGCCGTGATATTGCTGGAATATTGCTAAAAGCGGCGTAAAACCATACTCACTCACTCACTCAGAAAATCTGGAATCCACCCGTTCAACTCCGATGTTGTTGATGCCTTGCTTGTCATGCCTGCCCGGTCTTTTACCAGGCCCCACCGTCTGATTCGGAAGAAAATGCGGTTGTTGCCAATACTGATTGTGCTATACGAGATTTTCTGAAATGTCGGGGTGTTGAAGAATGTGAAAACGTTTAAACCAAGGAATACACTGAGTAAAATTGTCGGTGGGAAAGCAATAACTGACCAGACAATACTTGACAAAATTACAGCACATCGGCATAAACAGAATAAAGTAGGCAAACAGAATTGCATAAGAGGAAACGGGACAGTCAACGTGATCCATGTACTGACCAACCCACAACATCAGGCGTGGATATATCTATTGGAAAAGGCAACTCTTCCAGTAACAACAAAGCCAAGGGGAAGAGATCTAGTCGCGCAGGTGCTGCCAAAGCTACGCGCGCACCTGTAGTCCCACCTAGTGACAGTTTCACAGACAGTGAGACAGATGAAGACGAAGTCTGTTGTGTTGTCGGGAAATTCACTCCCGATGCCTTACGGTACACTGACACAATCACATTTGTAAAGCGGTCAGAGTGCAGTTAATGTGGACATTGGGTGCATCTAGTAAGAAGTTATGATTTGTCCGCACTCATACACAATTTCTTTGTGCCCACAGTGAGCCAACGGTTGAAGAGTAAAATTCATAAGTATCTTCAAATGTTCCAGTTGGAGTGACTCATTTAATATTTCTTAATTAAGTTGGAACTACGTTGAGTTCCATTGTATTTTCACCAAAAACATTCACATGTTGTGTATGAAACAATTTTGGTTTTCATCAACGGCGCACCATACATTCTTCGTGTGAAACTTCATCTCCGAAAACAGGTGACGTAGGACGCATCTCCCAAATATGGGCCACTGCAGCAATGGCGGCAAGCGACAGCTAAATTTGAAGAGTGTCGTCAGTAAAATGTGAATGAATATCCTTTGACAGATGTTTGTTGACATTAACAGAAAATTATTTAGAACGTGTATAATTTTACCCTGCACTAGTCGTACATTACCCAAAACAGGTGAAACCGGGATATCGTAACCCAAATGAATTATTTCCAATTAGAAATTTCGAAATTTTATGACACTAAAAGGATTTTTTTGTAAAACTGTTTTGCATGTAAAAATATTTCTTAATAAGACAATATTATCCTTGGAGTATACGTTACCAATCATCTTGTATTCATTTATGAGGCAATTTTATTATTCAATTATACGTTTAAAAACATTCTTTTCAGACGCCGGCCATGTTTATCGCAATTGCTCTTACTATAACGAGTGTCTGTGTGTGTCTTTGATTCACCTTATTTGGATAGGGGACAAAACAGACCTTTTTGAGATTTCATAAAACAAACTTATCACCACGCAATTATTGGATTCACATTTATAAAGTCAGCCATTTATTCTCTGTAACATTCATGACAACACAGATACATATGACTATCATCAACACACAATCAAACACTTTAAGAGCAAGCTAAGTCAACATAGCAGCTAATACTTTAGGGCATACGTCTGTCTGTGCATCCATTGGATTACCTTGTTCACAACTTACGTCTCCTTAGAAACAGAACTGATGATGACTTCATTTGTTTACGCAGGTGATATATCCCTGAAAATCGTATATTGTGTGGAATAGGGCCGAGGGCAGCTGGTGATTTATTAACCGAACAAGATGTTAGCAATAAAATGCTAGTTACCGATTGTAAATTGTTACTTTAATTATTCACAATGTCAAGATCAAAGGTCATATGATATTTTTGTAGGACACAACAGAATTCGCGGAAACAATATATGTATAACCATGTGTTAACGGCGAAGAATCACAAGATAGATAAATGCTGCAAACATATCTGCCAATGAAAACAGCTGTCACCACTGTGCTGGTAGGTTTGTTTTTTGGTCGATTTCAGAGCATGTGATTTCAGTACTTTCACTTGGACATTTAAATACTTTCTACAAATATTATGAAGTTTTCTATCTTGGAAATAGACTGAATGTATCTAGGAATTTCAAGAATTATTGTTGAAGTGTTGCTTATCGTGGCAGTGGGTAGGTAGCCTTATTGTTTGAGTGTTTGCTTGTCGTGACAGTGGGGTAGCCTTATTGTTTGAGTGTTTGCCTGTCATGGCAGTTGGGTAGCCTTATTGTTGAAGTGTTGCTTGTCATGGCAGTGGGGTAGCCTTATTGTTGGAATGTTGCTTGTCATGGCAGTGGGGTAGCCTTATTGTTGGAGTGTTTGCTTGTCGTGACAGTGGGGTAGCCTTATTGTTGGAGTGTTTGCTTGTCATGGCAGTGGGGTAGCCTTATTGTTGAAGTGTTGCTTGTCGTGGCAGTGGGGTAGCCTCATAGCTGAAGTTTTTGCTTGTCATGGCAGTGGTGTAGCCTTATTGTTGGAGTGTTTGCTTGTCATGGCAGTGGTGTAGCCTTATTGTTGGAGTGTTTGCTTGTCATGACAGTGGGGTAACCTTATTGTTGGAGTGTTTGCTTGTCATGGCAGTGGTGTAGCCTTATTGTTTGAGTGTTTGCTTGATATGACAGTGGGGTAGCCTTATTGTTGGAGTGTTTGCTTGTCATGACAGTGGGGTAGCCTTATTGTTGGAGTGTTTGCTTGTCATGACAGTGGGGTAGCCTTATTGTTGGAGTGTTTGCTTGTCATGGCAGTGGTGTAGTCTTATTGTTGGAGTGTTTGCTTGTCATGGCAGTGGGGTAGCCTTATTGTTGGAGTGTTTGCTTGTCATGACAGTGGGGTAGCCTTATTGTTGGAGTGTTTGCTTGTCATGACAGTGGGGTAGCCTTATTGTTGGAGTGTTTGCTTGTCATGGCAGTGGTGTAGCCTTAATGTTGAAGTGTTTGCTTGTCATGGCAGTGGTGTAGTCTTATTGTTGGAGTGTTTGCTTGTCATGACAGTGGGGTAGCCTTATTGTTGGAGTGTTTGCTTGTCATGACAGTGGGGTAGCCTTATTGTTGGAGTGTTTGCTTGTCATGACAGTGGGGTAGCCTTATTGTTGGAGTGTTTGCTTGTCATGACAGTGGTGTAGCCTTATTGTTGGAGTGTTTGCTTGTCGTGACAGTGGGGTAGCCTTATTGTTGGATTGTTTGCTTGTCATGACAGTGGGGTAGCCTTATTGTTGGAGTGTTTGCTTGTCGTGACAGTGGGGTAGCCTTATTGTTGGATTGTTTGCTTGTCATGACAGTGGGGTAGCCTTATTGTTGGAGTGTTTGCTTGTCATGACAGTGGGGTAGCCTTATTGTTGGAGTGTTTGCTTGTCATGACAGTGGTGTAGCCTTATTGTTGGAGTGTTTGCTTGTCATGGCAGTGGGGTAGCCTTATTGTTGGAGTGTTTGCTTGTCGTGACAGTGGGGTAGCCTTATTGTTGGAGTGTTTGCTTGTCGTGACAGTGGGGTAGCCTTATTGTTGGAGTGTTTGCTTGTCATGACAGTGGGGTAGCCTTATTGTTGGAGTGTTTGCTTGTCATGGCAGTAGGGTAGCCTTATTGTTGGAGTGTTTGCTTGTCATGGCAGTGGGGTAGCCTTATTGTTGGAGTGTTGCTTGTCATGACAGTGGGGTAGCCTTATTGTTGGAGTGTTTGCTTGTCGTGACAGTGGGGTAGCCTTATTGTTTGAGTGTTTGCTTGTCATGGCAGTGGGGTAGCTTTATTGTTGAAGTGTTGTTTGTCGTGACAGTGGGGTAGCCTTATTGTTGAAGTGTTGCTTGTCGTGGCAGTGGGGTAGCCTCATAGCTGAAGTTTTTGCTTGTCATGACAGTGGGGTAGCCTTATTGTTGGAGTGTTTGCTTGTCATGGCAGTGGTGTAGCCTTATTGTTGGAGTGTTTGTTTGTCATGACAGTGGGGTAGCCTTATTGTTGGAGTGTTTGCTTGTCATGGCAGTGGTGTAGCCTTATTGTTTGAGTGTTTGCTTGTCATAACAGTGGGGTAGCCTTATTGTTGGAGTGTTTGCTTGTCATGACAGTGGGGTAGCCTTATTGTTGGAGTGTTTGCTTGTCGTGGCAGTGGGGTAGCCTTATTGTTGGAGTGTTTGCTTGTCATGACAGTGGGGTAGCCTTATTGTTGGAGTGTTTGCTTGTCATGACAGTGGGGTAGCCTTATTGTTGGAGTGTTTGCTTGTCGTGACAGTGGGGTAGCCTTAATGTTGAAGTGTTTGCTTGTCGTGACAGTGGGGTAGCCTTAATGTTAAAATGTTCACTTGTCGTGGCAGTGGGGTAGCCTAGTTAACAAAGCGTTGGCTTTGATTTCCTACATGGGTACACTGACTGAAGTCCATGATTGCAGTCCACCCTCATATATATTCTGGAATGTTGCTAAGAATGACATAAAACTGTCTTACATTACACCTTAATTCTTTGTTCTTTCTTTTTCAGATGTATGATTATTTCTCATGACACAGCCTGTATTAAAGAATTATGTCCTAACAAATCTCCAGTAACAGCATGGTATCATCAATAGAATAATAAAGCTGATCTCTCACGAGCTGCTTGTTAAACAGCGAGGGGACAGGAGTCCACACACAACAACTGGTGTGGCACGCAACAGCTCACAGGTCACACATCTACACTTCCATAAATGCCAAATTGGCCTCTCCGAGTGATCAAAATGTCTATGAACAAGAGGAAGAAGACTCTCTTCTCCGGCTTCCTCCTAATAGGACTTGTGTATACAATCGTGCAACTGACGTACTATCAACAGGCCTACAGCCCATTACGGGTGTTGCCTAATGCTGAGAGCGAGGCAAGGCGTTTATTGAAGTTTATCACGCTCTATCACTATCAGTGCAACACCACGATAGGCAGTGGAAACGGCACAGCGTGGAAGCTGTGTGCTGAACCGGATGTTGGAGTTAATATCGATTCCACTCTTCCAAAAGTAGCTTATTCCATAGGGTGAGTACTCATTGTACGTAGCTGATATACGAGTGACACTTTGCATGCATGATATTCATGATACTGGTGGACGCCATGTGCTCATCGTGCTCAAGGACCCGTGAAGATCCGGGGTAGAAGAGGTCTTCAGCAACCCATGCTTGCCGTATAAGGCGACTAACGGGATTGGGTGGTCAGGCTCATTTGGTTGATGCATGTCATCGTATCTCAGTTGCATGGATCGATGATCATTATGTCAATCCCTGGATTGTCTGGCCCAGATTCGATTATTTACAGACCGCTGTCCTATAGCTGGAATATTGCTGAGTGCGGCGTTAAGCAACAAACAAACAAAACATAAACATCTTGCTCATGTCATTGTGTCCAAGATGTCCGACCACATTTTTATGTTATTGTTTACTGATCTTTTGCACACAAATATTCTGTATTTTGAAGTGAAAATAAGAAGAAATTTCACAGCTTAGTATATAAGTTGTATAGATTGTATTTGGCACAGACTTTATTAACAAGGTGACATTGTGCTTCTGGCATGGTTGTCGGCACAGGCAGCTTGTGTTGTATACTCCCCAAGGAGCTTATAATGAAAAAATTGAGTGCACACTGATCCATTGACTGGGGTAATATCTTGTGTAAGGAGTTTAGGGCATTATTATTATTATTATCATTATTATCATTATTGTTATTGTTATTATTATTATTATTGATTTATTTTATCTTCTTTCAGGCCAATGTGGGACTATGGATTTGAGACCCTACTTTCCAAAAACTATTCATTTCAACAATATATATTCATGCATTACTCCATTCCTGTAGCCCTAAGAAAATTAAATGGCACTCATATCTTCAAGACAGTGATTGTTCCAAATGATCCCGCCGACTTCGGTCGTAATTCATATGACACTCAGACAGTGAACAGTATTACCATGAAGCTGGGCCACACCCACATCGATATTGTGAAACTGGAGGGCTACCTGGACATGAGCGATTCACATGAAGTCTTGTTCTTCCTCGTCAAAGACAATCTTCTCAGGAATGTGCAGCAGCTTCACATCGTTCTAGACATAGGTGAGAGCTCACAGTTATATAGTGCTGAAGGGGTCGTTATAGGTGAGAGCTCACAGTTATATAGTGCTGAAGGGGTCATTATAGGTGAGAGCTCACAGTTATAAAGTGCTGAAGGGGTCGTTATAGGTGAGAGCTCACAGTTATAAAGTGCTGAAGGGGTCATTATAGGTGAGAGCTCACAGTTATAAAGTGCTGAAGGGGTCATTATAGGTGAGAGCTCACAGTTATAAAGTGCTGAAGGGGTCGTTATAGGTGAGAGCTCACAGTTATAAAGTGCTGAAGGGGTCGTTATAGGTGAGAGCTCACAGTTATAAAGTGCTGAAGGGGTCATTATAGGTGAGAGCTCACAGTTATAAAGTGCTGAAGGGGTCGTTATAGGTGAGAGCTCACAGTTATAAAGTGCTGAAGGGGTCATTATAGGTGCGAGCTCACAGTTATAAAGTGCTGAAGGGGTCATTATAGGTGGGAGCTCACAGTTATAAAGTGCTGAAGGGGTCATTATAGGTGAGAGCTCACAGTTCTAAAGTGCTGAAGGGGTCGTTATAGGTGAGAGCTCACAGTTATATAGTGCTGAAGGGATCATTATAGGTGAGAGCTCACAGTTATAAAGTGCTGAAGGGGTCGTTATAGGTGAGAGCTCACAGTTATAAAGTGCTGAAGGGGTCATTATAGGTGAGAGCTCACAGTTATAAAGTGCTGAAGGGGTCATTATAGGTGAGCTCACAGTTATATAGTGCTGAAGGGGTCATTATAGGTGAGAGCTCACAGTTATAAAGTGCTGAAGGGGTCATTATAGGTGAGAGCTCACAGTTATAAAGTGCTGAAGGGGTCATTATAGGTGAGAGCTCACAGTTATAAAGTGCTGAAGGGGTCATTATAGGTGAGAGCTCACAGTTATAAAGTGCTGAAGGGGTCATTATAGGTGAGAGCTCACAGTTATAAAGTGCTGAAGGGGTCATTATAGGTGAGAGCTCACAGTTATAAAGTGCTGAAGGGGTCGTTATAGGTGAGAGCTCACAGTTATAAAGTGCTGAAGGGGTCATTATAGGTGAGAGCTCACAGTTATAAAGTGCTGAAGGGGTCGTTGTCGGCAGAGGTACTACAGAAATGTACCCCAGGTACGTTTCTGTATTAAAAAATGTACCCTAGTCAAAATCAAATACAGAAACGTTACATGGTACCCTAAACGGTGGAGAAGTCCATATTCCCCAAACAGAAACAGAAACCGGCTCATGTTGTGGTTCCGGGTTGCCTGATTACGAGTGCATCGTGCATCGCGGAATATTAGATTCATGTACGTATGTCACTGGGTATGATCGTTTCCTTATGGCTTGCTGAAATGCAGCTTAAGAAGATAATCCCGAAGATCCCCCTGACAACCGCGTTCTGCCATGTTGAATGTAACCAGGGTTTGGCATACAGGAAGTGATGAATACCTAAAGAACCGATTACAAGCATTGCGCCCTGTGGCGGAATGGACTCATCCTAGGGTACGTTTCTGTATTTTGATTTTGTCTAGGGAACATTTCTGTATACAGAAACAAGGCTAAAACAAGGGCTGGTCAGCTCGGAATCAGTATAATATGTCTGAGTGAGGTATTCTAACTGTGACATAGCTAAAGCATTTTACAAGTTTTGGCAACTTTGGAGGTATAAATTGTAAAACAATTTTAGAGAACTAAAATTGTTATGGATGAGCCATGATGTCATTTGCTTGATAACGGTGTTAGAATCTACACCGAAACGTCGCCCAATTGTAATAAAGAAGTTGCTCATCCATAACAATTTTGTCTGAGTTAACTTCTAAATGCCACACAAAGAAATTTTAGAGAACACTAGCCAAGTGGGATTAGTTTCCGTATCTGTGCTTGTAGGCCTCTGTGTACTTATAACATTATGACAGGACAGACCGATGGATTGCTGCAAAAGGCAAGTAGAAATAATTTGTGTAGGCAGATGTTGTTTGGCCTATATATAGTCCGACTCACACATCACTTACCTTCTGACATAATATATATTAATGTGTACAGTGTTAGAAATTAGCAGTAGTCCTTGCCAAACTGGCCAATAGTTAAGGTATCATAAGGACAAGTAGAAATTTGCACTTTTCAAATGTTTTGCTATGTGTTATCATTATAAGGACTAGTGGACTAAAACTGTTAGTTTCTAACCCTGGCGCACAACCCAGGTTAACTTAATTTTAGGTGATGTTTAAAAATGTTTTGTAATGTTTGTGGGAGATGGAAAAAAAAAATTTCAAGCACAGAATTGAAGAATGACATTATATGATAAAGAGGTTATCACGCTTGTGTGTTTGAGGATGATTAATATCCTTATCAGGAATAAACACAATGTATTTAGCTTGCCAAGGCTCACTAAATACAATGTTTACTCATATTCATAATATAGGATATTTTCCATCCCCAAACACGCTCGAGTGATAACCTCCATATGTATCAAGCATACCTCATTAGCATGAATCATTACTGATCGGTACGTTGCATGAAATATACAGTCAGCAGTTACATCATCAGAAGGTGACAGTGACACAGGTGGTATATATATACAATAATTGATTAATCACATCAATACCATGCAAGGGGAAGCAACAGTTGGCAAAGCAGTCCAAGGTAAATATCAATGGATGTTGCACATAATGCAAAGCCACAGGAATACAGTTTTTATCCCCTCGGTTTGTAAAACGCAGGGATATAGCAAATTACAGCACAGCAATTACAATAGCAGCACATGATAGAGTGGTAGGACAAAATCACATGGCAGTATAAAATGTGAGAGAACTGGAAATGATGACAAGAATAATATTCATCTCGCTGCAACAGTGGCCAAATTTCCAAGATAGGCCTAGGCTATGAATCCAAGGTGAAATGTGATCTTAACACAAGAGCTGGTCTTAATGTAATGTCAGATGAAATGTGAGATGAGACAGGCATGCACACACCCGCTCCACTTATATAGTCTAACTAGTTTCCAGCACTTTCCACATAGTGACCAATCAAGTGTCACTTGAACATCACAGAATATTCCACGGTTCTATAACGCTTGACATCCATCCATGCTATTCCTAAAGTTTACAGATAATTCAAGCATCTAAATATAATAACTTCCTCACCACTGCTTACATTAAATAGTACTGCATTATCATTACTGACACTAATCATATACAAATAAAATGAAATGAACTTCTACTGAATCTCAACAGAAACAGTGTAATACAGATACAATCATTGTTCAACAATAAATTATACTGCCATATAATAGTATTCAATGGCAATGAACCAAAAGTGTGGTATAAGTAGCGAAACTCCCTTTCTAAATTTCACCAGACCGGGGGATATGTCATCTCCTGATGACTCTTGTTTGCAAGAGGGGTTGGGGGATACATTACTGTCTCAGTTTCTACCCTTGAGGTAGTGGAATATGTCGAGTATCTAACTGTCATGTCTTCTGTTGCTGGAGTTGCCGTTGTTATTTCAGACAAGATAGATGATGACTACCTGTACAACTGGTATCGCAGCCTGTACGTGTTGTTCCACGAGGCAGGCTTCCGGCTGTACCACTCGTCCGCGTCCGACCACCTGTGTCTTCAGGTCACCATGATGGAGTCCTGTCGCTACTTCATGTCCTGGGTGAAAAACCCTGGACCCAGAACATTTATACTCTACCCCCCAGCCATTGATGGTGAGTCAGTACAGAATTCTATAGGAGCATGAGAAAAAGTTAGCCAACTGAATTTCAGGGAGGTTAATTTTTAAATAATGTTTATTCACAACCGATCATTTTCTGTTTTCAGTTCAACAGGTATTCAACAAACATTTCTTTTGATCATGCACTGTCTGTCTGTCTTCAAATATGTTTTGATTTAAAACTTACTGATGTTAATATCAAGCTAAACTAGCACTGATACCTTAGTGCTCTCTGCCGAAGTTCCTTAGTGAAAAAAAACACATGGAAGGACTGATACAGGCTGCCATGTACGATGTCCAAAAAGAAGGGGGGATAGGACTTGAAGAGGGTGGGTCGTAGGACTTGAAGAGGGTGGGTCGTAGGACTTGAAGAGGATGGGTCGTAGGACTTGAAGAGGGTGGGTCGTGGGACTTGAAGAGGGTGGGTCGTGGGACTTGAAGAGGATGGGTCGTAGGACTTGAAGAGGGTGGGTCGTAGGACTTGAAGAGGGTGTGCCGTAGGACTTGAAGAGGGTGGGTGGTAGGACTTGAAGAGGGTGGGTGGTAGGACTTGAAGAGGATGGGTCGTAGGACTTGAAGAGGGTGGGTCGTAGGACTTGAAGAGGGTGGGTCGTAGGACTTGAAGAGGGTGGATCGTAGGACTCGTGGGTCATAGGACTTGAAGAGGGTAGGTCGTAGGACGTGAAGCGGCGGGGGTAGGACTTAGAGAGGGTGGGTCATAGGGCGTGAAGCGGCGGGGATAGGACTTAAAGAGGGTGGGTCGTAGGATGTGAAGAGGGTGGGTCGTAGGACTTGAAGAGGATGGGTCGTAGGACTTGAAGAGGGTGGGTCGTAGGACTTGAAGAGGGTGGATCGTAGGACTTGAAGAGGGTGGATCGTAGGACTCGTGGGTCATAGGACTTGAAGAGGGTAGGTCGTAGGACGTGAAGCGGCGGGGGTAGGACTTAGAGAGGGTGGGTCATAGGGCGTGAAGCGGCGGGGATAGGACTTAAAGAGGGTGGGTCGTAGGATGTGAAGAGGGTGGGTCGTAGGACGTTTGCTTGACGAGCAGAGTGAGCATCATGGTAATTCTTCATTGTAGCTTCCTTGTTAGAGAATCAGCATCTGCTTTAGTACAGTGTATGTAATATATTGTGATGTACCATGTTCACTATAAGGGAAAATGTCATTTCAGGATCATATGAGCTAGAAGAAAAGCGGATATTGGATTTCCTGGAACCAAGGGAGCCTAGTTGTCATGACAACACAGAGTTCATGGTTACTGGCACTAATGCTATTTCTATCTGTGTTGACATGATTCAGAAGAAATCTCAGCAGCCATGCAACATTTTCATTTTCGGGTAAACACTTTTGTTATGTGATCTGTACTGTTATCCATGTGTTCCAACTCAAGGTGGACCCTGGGGTCCTGGGAGTCTTCTCCTATGGTGTTGAAATCCAGGGAGACTCTGAATCTTTTACTTTTAGCGTCAGTATATTGACAAGGCCCCCTTGTAATGTTCCATGATGGTTATGATGTCATACCAAAGGACGTTTAAAGATGGTACTTGTTGTTACCCCGCCTGGCGCTTGGCATTTAAGGGGCTAAAACAAGGACTGGTCGGCTCGGAGTCCGTATACTGTGTCTGAGTGGGGTATTCATGTCAAACTGCGGCATGGTATCATAGTGGGCTAGCACTATAAATCAGCATCAGTCCGGACTTGTACAAGCAACCACACACATGCATGCACGTCGCTATAGAAGTGCAATAATCTTGGACGCGACATTAAACCCCATTTCCCCCCACCTATGATGTATACATGTCCTACATAAGCCTTATACTGTTGTATTGATCAGTTATTGAGATCTCTGAATTGTTTCATTGACTGCACATGAAGGCCATATTTTGTTAACTGTGGAGATGCCATAAAGACAAGAGCTGGTGAATGATAGATAATTTAACTGTGTATGATATGTATGTAATTTTCAGTGACAAGGCAGTGGCCCCACCATCCTCCCTGTCCGTCTTCAAGTCGTGTACAGTCACCACCATTTTGCCGATCAAAACTCACGATGGTCTCGACTTCAAAGTCAGGTCACACGGGTAGGAAATATTCCTGATATTATTTTGTTTTTGATATTTTGAATTATCATTTATAGGCCAGACCTGGTTTGCATATTTTGATAGCATTCCCTTGTATGCCAAGAAGCAAAAGCTGCAGCTGTTATTTAGCAGTGTTATAGTTGAAATATTACTACATAAATTGGAAATTTGTTCTTTTTCTTGTGGGGGCACGTGTGGCCCAGTCGTCTAAGGCGTCATGATTCGCTGTGCAGAGTGGCGTCCCTTGGGCACGCCAGAAACCTATGATTGTGGGTATGAATACAGGTTTGTCCCGATTATGTTTCTAGGTTTACCAGCACTATACCCGTGCTCGTGGGTTTCATCGAAGTGGTAAACCTCTGGGACCTGCATCACTTAGGGCTTTCCTCCCGCATTAAGCTGATACAGCTGGAATACTGTTAAAAGCGTTGTTAAACCCAACTCACTCACTCACTCTTTTTCTTGTTTTTACACTTTTCCAAACTTTACTTCTGGAAAAAGAATATTTGGAAAATAATAACAAATATCTCCCGAAATAATCAGTGGTCTCCAATATTTGACAAATATTATGTTTGGATAACACTTTCTTAATAAAGTACAAATTCTAGTACTTTTGGTGGTTCAGTCCCATCTGGGATTCGAACCCACACTCTCAGAGTGAGGCACCTAATTGCCAGCACATCATATATATAATAACATGCACTTTATTTGTTACATTTCTCCTTGCAGTCCTCGTGACAAAACATCTTCCCAGTCCGAAGTGACAGTGTCTTTATCTGACCTGGTGTCGCAACATCTAAATGCCAGGCACATCAACATCATCTACATCTCTCTCCCACACCTCTTCTGGGACATCATCACCGCCATGCTGGATATGGGAGCTCTCGAGGTGGGTCACCGGGGGAATATGTACTCACCAACAACAGTAACGGATGTTTAGTATGCAGTCATTGTCTTCATTAGTCATTGATTATGGAGTTCAGATCCATGTCGGAGACCTGTGAAGATCCGGGGTAGAATAGGTCTTCAGCAACCTATGCTTGCCGTAAAAGACGACTATGCTTGTCGTAAGAGGCGACTCATGGAATAGAGTGGTCAGGCTCCCTGACTTGTTTGATGCATGTCATCATAACCATGTGGATTGATGCTAATGATGTCAAACACTGGATTGTCTGGTCCAGACTTGATTATTTTCAGACTGCCGTCATATAGCTGGATTATTGCTAAGTGTGGCATTAAACAAGAAACAAATAAACAAATAACAAACCATGTCGGTGGTCCAACGTTGATCTGGACTATGTCACATGACATGAGGGTCCGGAAAGGCTCAAGGTTAACCATCCTTGTCATCGGGACTTTACAAAGTGGGTATCCGGTGGACACAATGTTGGACCTAGCTCATTGTTTGTAATGGTATCCCTGTGGTGCACAGTTTTGTTCGAAAATTGCGCAGTTGGAAGCAAACTGAAAATATGACATAAATCATAGTGAGATTGATTTTTTTGTGGTAGATGAAGACAAAAACATTTTTTAGAAGAATTTTTTTTGTTATTTTAGGCGAGACCAATTTAATTGCTAGGATTACAGATCCGCCGACAACATTTTTCGCCAAATCGGAAAAATAAATAAATGAAATTCTATCATATTTTTTTTTAATATTCTACCCGACATCCGACATCGATCGATAAGCCTTGTTGTGAGAGTACACATGTTAGGGGAAGAAACTCTAGTTTTTAACTAAAATTCCTTACACAAATGTGTCGGCAAATTCCATTGGTCGTTCCACGCGAACATAGCCAATCGAATGCGTACTCTCAATTACAAGTGTTTCCCGCATGCGCACAGCGTGTATTGAATATGCCGGGACCATGTGTAGGACATGGGGTGTCAGTTTGGGTGTTTTAATGCCTTTTATTATCTGGTGTCTTTAGACAATGTCAGCAAAGTATTTCAGCGTAAGCGTTCTGAAGGGTAGTGTGTGCTTATCAAAGTGAATCATGGAAAGTCCACTGGATGACACAGTTGGTGATTTGGCGACGAAAGCCATATCGTCAATCGCCGATGGAGATGGACTTTCTATTCAAGAGGTGCATGCAACAGAATCTAAGGCTGGTTCCTACGGGAATATTGTCGAACTTACAACACCTATGCAAGTTTTAGCAGACTTTGGACTAAATTATGTGACAGTGGTGGCAAAATCGAGAATAAACAAGGGCTATTTAATTTAAGTGCATTCCACATGTTAGCATAACACTTCAGCCATGAGTGTTACCTGATCATCTAACACGATAAAGTTATACTGGACAGAGTATTTCAAGTACTTGTATGTGCCAAATGTATATTTGTTTTGAAGCCAAGTGCTGTTTTAATTTCAGTGTATTTCACATTGTTTCTATATTTTTAAAATACAATAAAACTTTAATAAGTTAAAAGCCTGGTGTTGAAGTCTACCTGCTTGTGGAAAACTGCCAAAAGATACCTGTAAACCTTGGTCATCAGTAAGGAGTGTCATTAGATAAAGGGACTATAGTGCATTGCTTGCAACATGCGTGGTGGGTAATACTGAAATACTTTTGTAGCTTCTGTGGCACAAGTGAGGGATTTTTTTTATTTTTTTTTATTTCCTCCTATCAGCATTCCTGCCTCCTAAAATCCGTAATACCTGCAAAAGAAAATTCTCTCAAGTACTTTTTTTTTTTTTTTACATTCCCTCCTCCATTCAGCCACTCTACCCGAAAAAATCCGTAATCCTAGCAATTAAATTGGTCTGGCCTTATCATGATTAAATGTTTTGTGTGTTTTCTTCTGATGAAATGTGTAAATTATTTCTGATACATTATTTGACAAATTCAAAACAAGCGTCATGCTTTCATGTTCTTCCAACTTCTACCAAAGACTTAATATGTTTCAAAATGTTTTATTATTTATTTTATCCTCTTATTTTTTTAAAATGAGAAATTTCTGAAACAATTCTTCTCAAGATGTTTTTTTTTTCAACATGTTCCTTTTCTTGGTGGGCACAGTTGGTCGTCTAAGTTACCGCAATTGGCTGTGTCGAGTTGCGTCCCTTGGGCATGCCAGAAACGTATGATTGGGGGTTGGATTCCTGGTTCGCCCTGATTATGTTTCTAGGTTTGTCAGCACCTTACCTGTGTTTGTTGGTTTTACCAAAGTGGTAAATGTCTGAGACCTGCATCACTTCGGGAATTCCTCCCACATGAAGTTGATATGCCATGATATAACTGAAATACTGTTAAGAGTGGCATTAAGACTCACTCACTCACTCACTCTTTCACTCACTCACTCACTCACTCACTCACTCGCTTTTTTCCCCAGCTTGTGGATCAGATCACCTCCGACATTGTTGTGTTCGACTCTCTCACTGAAAGTAGTCCCATGGACATCCGCAGGAAGTACAGCGAACTCAAGAGAATTGAAGCCTACAAGTTGAAACTGTACGAGATTACAAAGTTTACCACCAAGACTCTGTACTTCCAGCAACAGAAGTCCTTATTTGGAGCCTGCTGTTACAGAGTGTCGTTTATCAAGTCCAGCTTTTGAAACAGACTTGGTTATATTGGGCAGGTGGATGATTCTTATGTCATCACAAACTCATATATTTATTGGTATTACCTGATCGCGGTTTTGTTGTCAGTCGTAATTTCTTGCCAAAAGTACATTACACAGCACCACTCTCCTCATAATGAATAAAGCACATTTGCAGCAGTACCCATGGTACAGATTGGACAAGAGAATATTAGAGTCATCCACTGACTTAATAGCTTCTGCAAATCTCATGAATCCCCTAAAATGATTACCATGGTACTTGACAGTCACGTGAAGCTTGACAGTTCATGTCAACTCCGACAGGGTCCTCCAGAGCACCTGCAGGTCATGTGAACTCCGACAGGCACCTCCAGAGCACCTGCAGGTCATGTGAACTCCGACAGGCACCTCCAGAGCACCTGCAGGTCATGTGAACTACGACAGGGTCCTCCAGAGCACCTGCAGGTCATGTGAACTCCGACAGGCTCCTCCAGAGAACCTTCAGGTCATGTGAACTCCGACAGGGTCCTCCAGAGCACCTGCAGGTCATGTGAACTCTGACTGGCTCCTCCAGAGCATCTGCAGGTCATGTGAACTCTGACAGGGTCCTCCAGAGCACCTGCAGGTCATGTGAACTCCGACAGGGGCCTCCAGAGCACCTGCAGGTCATGTGAACTCCGACAGGGGCCTCAAGGGCACCTGCAGGTCTCATGTGGCCACCATGTCTGTTACATTCAGGATGCAGGTACATCAGTCTCGTGGTAGAGCATGTGCTGAAATAAACATCAGCTGGATATAGCGATCGACCAATCACAGGCCTAGCAGCATGATTCATATTTTAGGGTACAAAGGTACCATTATGTATGCATATATTGGGTTGACTGGTTTGTAGTGTGGAACGCAACCTAGGGTTTATGACACTACTATCTGGGACATAAGGGACAGTTAACATTGGAAAACCCCAGTTATTTCCTGCTGAAGCTGTTTACCTTGACTTCCGTTTGTGAGATCTTTGTAGACTGGTACTCCTTGTTGCTGTTGACAACATGTCCATCTATGGCGTCATCAGCAGCATGTTACCATGGTTACCCAGGCAGCTTTCCCATTCACAGGGTCAGTAGTAAGCAGGTTCTTGTCAGAGGCTTGATTTGGAGGTATTTATGTTCGGGTAACAGCTGCAAGTTAGAAAGTAATTTCTTCATACATGTATGAATTATTGTCACCATGATTTGAAATGTTGAGGTGAGTTCCTTCTTATGATGCTGTCTGCAGGGACCCTGTGCTCTAATGCTCTGTGACATAAGCCTTCAGGTCTACAAGGACCCTGTATTCTAATGATCTGTGACATAAGCCTACAGGTCTGCAGGGACCTTGTGTTCAAATGCTCTATGACATAAGCCTGCATGTCTGCAGAGACCTTGTGATTTAATGCTCTGTGACATAAGCCTGCAGGTCTGCAGGGACCTTGTGTTCTAATGCTTGGTGACATAAGCCTGCAGGTCTGCAGGGACCCTGTATTCTAATGCTCTGTGACATAAGCCTTCAGGTCTACAAGGACCTTGTGTTCTAATGATCTGTGACATAAGCCTACAGGTCTGCAGGGACCTTGTGTTCAAATGCTCTATGACATAAGCCTGCATGTCTGCAGAGACCTTGTGATTTAATGCTCTGTGACATAAGCCTGCAGGTCTGCAGGGACCTTGTGTTCTAATGCTTGGTGACATAAGCCTGCAGGTCTGCAGGGACCCTGTATTCTAATGCTCTGTGACATAAGCCTGCAGGTCTGCAGGGACCTTGTGTTCTAATGCTTGGTGACATAAGCCTGCAGGTCTGCAGGGACCCTGTATTCTAATGCTCTGTGACATAAGCCTTCAGGTCTACAAGGACCTTGTGTTCTAATGATCTGTGACATAAGCCTACAGGTCTGCAGGGACCTTGTGTTCAAATGCTCTATGACATAAGCCTGCATGTCTGCAGAGACCTTGTGATTTAATGCTCTGTGACATAAGCCTGCAGGTCTGCAGGGACCTTGTGTTCTAATGCTTGGTGACATAAGCCTGCAGGTCTGCAGGGACCCTGTATTCTAATGCTCTGTGACATAAGCCTTCAGGTCTACAAGGACCTTGTGTTCTAATGATCTGTGACATAAGCCTACAGGTCTGCAGGGACCTTGTGTTCAAATGCTCTATGACATAAGCCTGCATGTCTGCAGAGACCTTGTGATTTAATGCTCTGTGACAAAAGCCTGCAGGTCTGCAGGGACCTTGTGTTCTAATGCTTGGTGACATAAGCCTGCAGGTCTGCAGGGACCCTGTATTCTAATGCTCTGTGACATAAGCCTGCAGGTCTGCAGGGACCTTGTGTTCTAATGCTTGGTGACATAAGCCTGCAGGTCTGCAGGGACCCTGTATTCTAATGCTCTGTGACATAAGCCTTCAGGTCTACAAGGACCTTGTGTTCTAATGATCTGTGACATAAGCCTACAGGTCTGCAGGGTTCTTGTGTTCAAATGCTCTATGACATAAGCCTGCATGTCTGCAGAGACCTTGTGATTTAATGCTCTGTGACATAAGCCTGCAGGTCTGCAGGGACCTTGTGTTCTAATGCTTGGTGACATAAGCCTGCAGGTCTGCAGGGACCCTGTATTCTAATGCTCTGTGACATAAGCCTGCAGGTCTGCAGGGACCCTGTGTTCTAGTGCTCGGTGATATAAGCCTTCAGGTCTACAGGGACCTTGGGTTTTAATGCTCTGTGTTATAACCCTACAGGTCTGCAGGGACCTTGTGTTCTTATGCTCTATAACATAAGCCTGCAGGTCTGCAGGGACAGCGTTCTTATGCTCTATGGTATAAGCCTGCATGTGTGCAGGGACCTTGTGATTTAATGCTCTGTGACATAAGCCTGCAGGCCTGCAGGGACCTTGTGTTCTAATGCTTGGTGACATAAGCCTACAGGTCATCAGGGACCCTGTGTTCTAATGCTTGGTGACATAAGCCTACAGGTCATCAGGGACCCTGTGTTCTAATGCATGGTGACATAAGCCTGCAGGTCTGCAGAGACCTTGTGATTTAATGCTCTGTGACATAAGCCTGCAGGTCTGCAGGGACCTTGTGATTTAATGCTCTGTGACATAAGCCTGCAGGTCTGCAGGGACCTTGTGTTCTAATGCTTGGTGACATAAGCCTGCAGGTCTGCAGGGACCCTGTATTCTAATGCTCTGTGACATAAGCCTGCAGGTCTGCAAGGACCTTGTGTTCTAATGCTCAGTGACATAAGCATGCAGGTCTGCAGGGACAGCGTTCTTATGCTCTATGGTATAAGCCTGCATGTGTGCAGGGACCTTGTGATTTAATGCTCTGTGACATAAGCCTGCAGGCCTGCAGGGACCTTGTGTTCTAATGCTTGGTGACATAAGCCTACAGGTCATCAGGGACCCTGTGTTCTAATGCTTGGTGACATAAGCCTACAGGTCATCAGGGACCCTGTGTTCTAATGCATGGTGACATAAGCCTGCAGGTCTGCAGGGACCCTGTGTTCTAATGCTTGGTGACATAAGCCTGCAGGTCTGCAGGGACCTTGTGTTTTAATGCTCTGTGTTATAAGCCTGCAGGTCTGCAGGGACCCTGTGTTCTAATGCTTGGTGACATAAGCCTACAGTTCTGCAGGGACCCTGTGTTCTAATGCTTGGTGACATAAGCCTGCAGGTCTGCAGGGACCTTGTGTTTTAATGCTCTGTGTTATAAGCCTGCAGGTCTGCAGGGACCTTGTGTTTTAATGCTCAGTGACATAACCCTGCAGGTCTGCAGGGACCTTGTGTTCTAATGCTCTGTGGTATAATATAACCCTGCAGGTCTGCAGGGACCTTGTGTTTTAATGCTCTATGACATAAGCCTGCAGGTCTACAGGGACCCTGTGTTCTAATGCTCTATGGTATGAGCCTGGGAGAGTAATAAAATCAAAAGCTTGTCTTTGCTCATACAAGATAGGCATGTAGGTACCCATACAAGAAACATCTTTTCCCAGGACAGTCCAGTACATCAAAGGCATGTAGGTACTCATACAAGATACATCTTTCCCCTGGACAGTCCAGTACATCAAAGGCATGTAGGTACTCATACAAGTTACATCTTTCCCCTGGACAGTCCAGTACATCAAAGGCATGTAGGTACTCATACAAGATACATCTTTCCCCTGCACGGTCCAGTACATCAAAGGCATGTAGGTACTCAGGCATGTAGGTACTCATACAAGTTACATCTTTCCCCTGGACAGTCCAGTACATCAAAGGCATGTAGGTACTCATACAAGATACATCTTTCCCCTGGTTGGTCCAGTACATCAAAGGCATGTAGGTACTCAGGCATGTAGGTACTCATACAAGATACATCTTTCCCCTGGACAGTCAAGTACATCAAACATAAATCTGTTCCCACAATGATAGCATTAAGGAAGACCAAAACCCTATTGGCATGTCCAGTAAATGGGGGGTGGTCAGGTAGCCTTGTGTTGGAATATTGCTAAAAGTGGCGTAAAACCATACTCACTCACTCACTCACTCCAGTAAATGGGTTTGATGCCCACATGATAAACCAGCAGTTTGTCTGCCCCAGTGATGTTGCAGAGTTCATTGTGTAACCCCAATCTTTCACACATTCACTCACTTGACCAATGGAATCATTTCATAACATCAGCACTATTTCATGCTTCACCTGTTTGGTTAAGCTCCTTGTAGGGCAGTAGGAGATCAGTGTGTGGAGTTTACCATGTACTGATCGCCATGTTGGTTGTTATGATAATATCAGCATAGATATATTTTATTCAAGTTGTCTACATGTGACTGTATGGTGTTTCCGTGTCTGTGTGTCCCATGTGTTGCATGTTTCTTCTATCATCTTATAATGGTCATGTACTGAGGATGAAGTACTGGTAGTTGACCCTTCGCCAATACCTTATAATGGTCATTTGACAGGTTGAAGTAGTGAAGGTCGATCTCCGGACCTTATAATGGTCATTTGACAGGTTGAAGTAGTGAAGGTCGATCTCCGGACCTTATAATGGTCATTTGACAGGTTGAAGTAGTGAAGGTCGATCTCCGGACCTTATAATGGTCATGTGACAGGTTGAAGTAGTGAAGGTCGATCTCCGGACCTTATAATGGTCATGTGACAGGTTGAAGTAGTGGAGGTCGATCTCCGATACCTTATAATGGTCATGTGACAGGTTGAAGTAGTGAAGGTCGATCTCCGGACCTTATAATGGTCATGTGACAGGATGAAGTAGTTAGGTTGATCTCCACTACCTTATAATGGTCATGTGACAGGTTGAAGTAGTGGAGGTCGACATCCGATACCTTATAATGGTCATGTGACAGGTTGAAGTACTGGAGGTTGATCTCCAATACCTTATAATGGTCATGTGACAGGTTGAAGTAGTGGAGGTCGACATCCGATACCTTATAATGGTCATGTGACAGGTTGAAGTAGTGGAGGTCGACATCCGGTACCTTATAATGGTCATGTGACAGGATGAAGTAGTTAGGTTGATCTCCACTACCTTATAATGGTCATGTGACAGGTTGAAGTAGTGGAGGTCGACATCCGATACCTTATAATGGTCATGTGACAGGTTGAAGTAGTGGAGGTCGATCTCCGATACCTTATAATGGTCATGTGACAGGTTGAAGTAGTGGAGGTCGACATCCGATACCTTATAATGGTCATGTGACAGGTTGAAGTAGTGGAGGTCGATCTCCGATACCTTATAATGGTCATGTGACAGGTTGAAGTAGTGGAGGTCGATCTCCGATACCTTATAATGGTCATGTGACAGGTTGAAGTAGTGGAGGTTGATCTCCGATACCTCATAATGGTCATGTGCCAGGTTGAAGTAGTGGAGGTCGATCTCTGATACCTTATAATGTCATGTGACAGGTTGAAGTAGTGGAGGTCGATCTCTGATACCTTATAATGGTCATGTGACAGGATGAAGTGCTGTTCAAGCATCACCCACCCCCCTCAAGATAACTAGAGACCAGTGTGAGACAATATTCTCATGTGGAATGTGGTTTAAGAAAGACTATATATAGTTTACACCCCCTGTGTGATGGAGTCCTGATATGGAGGTCTACCTGTGAGATTACACAAGCTGGATAATGGCACAGTCTTCCATAGATTGTGTGGCCAGTTGTTGTCATATGAAGCGTCATGTCTGGCCTAGTGAACAGTAGGGACTTGCTTCAGGTTATGTCTTTGTTAGTTGTTTCAACGTGCCCGATGTTGCTGCTGCTACTACATGTGTTTCTGTTGTATGACACGAGAAGGTCACACCAACTCTTTAATATTATTTCACAGAAAAGCCTTCCCTAATTTAGACAAATAAAAAAGATTTTATTAATCTAAAACAATTTCTTTTGTATTAAAAGAATAATAGCAGATCTTTTTGTTTGTATTTCTGTTATTATTTTATTTCAAAAGAGTTGTGGGAAATTAAAAATAAATCAACTCTGACAACATATTTGTTATTTTGCGGACTTCATGTTTGATTACTGGAAATAGATCTTTCCAAGTGAGACAGTTGGTGTGCCCTAGGTGAGCTAACATTCTCGTATACTAACTGTCGCAATCACTGAACCGTCTTTGTCATGCTATGTATCGCTGTGATAATACATCTGGTCATAATGGAACGTGGACATTACTACGTGTAGGAGATGCCCTGTGGGTTGCTGCTTCATTTCCTATTGAGATATACTGCATCATTCTTTGTCCATGTGAAGATTGGGAAACATGGTATAGGTCATATTGATCATAGAGCTCACAGGCATTATTATTACCCTTGTCAATGGATCCGAGTGCTCTTGATTCTCAGCTCCCTTGGGAGTATACAACCCTAGCTGCCTGTGAGGCGCGAGAAGGTTAACCGTCATATTACCATATCATTCTACTGGTAGAAATGTGTGTTATTCACATGCTCCATAAACTGAACTGCATCTTGTCCCAAGAACTTTCATTGACAATGTGTATTATGCTAATTCTTGGTACAGTTGGACAATGTACGCTTATTAAGATCATTTTTTAGTCGAAAAATGTTTTAGCGGAACTCTTTGAAAAGGGTCATTTTTCATGTTTTATATTTTGCAAACTTTGCTTTGTTGAACAAGAACTTCCTGGGTGAGAGGTCAGGAGCTGACGGAGATGCAGGGAAGCACCGAGCTTCACTTTGTAGACCATGGTAGACATCCAATCATTGTTGTAGTTATTCATGATGATTCTAAGTGGACACAACAGCCATCAGTTGGTAGGAATTCATTGTTAAACACTGAGCATTAAATCATTGATCAAAGGCATTAAACATCCAAGGGTAATCAACGTGCATCCTATCATTATTCCTTGGGGCCGTCCAAAACATGTTGAGTACAAGACAAGGGGATATGATTGTTCGTATAAAGTTGTTTTGAGTAAGAAATGGGGAAGTGGCTCGGTCCTCGAAGGTGTTCTGTAGGGTTACCTCCCTTAGGCTGCTGGAAATGTACCGCGATCTGTTCATGGGGACATGGGTGGCCCAGTGGAACAGGTTGTTGCTGTTCGACCATGCATTGTTGTGTCCCTTAGTTTAGTTTTTTAAACCTGATGCAAATATATTTTTTCCAGGTATTTTGGGAGGACATTTTTTTTTCTTAGTCAGGTGGATCCCTAGAACCATCGGTCAGAAACAGTTTTCTGGTGTGAGTGAAACATGTTTGACAGGAAAGTATCATGAAACCCATAACCTAATTCCCTCTGGCTGGAACTCCAGAATACTATTACCCCTACAACTGTTTTGATACTCTGCTAATGTTTACTATCGACTTTTGACCTTTGTAGTTCAAGATTCGTTTTTTTTAAAGGGGCTCTTGATATTGCAATTTCAAAAGAAACGTGTGATTATATTTTATTGAAGTTTTGTGGTCGGCAAATTGTGGGTATTTGTGTATTTTATTTTGAAATGGATATACAAGTCCTTTATGAAAACCATCCCTGTATTTATATGTTTATCTGTGTTTGTTTTTATTTGTGTAAGGTTAATCTTGTGGTGCTGCATCTGTGTGGCTGGTATGATCATTAGTATTCCTTACAGTGTCAGTGTGTCCTACCAGTTGTCCACATTGTCTCTGATTAGGCAGGTTCTTGCAAAAACATCTAAAAATATTCACTTACATAATCATGATAATAGCAGCTGGAAGATTACAAGTAGTTACTGAAATATTTCAAGTCTCATCTAACTGTGATGACTTCAGCTCTTGTCCAAGAAAAGATGTTTCCTTTTTCAGCCAGTGTCAAGATATTTCCAGTAACCATGGCAACACCACATTTGCCGGTCCTATTTTTGTAGAGATTTACACCACTTCTCTGTGTTTCTGGAATGAACTTTTATCACAGGAAATGTGAAGATGGAGACACCAAGATTCTGTAATATAAACAATTCGCCATCATCATGTCTGTTTTTACAGGAACCTTCTTCAAAACATTGATCATGATCATTTGTAGTGATGTTCAAGTAATAAATTGATATACAACATAAGTGTCCTTGTGATAATGACCACCTCCATGGTCTTGTGGTAGAGCGTCCACCTGGAAAGCGAAAGGTCAAGGGTTCAATCCCTATAGACGTTAAAAGATGGTACTTGTTGTAACCCTGCCTTGTGCTCGAGATTAAGTGGCAAAAACAGCGACTGGTTGGCTCCGAGTCAGTATAAATGTCTGAGTGGGATATTCATGTTACACTGTGGCACTTTCTTGAAGTTGTTGAGTGAACAATAAAACATACTTTATGGATTATCCGATGACAACCAATGATTGTGGGTTCGAATCACGGTTCGCCCCAATTATGTTTCTAGGTTTGTCAGCACCTTTCCCATGCTCGAGGGTTTCGCCAAAGTTGTAAACGTCCGACACCTGCATCACTTCGTGCTTTCCTCCCACATCAAGCTGACATTCCGTGATATAACTGGAATACTGTTAAAAGTGGCGTTAAACCCAACTGACTCGCGCACACCAGTCTCGAGCTGCAATGGCTTGAGAATGGTGTAAGAAGCTACATCAAATCATCGCTAATGCACTCAACCAGCAGTTACCCAAAGAATGTACAACTTTGTGGATATGTCCCTGCTGGATACTGACAGGGTATCAGATAGGTTGAGCAAGAAATCCACAATGGACATTCAGCAGGTTGACTATTGACAAGTCTTTAGCTTAGACTCACCAAGGGCGGTCTGGTATCCTAGTGGTTAAAGCTTTCGCTTGTCCCGGGGTTCAATTCCCAACATGGGTACGATGTGTGAAGCCCATTTCTGGTGTCCCCTGCCATGATTTTGCTGGAATAATGCTAAAAGCGGTGTAAAACCATACTCACTCACTCACCAATGCCAATCTGTGTGGTCTTCCTTGAACATTGGAGTGACATCTCACTCACTCACTCACTCTCCCTGGTGTTAGGACAAACTACAGCAACAAACGTTCCTCTGTGAAGATTTTATTCTGTTCATACTCTCGTAAGCTTGTATTTCGAATGAGGAAGGACATGACATAGAGGGGGACTACACGTAAAGGAAATGAAACGGCTTAAAGCTCACATGACAATCTGGCCTGCTGGTAGAAACGTGCGGAAAATATAACATGTTTTATACATCGTGTGACAAACTGGAATTGTTCAATGCTGAAAACAACACATGTAGATCCACCTTGTTATCCCCTTGGTCTCCATAGGCTCCAATAGAAATCTGGTGGTAAATACACTCACAGAAGAAAAGGAAAAGTTTCCCTGACTTCAGAAAAAACATCCTTCCGACATGAATAAGTGCTTGCATGGAAACTGTGCTCCACTATATAGGAACTTTCCCCTCTACTTGGAACACTTGGAAGGTATTAAAGCCTTTGTGGTTTAAATACTTGGTGTACAGGTTTTTACCCCAATAAGTCACAGGCTCAATGGTTGATACAAACATAGAACATATTCTTGTGATCACTGAAACATAAAGGTTTTATTTATAAGTGAAATAGTTCACACACTTGGAGGAGAAACAAAGGGACCTTCTCATTATTTTATCGCACATTTGTGTTACTTTGATTCAGTTTAAGTCAAAATAGAATAAGTTTCATTTATAAAACAGTCAAATGAAATTACTTCACCTTATGTAGCAGCGAGAGCACAACAGTTGGTAGACTTTGTACTTTGTACTTAACAGGTTCTTAGTTAGGGGTGGGACACTCATTGGTTACAGTATGATGTTCAAGCATTTGATTCTGCATATTAGTCAAACATTGTATCCATTTATCTTATTTACAAATGACTAGGAATCTAACACAGATAAGAAATCTAAGCCTGGACAAGCCTGATAATGTAGTCAGCAGTGCAAAGTGTCCAGGGCCCCGTTTCAAAAAGCAGTCTTTGCGTTATGACAGTCTTAAGTCAATACTGAAGTATAGAAGTTACAATAACCTTAGCGCTATGACAGTCGTAAGTCAATACTAAAGCATAGGAGTTACGATCACCTTAGTGCTACGACAGTCATAAGTCAGTACTAAAGCATAGGAGTTACGATCACCTTAGTGCTACGATAGTCGAAAGTCAATACCAAAGTATAGGAGTTATGATCACCTTAGTGCTACGACAGTTATAAGTCAATACCAAAGTATAGGAGTTACGATCACCTTAGTATTACGACAGTCATAAGTCAATACCAAAGTATAGGAGTTACGATCACCTTAGTGCTACGACAGTCATAAGTCAATACCAAAGTACAGGAGTTATGATCACCTTAGTGTTACGACAGTCATAAGTCAATACCAAAGTACAGGAGTTACGATCACCTTAGTGCTACGACAGTCATAAGTCAATATCAAAGTACAGGAGTTACGATCACCTTAGTGCTACGACAGTCATAAGTCAATACCAAAGTACAGGAGTTACGATCACCTTAGTGCTACGACAGTCATAAGTCAATACCAAAGTACAGGAGTTACGATCACCTTAGTGCTACGACAGTCATAAGTCAATACCAAAGTACAGGAGTTACGATCACCTTAGTGCTACGACAGTCATAAGTCAATACCAAAGTATAGGAGTTACGATCACCTTAGTGCTACGACAGTCATAAGTCAATACCAAAGTATAGGAGTTACGATCACCTTAGTGCTACGACAGTCATAAGTCAATACCAAAGTATAGGAGTTACGATCACCTTTGTGCCAAGATCGCTTTGTGGAACAAGGCCCTGGTCTCTATTTTGGAATATAAACTTTCACCCAATCACTATGTAAACATCAAAACAACATCATTACAAAACCAGTGGAGATGCCAAATGAATAAATCTGAAATATTGAAATATCTGTAAAACTGGTAAAGTACTTGCCATTCATTCTAAAAGCTTTACAAACATCTAACCTTAACACGAATAACCCATTAATTCTGACTAGGCCAACCATTTTATTTACCTTGGACCCTTGATTTGATTGGTTTAATGTTATTGAGGTACAATTTGGTTTTTTTCCACCAACTAAATTTTCTTAATCTAAAGGGGCAAAATTGAGATGTCAGATTCATTAAGTGGACAAATGATTTGACAAGAAAGATGTCTGTGTCTTAGGAGACATGTTTTTATTTGTATATTTTAACCAGAACAGTTGAAATGCTCTGGTGATATTTGCTAATTTTCTACCAATGACTTCAGGAGTCCAAGCACTATAAGAAGGTCAGCCCGATCCCTACTACACATTGAGCACGATACTACGCACTGCACGACAAGGTTACCAAGGCACATGATAGCAGGCCGGAAGATGGACCTCACAAACTGCCTGCCATGGCTTGTCCGTTCACACAAGTTCTATTCAAATTAACCTCCATTTTGCGAAAAAAATAAAATTCAAAATCAACCACATGTAAAACAATACAAAATTATGATGGATGGATTAAGTACTTCATCAATGCTCTTCAAAACATCACTAAATACATGTATGTTTCAAACAGTAAAGTTTAAACCTATTCCATCAGCTCATAGCAAAGGAGATTTTCAGATGTAGTTGAAAATTAATACAAAGCCAGACAATTTATTTACATGTTTTACAGATCAACCAGCCACTTTTTTAGATCCTAATTCAGTATTTGGAAATAATAACCGTATATTGCTATCTATAAAGTGACCCCCCTGTACAAGCCTTCAAAATCGATGCTAATGTATATACCCTGTCTATAAAGCGACTCCCCTGAACAAGCCTTCAAATTCGATGCTAATGTATATACCCTGTCTATAATGCGAATCCAAATGAAGCACGTCGCCAGCACATGCACAATCCCTACATTTGGTATTTTCGGTGTTAGGTGCTCACAGTAATGTCTTTGTGTTGGGGAAAAAACATCAAAACTCTCTAACCCTGATTATAAGACGACCCCCCTTGAAAGCCCCCTAATTCTAGGTACGAAAAACTCGCCTTATACACAACGATATACGGTAGTGTCTTGTATCTATAATTATGTAAACAGTTTACCAAGTTTGTGTTCTCTTGCTGGCCTCAGACAAGACTTCTCCTGAAGCCAAAGGATAGATTTTCCAAAAAAAAACTTAACCCAAACAAGAACAAATGGCTATAGGCAATTGCACAAATACATTTAATCATCTATTTTATTTCATTTCTGAAAGTGATTTTTTTACATTTTTGATATATTCCTCCTGTCAAGTAAATAAATTTGTCTGACCTAAAACATATATTCCAACTGTCCCTGATGAAACCAAACTGTTTCTATAGACATAATAATTCTTGTATTTTAAGTAGGAATAGCTTAAACAAATATTAACTCAAATAGCACTCAATGACATACAGAGAACACAGCACCTGGTGGTGGCAACCGGGGACAACAGAAGGCCACCTGGTGGTGACCGGGGACAACATTATGCCACCTGGTGGTGACCGGGGACAACAGAAGGCCACCTGGTGGTGACCGGGGACAACATTACGCCACCTGGTGGTGACCGGGGACAACATTACGCCACCTGGTGGTGACCGGGGAGACTGTTTCATCCTGTCCATTACCTGCCCTCAGCATCTTATCATACTTTGTGTCAGTTAAACGTACTGGGTTAAGGTGGCGATATTTACACAAAACATCCTCATTATAAATCAATTTCAGTAATACACCACAGCACGATCTACCATAGATGATCATTTACCAAACACTAGAGAATCAGTGAATCGATGAATCTTCATCTCACAAATTCAATAAACACGAGCACCAAGATTTCATTGCGCAACACACTACAAACCAATTGGAATGAATTTAAATACAAATATCACAATCTTAAATAATAAACAAATTTGGTATAAAAATATACAGAAATGTACGAATCAAATATACATTCTAGGCATAATACAAATAATTCAACATAAATCTGAAATGAAAGACCAGTTCACTACATACATAAGTTTCTCACACACGGTATTGCCAGTAGATTAACCACGTACATGCCAGGTTCCCTGTGGGGATCAGCTGCGGTGTTGCAAGTGTTAACCTTGTTGACATCAGTACACAGTCAGAAGTATACATCATTCTAATACACTCTATCAAAATATGTATGAACCAAAATTGTATTTTGTTTTGACCCAAAGGTAGTTTTCATTGTCTTGAAACAACTGATAAAGATATTCAACCAATTCAACAAAAAAGATACCCTAACTCTCTGGCCAAAAAAACGCAGTCAAATTCATAAAATATATTTTTTTATTTCTTAAGACAAACCATCTTAATTCTAATAACTTAAAAATATTTATTGAGCTAATGAAATATAGTGGCCTGACCAGACCAATTTTCAAAAGGTCATTGCCCAAGAAGCCATTTAGGTATGTGTTGACAGTCAACACATTTACCCAACTGTCATTGTCAGTTAAGCTTCAACTGATGAGACGAACAAGAAAACATCCAACTTGCACCACGTTATTCATGGATGATGTGAGATCAGGTGTTCCAAAGTAAACAAGAGCCAGCCATTAAACAAACACATACCCTTTCTTTATATATACACTACTCAAGTTTTGATAGGGATATTCTGGGTGTCCAATGGGTTGTCATCCACCAAAGTTGACATTTCTATAAGATGTCACACCTGAGTTTTGTATCCCTATCAAGAGTTGAGTAGAATATGATGTTCAGACCTGACCATCAAAAAGATGGCTACAGAAACCGGTTACTTTTAAACATGAACACTTACACAAACTGTGCTGCATAATCCATGACATGGTATCGTCAAGATTCGTTCAGTTATTGACATAAACCCGTTTCTTTGGCATTTGTGCCTTGATTGTATTGAATCTGATTTGGTGCCTTGATAAAATTAACAACAAAATTATTGAACCGAAACATTCATAAATGCAAATGAACAATTATTGAACCGAAACATTCATAAATGCAAATGAACATACACACTTGAAAAGATTCATCCAGCATCCCATGATCAATCTACCCTCATCATTCAAACAGCATAAATACAGAAGCACATGGGGATGCTGTACAGGCAAGTGCGACACGACACAACACGAGACGACACAATACAGACATGGGAAGGGCCGAGTCTCCTGGTGGTGCTGTACAGACACAAGTGCCACACCGACACAACACAGACATGGGAAGGGCCGAGTCTCCTGGTGATGCTGTACAGACACAAGTGCCACACCGACACCACAGACATGGGAAGGGCCGAGTCTCCTGGTGGTGCTGTACAGACACAAGTGCCACACCGACACAACACAGACATGGGAAGGGCCGAGTCTCCTGGTGGTGCTGTACAGACACAAGTGCCACACCGACACAACACAGACATGGGAAGGGCCGAGTCTCCTGGTGGTGCTGTACAGACACAAGTGCCACACCGACACAACACAGACATGGGAAGGGCCGAGTCTCCTGGTGGTGCTGTACAGACACAAGTGCCACACCGACACAACACAGACATGGGAAGGGCCGAGTCTCCTGGTGATGTAGGATGTAAGGCAATATATGTAGGCCACAGTGGGCTCATAGCCAATAGTCATTTTACAAATATACTGACTGCACTGAATAATTGAAAAAAAAATTCTACTGTTGTCTAAGAATTAGCATAAACCTGAATACATGACACTTTTCTGTGAATAGTAACTTCTTTTATTCTTTGTCACGACGTTTCAGAGCTACTTCTTGCTCCTTCATTCACCTGATGAATGAGCAAGAAGTAGCTCTGAAACGTATTATGAACTGGGTTCCTCACACTGTTGACTGTTACTTCATTGTCATATGTTTTAGTATTTGATGAATTCAGATGGACAGACTTGCTGACTTGGTTTGATGCATGTCATCGTATCCCAATTGCGTTGATTGATGCTCATGATATCAATCACTGGAATGTCTTGTCCATACACAGTTATTGATAGACCGCTGTCATATAGCTGGAATATTGTTGACTGTGGCATCAAATAACAAACAAACAAACAGATGTTAGGTGGGATGTTTGATGCAACACTTGCCTCACATGATGATCAGATCTGTATACTCTTTTTTCATTCTAAATATACGAATTATAATCTTAAACAATTTCATATTCCAGCTGTGATCACACACATATTCAAACTGTGGTCACATCCATATTCCAGGTGTGATCACATCCATATTCCAGCTGTGATCACATCCATATTCCAGCTGTGATCACATCCATATTCCAGCTGTGATCACATCCATATTCCAGCTGTGATCACATCCATATTCCAGGTGTGATCACACACATATTCCAGCTGTGATCACACACATATTCCAGCTGTGATCACATCCATATTCCAGGTGTGATCACATCCATATTCCAGCTGTGATCACATCCATATTCCAGGTGTGATCACACACATATTCCAGCTGTGGTCACACACATATTCCAGCTGTGGTCACACACATATTCCAGCTGTGATCACATCCATATTCCAGCTGTGATCACATCCATATTCCAGCTGTGATCACATCCATATTCCAGCTGTGATCACATCCATATTCCAGCTGTGATCACATCCATATTCCAGCTGTGATCACATCCATATTCCAGCTGTGATCACATCCATATTCCAGCTGTGATCACATCCATATTCCAGCTGTGATCACATCCATATTCCAGGTGTGATCACACACATATTCCAGCTGTGATCACACACATATTCCAGCTGTGATCACATCCATATTCCAGGTGTGATCACATCCATATTCCAGCTGTGATCACATCCATATTCCAGGTGTGATCACACACATATTCCAGCTGTGGTCACACACATATTCCAGCTGTGGTCACACACATATTCCAGCTGTGATCACATCCATATTCCAGCTGTGATCACATCCATATTCCAGCTGTGATCACATCCATATTCCAGGTGTGATCACATCCATATTCCAGGTGTGATCACACACATATTCCAGCTGTGATCACATCCATATTCCAGGTGTGATCACATCCATATTCCAGGTGTGATCACATCCATATTCCAGCTGTGATCACATCCATATTCCAGCTGTGATCACATCCATATTCCAGCTGTGATCACATCCATATTCCAGCTGTTATCACATCCATATTCCAGCTGTGATCACACACATATCCCAGCTGTGATCACACACATATTCCAGGTGTGATCACACACATATTCCAGCTATGATCACATCCATATTCCAGCTGTGGTCACATCCATATTCCAGGTGTGATCACACACATATTCCAGCTGTGATCACACACATATTCCAGGTGTGATCACACACATATTCCAGCTATGATCACATCCATATTCCAGCTGTGGTCACATCCATATTCCACCTGTGGTCACACACATATTCCACCTGTGGTCACACACATATTCCAGCTATGATCACACACATATCCCAGCTATGATCACCATCAGCCAAGAATACGTCACCCCTCCCAACATCAAGCAGCAATACTTTCATTACAACTATTGTTACAACAACTAATAGTCAATTTATTTGGGTGTTATTTTTTACTCTTATAGCAAGCTGGACGTATTTTCACACCATATTTAGCTTTCAATATCTGTTCTTTTTCCTGAGAATACAAATCACCAAATACTTAGATGAGTGGTTTGATTGGCACATCCGTCCCCTCTTTAAATGCTTGGTTGTTGTAGGGGAGTAGCGCAAAAGTAATGTCAAAGGGAGACCACTCTAAATAAAGACTGCTATTAACAATACACCAGTGGAACACATTAAGTACATTACCTGTTCCATGCTGCCAAAGAGAAACACCGTACATCTTGTTGTCAACTATGAATACAAATGTTTATCTACACACTGTAATCAGAAACCATATCCTACTTCCTATGCAAAGCACACATCATTTAATACATACAAAAACTCACTAACACATTTGAAAAGGAAGTTAACATTTTTAAAATCTTCGATAACATTCTACAAGTTCAAACCATTAACAAACACATGCCAATACTTCTTTTTCGAGAAATGAAACAGCTCCTCGCCCTATGCAGAAAACTGAGTGAGGTATGAGGTATGAATATTCGTAAATGGACCAGGTTCTCATGGCATCATCTTTAAAACTCAGGGTCAATCAGTGAACAGGAACCAAAACAGTGATGCCAATCATGATTGATTGATTACTTGTTTCTTGTTGAGCTTTTGCAACCTTACAAAGATGTTTGGTAATTTTATGTCCTAACCTGTGTAAAAAGGTATCTGTAGACAGTTTATCCAAACAGGATGAACTCAAATTTATCATAACTAAACTTTTCCAAACTCCCTGCACTCATTATTGTGGGGAATAAGCAGCTACTGGTCACGTTATCGATAGTATAAAAAAACACAGCTTTTCATTTGTTTACAGTTTGATTTTGTGGAATTTGTGCTAGCCTTAACAGTGTGAGTCTGTTCCCATGATAAACCCTGAATTTCTCACCAGACAGACATGAAGGAGAACGCCTAAATGCAAATAACGCTGACTTCCCTGTGTATAGATAGTACAACAAATGGTGCATTCTCTCTCACGCCTATTGCTTCAAATAATAATGATTAATACTATCAGAAATAATACACAAATCGGCATGTCCACCTCATGAAGGTGAAGGTCAAGTCCATCTAAAGGTGAAGGTCATGTCCACCCAGTGAAGTTGGTCAAGTAGTGAAGGTGAAGGTTGCCTACATCATCTGCACGCATCTGACCTCTACTGACCTCAGTGTATCACATGTAACTGGTGCAACTAGTAGGAATGCAAACAGAAGTCTTGGCGCTAATCAGTTTTGTTGTGGATAATACTTGTAGTTACAATCCAGAACATCATACAGATGAAATGTGCATATTCAAAACGTTTCATGGCTTGACACATCTTCAGGTGACCATTTCTATCCAGGTGTCAACATCATAAGATATGCGTTGAGAAAACTACAACATTAGCTTCTTGGAACAAGTGTTTAGCCAGTTATTGCTGAATTGATGGAGACCAGACAAGTTAAATCCACCAGACAGCATGCTGGCAGCCATCTTTAAAAGCTCCTCACGCATCAGATCTGGCAACAAGTGACAGGAGTAACCATGGTAACAGTATCTGCAGTTACACGTAGCAGCACTCCCATTCTAACAACGTATAGATTATAATTAGTATACTGTTTTGACAGATCAAACAGAGACACAATGCATCCAGTCATGCATCCAAGGATGCAGAATGTTGGATATTCCCAAACATGACAAAAGCACAGGGCAGCTACTCTCATTGTTATTGATGTCCTGCCAGGTTAAACGATGTGGTTCCACAGACTTGTGGCACGAAATAAAACAGGGAACATGGGAACACTACCTGGAAAGCACAATGATCAAGACTAACGCAAAATGGCAATAAGGCTTGACTTATGTTAGAGCTCTTATAAAATATGCTCCGACTGATGCAGCATTACAAAGAGGTAAAGTTTTAAAGCACAACCTTGTAATGTATAGGCTATGGTGACTGGTATGTCCTAGTGAGAGCTACAGTAGGGGAGATATTTTGGTACAGAATCGTGGTACAGATGGGTGCCAATACGGTCCATAACATCATACACCAGCTGGTATGTCCTAGTGAGAGCTATAGTAGGGGAGATATCATGGTACAGATGGATGCCAATACAGTCCATAACATCATACACCAGCTGGTATGTCCTAGTGAGAGCTACAGTAGGGGAGATATTGTGGTACAGATGGATGCCAATACGGTCCATAACATCATACACCAGCTGGTATGTCCTAGTGACAGCTAAAGTAGGGGAAATATCGTAGTACAGATGGATGCCAATACGGTCCATAATTATCCATGTTTTCTCCGTCCATGTCTCTCTGTAAGCAATCAATTATCTCAAAATCAGATCTTTATGTTCACCTAGATAATCACAGACCTGACGAATCATGATCAACAGTATTTTTGCACATCGTCTTTACACAGTCACAGCGAAACTTGGCATGCCTTTTGCTTTGATCATTGTTGTTGCTTACTGACAGACAACAGGCTGATCAGACTCCAGTGTAAATCTTCAGTCTTGAGGAACTGGTGGATACTTCACTGGATCCTCATGAGGTCCGATACTGTTCCATGTAGGTATACAGTCAATGAAATACACCTCTCATCCATAAACGTTTATATCGCACATATATATTGTATTTGTGCCTGCCTTTGTTCCTCGGAGACCAATTTAGCATAACATCATAATTGATATAAGGTATTAGTTTTTACAACAAAACTATGATTTGTACAATAATCTGACTGCTGTAAAGATATGCATTTCAAATATCATTCAGATGACGATTTATTTGGGTTCAAACATCGTCTCTCTCTCTGAGTCATGGAATACTCTGTTGCCAGAGATTTCAACTTGACTGTATACTGCATTCATTGGTCACTGCACATACAGAATCAGCCAATGAGAAGGCTCCAAGTTGTCATGTGACAATATCATGTGGTAATATCCCCGTATTCCCCGTTCCAGCGTTCGTACTTCTCGAGGGTATCCAGTGGAACGCTCCGTCGTATCCTCTTCAAGGCATCACCAAAATCTGACAACTGGATATTTCTCACCTATTCAGATTAAGAAATATAAATTAGCATGTTTTATCACAAATAGAGAATATCAATGAGATTTACCTATCTAAACGATGTTTTTATCCTTTTCAGCAAATGTAAACATTTCACATACCTTATTTGCATCTAAATTTTTTACTTCATGTATGCTCAGCTCTGAAAAAGAAAAAAATACATCTAAGATTTTACACTTTGTCCCGCATATCACACTGGTCCTGACATTCTACCACCCCAAAACTATCATCTTCACCTCAACACATTACAACATTCTCCTTTTTCATTCATATTAACTAATGTACAGGTAACAGAGAAATTATGTCCATCCTTGCTGTCTTAATCATCCCAAGCATCGTTTGTTTGTTTGTCTTGTGTTTGTTGTTTAAAGCCGCACTCAGCAATATTCCAGCCATATGACGACTGTCTAAAAATACTTGCATCAGGACAATCCTGTGATTGACATCATGAGCATCGATCTATGCAATTTGGATATGATGACTAAGAAGCACTTGTTTCCGTATCATGTTGACGCCCTGACAACACAGCTTGAATCAGTAATTACAAGAGGTAACAATATGTTTGAAATAGACAGGTATTTGCATTACATTCAAAAAAGAAGTCGCCTTATAATCTTTTTTACTTATGCAACAAAACTTTCCCACCATAAACATGAGACACACGCATGAACCATTATGACTTCACCAAAGGGATAGCTGGTCTCATCAATAGCTACCCATTGTAGGCTACCACTTGTGAGGATAAGTCACTTTAGTTCTTTTACGAGTGCTTCATTTAAGTTCTCTACTTTCTTTGGTTTGTCCTGGTTAATCATCCGGGTTAACCCGTGCAAGGCCAAGCACGTGGATGTAAACAGAATATGAAATGAACTTGTGTAGGGTGTAAAGGGCCCATAAAATTTGTAAGTATTCACAAAATATATAAGTAACAACATGTAAATCATAACTAGCAATGCTATAACAAATATAAATGGTGTAAAAGGGTAAATTGCATGTTGAAAAGGTTGAAGTGTGTATCACAAATGTTTTGTTTAAAATCCAGAAAATAATGTTGGTATGATAATAACATGTACTTGCTACCTTAGTTACAAGTAATATTTCACACTTGTGCTTATTATAGCTAGTACCTGTCAACAATAAGCCTTACAATTAAAGGGCCAGTAAAAGAATTTGAAGGAAATACATAATACGAAATATCGGTCACAATGTTTCAAGACTGAATCAAGAATGTATGAATCAATCTATGCTGAAGTTGAAAATAAACCATTCAAGACAGTGTACAGAATTGTGTGTCAATGGCCAAAGCGTATCACCCACACCCATGTTCATCCATTATGCCTAACATCTAATGCATAACACTTCAATCCCATGCCTCTTGCTTCTAGTTTACATTCTTTTCAGATTATGACCTTGATGATGACCTTGACCTTGACCTTTGACATGTCAACATGTCAAAATGATTTTTTAGGGTTATACACAAGTGATATGTGTTAAGATCCCTGAATTGTCAAAGCTCTGGATGGTTTCTAAAAAATAATTGCATATCCTATTCATTAGAAGTTGGTGACCTACATTTTACAAGAATGCCATCACTTGTCATACAATGGTAATCAAACAACATGACCACTACATGCATAAGACTTGAACAAAAGTCTTTAGGGAAAATGGCAAACATTTAATCTTCACTGTCACCTTGACCTCATACCTTGGTCACTCACAATCTTTTCAGATCATGGCCCTGCCCTAAGGATTACAGGTACAAAGTTTCACTGATATACATTGAATGCTTCTTGAGTTTAGGCAACTTTCTTCAATGTACATTCTATGATGGTGAAAAGTTCCTGAGAATCTAAGTGGCCACCCACGGTCATCATCAACCCCTTGTCTTTTCAAATTTATTTTTAACATTGATTCAGACCTCTGTGGTTGACAACATTACCTTACAGCAGTATCATATTAAGAAATGGGAAATAGAATATATTAGCATGTTATTATAATACTAACCTCTGATTGGCCCTAAAGCTGCATCTTTGGCCACAGCAGTTAGATCACTTCCAGAGTACCCATCTGTCAATCTGTGGACAGACAAAGTCAAACACTAGTCCTCCAGGATTGTGTCCAGTGGATGGACAATATCTCCTCCTCCAGCACTGTCCAGTGGACATTAGAAAAAGACACCAGCATTTGAAACATAACATTTAGTGGACATACACAACAAACACAAGTCCCCAAGCACTATCCTGAGTGGGAAGACTAGAGTATGCCGTGTGTCAGAAGGGAAATTCAATGTCACATGACACTCTGGATCTGTCTTTAGCCATAGCCCTTGATGACTACCTCTAATTTGTTGAGTTTATAGGCTGGAATGTACAGTTGCTGGAGCATATAAGATCAGGCATCTTTCGGAATACACTTGATATCCAGATCCTTGTCTTACTCAAACTAACCACAAACATGATTAGTTTATCATTCAGTTCTGTAAATGATACCAATTTACCAATTCTCACCACCTACACTGGTAATACTGGAAACATGATTGATTCTGTCATACGAGATGTGAACGCAGGGTTGAAGTATACGTACCTGGACAGATGGTCAAGCTCTTTTGGCGTGAGAGGATTGTCGTGTTTGACGAGCAGGTGACTCAGCATTGTGCGCCGTGTGTCAAGGTCAGGCATTGTCACATACACACGCTTCGGGAAACGCCTACAAGGTCAAGGTCAAAACTAAAACATGATAACATTTTCTATTTTGCTGTTGACAAGATATGAATTTGTAGCTAATTAGTGTTAAATGAATTAATTGAAAAGTAACTTGGTAATATCCAATGAAGGACTGTTAGCTCACCTGAGCACAGCATCGTCCAGTTCCTGAGGTCTATTGGTTGCTCCCATCACCAGCACCTTCTCCTCAGCCCCGCTCGCAACCTGCACACAGAATCACTGACCTTGACCCTCAATATCAGTCAATCAAAATCCAGGGGGAATAACAGGATTGGAAGTGTATGTAATAAGGAGTCTCAAACATGTTTGTTTTTGTTTTTGTTTGTTTGTTTGTTTGTTTGTTTGTTTGTTGTTTAAAGCTATATGACGGTGGTCTGTAAATAAACAAGTCTGGAACAGACAATCCAGTAATTTACATCATGAGCATCGATCCCCGCAATTGGATATGATGACATGCATCATCCAAGTCAGCAAGTCTGACCACCCGATCCAAACAGTCACCTCTTACGACAAGCACAGTCGCCTTTTGCAGCAAGCATAGGTTGCTGATGACTGATTCTAACCCGGATCTTCACTGGTTCTCAAGCATGTAAAGAGAGGTCATGGTTTAGAAAAGTGTGGCCTCAGTCAAATCCTTCAAAAGACATTGAACTAACAAACAAAACAATTTACGGTGAAATCTGTCAAAATTGCACTTACAGATTTATGTTTACACCATACACATGTTATGGTCCTTGCATTCTTTAATTATCAAAACAAATTTGTCCGATGCACAATTTCTATTTCAATTCCTAATTTCAAGGACAAAAAGGTCAATTGCTCACATAAATAGCAACCCATTACCAAGATTAGCCTTCATCCATTTGAAGTAAATCTTGCTGGAACAGGACTAATAAAGAACGATTGATAAATCAGACTACATTTTCAGGTCCAAAGTTCCAGACAGTTTCCACTGTAGAATTGTTCACATCCAAAGTGCATCATTCAGACATGAGAATGTATATTTTTCTTTTCAGCTGAAACTTCTTTGCAAAGGAGCGCGGTTCATAATTTGGGGGTGTTTAGCCATGAGATTTTAACAGATTAGTGGTCACTAAAATTTGCGGAGATTCGTGGATCCACTGAAGAATCTCACCCCTGATCATGACATGTTCTATACTGACTGCTATGGCGTTAGAACTAAGAATTAGAACTTACGCCATCGAACTGGACCAGGAATTCAGTCTTAAGTCGGCGGCTGGCATCGTTCTCCCCCTCCCTCCTCTCACACAACAAGGAGTCAATCTCATCTGAAACATACCGCGGGATATATACTGATGGGAAGAAACAAGCGACCAATCATAAAAGAAGCCTGTGTCTTAGATGAAGATTAGATTAGTGTAAAGATGCACTGAGCTTTTGATGCATTGCTATTGCCCATAGGCTAATTACAAAAACACTGGATGAACTCGAGAGATAGTGAAGTGTTACTCTGTGACCTAGTTTGTTGATCTGGTCCTCTTAAAGAACATTATAGGTTCCTGTATATTTTTCCTTCAGCATGTTAATGGGGCGGTCGGGTAGCCTAGTGGTTAAAGCGTTCGCTCGTCACGCCGAAGACCCGGGTTCGATTCCCGACATGGGTACAATATGTGAAGCCCATTTCTGGTGTCCCCCGCCATGATATTGCTGGAATATTGCTAAAAGCGGCGTAAAACCATACTCACTCACTCAGCATGTAAATGGGAAGAGAGTCAGAACTCTGTGGTTTACCTTGTTCTACAGCAGAAATACAGAGAACATGAGTACCAGCAGCATGGGGTTCTTAGCCTCATATTTCAGTGTTAATATGATAAGACTCTCAACACAACTATTTTCTAATGAGCATGATGAGAGACAAGCTCTTTGCACTGTTTGCCACCTGTATGAGACAAGCTCCCTACACTGTTTGCATATGAGTGACAAGCTCCCTACACTATATGCATCAAGCTCCTTCCCAGCGATGTTACACTCTCGGTGACATCGCTGCCACCAGTGTGGGCGCGGCCATTACAAGAATCTTGAACCCCAAATGTAGTAATGTTTATACTTTTGTTTGTGTCTTTGTGAATGCCATCATAGTTCATTTTGAAAAGGTTTACGACTGACCATGTTTTCCAGATGAATTTACTTTGTTGTTTTAAGAATCAGATTGGTTCGAGATTGCAGACTAACAGAAAATCAACCAACTTCTCCATTACATTCTTACTATATCAATTAAAGATGATAGTTTTAATGAAATAGAAATTCAAATTGACCAACAAAGAAAGTAATTTAGCAGGGGTAAGTGTATTCGGTGTCACGACAGTCTTCACTTGTTTGTAAACATAACAGTCATTCGGTTGCGAGTTCAATTCCAAGCATGGTTGGGGCCACCTATCACAGTGGGGAGTTTTGACTGTATAGTATAGAGAGCTCCACGAACGGACTATCCTTGTGAGGAGCTTGTATATGCATTTGAGTGACAAGCTCCCTACACTGTATGCATACGAGTGACAAGCTCACTACAATGTATGCATAAGAGTGACAAGCTCCCTACACTGTATGCCACATGAGAGACAAACTCCTTGCACTGTTTGCCACCTGTATAAGACATGCTCCCTACACTGTTTGCATGAGTGACAAGCTCCCTACACTGTTTTCATATGAGTGACAAGCTCCCTACACTGTATGCCACATGAGAGACAAGCTCCCTGCACTGACCCATGAAGATGATGCAGGGCTGGAGTTCCCGGGCGGCAGCAAACAGCGTGCGGACAAGCTTCTCACCCTCCCCGACCTGTAGAAACAGACAGTGCAATATTAGGGACAAGAGTGCTTGTACACCTCAACAAACATTTCATGATCATGTCATTATAATGACTTACAGTGTGGATCATGTGTTTGGCCATATTCCACTCCTATCTGTCCATTGTTTTGGTTGTCTGTAAAGCTGCCCTTTGCACAATGTAACGTCACTATATTTCACAAAGTGAGTGAGTGAGTGAGTGAGTGAGTGACATCGGTATGTCCTTTTACAGGTAATAATTGACATGGGTATGTCCTTTTACAGGTAATAATTGACATGGGTATGTCCTTTTACAGGTAATAATTGACATCGGTATGTCCTTTCACAGGTAATAATTGACATCAGTATGCCTTTCAAGGTAATAATTGACATCGGTATGTCCTTTTACAGGTAATATTTGACATCGGTATGTCCTTTTACAGGTAATATTTGACATCGGTATGTCCTTTTACAGGTAATATTTGACATCGGTATGTCCTTTCACAGGTAATAATTGACATCGGTATGTCCTTTCACAGGTAATAATTGACATCGATATGCCTTTCACTGGTAATAATTGACATCGGTATGTCCTTTTACAGGTAATAATTGACATCGGTATGTTCTTTTAAGGTAATAATTGACATCGGTATGTTCTTTTAAGGTAATAATTGACATCGGTATGTCCTTTTACAGGTAATATTTGACATCGGTATGTCCTTTTACAGGTAATATTTGACATCGGTATGTCCTTTTACAGGTAATATTTGACATCGGTATGTCCTTTCACAGGTAATAATTGACATCGGTATGTCCTTTCACAGGTAATAATTGACATCGGTATGCCTTTCACTGGTAATAATTGACATCGGTATGTCCTTTTACAGGTAATAATTGACATCGGTATGTTCTTTCACAGGTAATAATTGACATCGGCATGTCCTTTCACAGGTAATAATTGACATCGGTATGACCTTTCACAGGTAATTATTGACATCGGTATGTCCTTTTACAGGTAATAATTGACATCGGTATGTCCTTTCACAGGTAATAATTGACATCGGCATGTCCTTTCACAGGTAATAATTGACATCAGTATGCCTTTCACAGGTAATTACTAACATCGGTATGTCCTTTCACAAGTAATAATTGACATCAGTATGCCTTTCACAGGTAATAATTGACATCGGTATGTCCTTTTACAGGTAATAATTGACATCGGTATGTCCTTTCACAGGTAATAATTGACATCGGTATGTCCTTTCACAGGTAATAATTGACATCGGTATGTCCTTTCACAGGTAATAATTGACATCGGTATGTCCTTTCACAGGTAATTATTGACATCGGTATGTCCTTTCACAGGTAATAATTGACATCGGTATGTCCTTTCACAGGTCATAATTGACATCGGTATGTCCTTTCACAGGTCATAATTGACATCGGTATGTCCTTTAACAGGTAATAATTGACATCGGTATGTCCTTTAACAGGTAATAATTGACATCGGTATGTCCTTTCACAGGTAATAATTGACATCGGTATGTCCTTTGACAGGTAATAATTGACATCGGTATGTCCTTTCACAGGTAATAATTGACATCGGTATGTTGTTGGGCAGGGGCAAGAGATCAGTAAATCAGCACTGGTAAAGGCGATATCTATTTTATTCAAACTATTGTCAGTACCTCCATGAAATATTGATCACATTGATTACTGAACATAAAAAAATCTTCGTTTTTAACCCTCAGGAAAATTACATACCCATTTGGAAGTAAGACTTGAAGCAGAAATGTTGAAAAACACAGCATTGGACTCATTGGCAACAGCCTTGGCCTGAAACAATCAACGTGATGATGTCATTTCAATTACACTTTCTCCATTTATTACACATATACAGTGATCCCTCGCTATAACGCTACCTTCGGGTTCCAAATAATTGATGAGCGTTATAGATGATCAGCGGTTTAACGAAGGTCGAGTCGTAGGTGGTAGATGACCAACAAAATAGTATACATGCCTTGCCTACCTAACACGATCTACGTTGCACATTTCAGAGTTTCAAAAAAGATAGGAATAGAAGTTATTTATGATTCATAGTGTAAAAAAAGATTTATCGAGTATAATATGCGTTTTTAAAAAAACAAAACATATCGTATCCCTTTGGATAGGTAAGTTAGACGGCTCCCACACGTACCAGCATAGTTTTGCCATTTCCCGGAGGCCCGAACAGAAGCAGTCCTCTGGCAGGCGCCCTCAACCCAGTAAACAGCTGGAAGCACAAACACACACACACCCTTCACCATCGACTCTGTGTTTCTATATATTACAAATTATTGATTCACATTAGCCAAATCCTACTCTAATGGAACTGACCATGTTGCCACTTTGAATTGCCATCCTGAGTGAGTGAGTGAGTGAGAACGTATGGTTTTACCTGCTTTTAGCAATATTCCATCAATATCATGGGAGGGGACACCAGAAATGGACTTCACACAGTGTGCCCTTGTGGGGAATCGAACCTCCGTCTTTGGCATGACAAGCAAATGCTTGAACAACTCTGCTAACTCTTTACCCCTGTTGCCATATCTGAGACTGCTAGGCAACATGGACATAAACGCCACACAAAGTCGTCAAGTCCTTGTAGCTTGACCTCATAACGATAAACTCTTTACAGGTGTCAACAGCAGGTGTACAGGTGAACTTTCATGGACACTCCGTGCCCTAACATACCACACATGAAGCGCTGCACTTACCTCTGGGCGGAGAGCAGGAAGGATGACTATTTCTTGTAAAGCCTGTTTTGCTATATTCTGACCAGCTGAAAAGAGACAGAATCTTATACACCACTTCATACAGCAATGTCTCAAGTACATACATATCCATCTGCAAGTTTCCTGTTTCTGTAGTTAGAGTGTAGGTGTGTTGGGCTTATCACATCTTCAAACAGCAGAGTATTATGGCTCTACAACAACATGTCAACTCAAAATGGAGGAATGCCTAACATGACGCAAGTAACAAACACAGATTGGTGAGATCATTAAGCATTGATGGTGTGATGGCCGATCAGTCACAGTTTGGGAAGATAGGGACCTAAACCACAACAAGGAGATTCAAGCAGCTAAGGGAGGCAACTCTATACATGGAGAGTAGCGCACCTCCTCACTCGTCAGTCTTCCCCTTTTCAACTCCAGGTAACTCCAGGTAAATGGCGTACAACAGATCTATCCAAGATACAACAAACTATCATGTATTCCAACTACAGTAAACTACGGTTATAACAAACTCAAAGGATCCACTAATTATTGTTTGTTATAACAGTAGTTCCTTATACGCATATATACAGCATATAAACAGCAAATGGACAAGTCTGGACCATACAATCCAGTGATCGATATTGTGAGCAACGACCCACAACATCAGGGGGCGAGGACATGCTTTCAACCAAGCTACTGAACTTGACTACCAGATCCATTTGGTCATCTTTTACAACAATGATAGGTTCCTGGGGACCTATTCTAATGCGGACTCGCCACACGAGTCTCACTACTGATCTACCCAGTTGGTCTTACCTATATCAATGAAAGAAACTGAGGGGCCCTGGTCAATGACCTCATTCAGAATCATATTGGCCAGCTTCTTGTCGACGTTCTTCAGCCCCCCTAAAGACACTTCTCTCTTTCCCTTCGTTGCACCACGAGCCTGGAACAGAGACAGTAGAATAGTTCAGTGAATCACCATCTCCGCTCAAATCCTTGTTTCATCACATAACGGTGGAATAGCTAGCCTGAAGCACTGTGTGAGTGATTGAGTTGGGTATTCCAGTTATATCGCGGCGTGTCAGCTTAATGTGGGAGGAAAGCCCGAAGTGATGCAGGTCTCAGACATTTACCACTTCGGTGAAACCCATGAGCACGGGTATGGTGCTGACAAACCTAGAAACATAATCGGGACGAATCGGGTTTCGAACCCACAATCATAGGTTTCTGGCATGCCCAAGGGATGCAACTCTGCACAGCGAATCACGGCGCCTTAGACGACTGGGCCACCCGTGCTCCCTGAAGCAGTGTGAGGTCAGCAGGATGTGTATAACCATGATAATTGTGGGAACCTACAAAGTCATTCCATCACCCCTCTACCTTGTGGTTTGTTTGTTGCTCAACCCACACTCAGCAATATTCCAGCTATATGACGGTGCCTGTATATAATCAAGCCTGAACAGACAATCCAGTGATCGATATTGTGATCAACAAAGTCACTGATTCTGACCATCTGATCCATTTAGTCGACTCTTACAACCAGCACAGGTTACTACGGAATAATTCAAACCCACAATCTCCATGGGCAGACTATGACACATTGAACAGGCGCCAGTCAAAGCAAACAGGTGCCAGTAATATCATATCTGCACCGGGATTTGCAGTGACTTAACCACTGTGCCCCTTGCTAGTTACAATTGCTGCGCTGCATCTACTCACATCCCCCTGTGACAGATTCCTGTGATGGAGGGAAGCCTTCCTGGTTGCCCGTGGCGACGCCCCTGGTCCTGACGGTTCCCGACTTGCACTGTGGGAGCGAGGCAGTGTATTGCACTTGTGAACGGCCATCTTCATTGGTTTCAGTGGTTTGCTGGTGACTGGAAAAATAGACTTGGACATAGGAAATCCCGCTCGCCTCCCTTAGAACTTTCACGTGAAACAGTCCATCTTAATCATTATATATGACTGGCAAATGCTACAGAAAATAACATTACATTACTCCTGAGAATGATAAATTGGCTTTTGGTAAGTTAAGTGATATTTCTTTCATTAATAACCTTTCTTGTCTTGACAAATGAACAGGTGATCAAAACACTGAGCATCGTGACATTGGTTTCTTCATACAAGCTGCACGAGGTTCTGAAGCTCACCTTCCTGTCTTGAAACAAGAATTCAATACTTGCTGTTGCCGGATTGAGTCAGGGATAACATTCAACTTACACTGACCTAACATCTATACTTACCAAGACATACCTAGTGTCCATATGATGTTTGTTTGTTTTTTGGGTTTTTTTGTTTAACGCCACACTCAGCCATATTCCAGCTATATGACAGCAGTTTGTAAATAATCGAGTCTGGACCAGACAATCCAGTGATTTCCATCATGAGCATCAATCCACGCAATTGGGATCGATGACATGCATCAAACCAAGTCAGCGAGCCTGACCACCTGATCCTGTTAGTCACCTCTTACCAAAGCATAGTCGCCTCTTACGGCAAGAATGGGTTGATGAAGATCTCTTCTACTGAAATCTTCACGAGTCTAGTGTCCATACAAAAGAACACGTAATAGAATGTTTATTCATCATGAATAAAGTACATGATACTTGAAACCAAAACTAAAAGGCAGAGATACCCACAAAGTGGCCAACTAGACACGTATCCCATTATTCTGGAGATTCTCAACCATGATACCAATGCAATGCTACAAGGTTCACTGTCATGTTTACAGTAAGAACATTCACAACATGAGTTACTAAGTCATTCAACCTACACTATGTATTTACCATATCTAATCTAGGGAGAAGACAACAGCTACATGACCAGGTAAGGCTTCATGCACTAACACCAACTACGTCACAGGCAGGCAAGATACAATACATGCCTGGATAGGATATAGATTTTATACACACACACACACATACACTACAATACAATGTCTGACCAATGATACAATACATACCACAATGTCTGACCAATGATACAATACATACCACAATGTCTGACCAATGATACAATACATACCACAATGTCTGATCAATGATACAATATATACCACAATGTCTGACCAATGATACAACATATACTACAATGTCTGACCAATGATACAGAACATACAACAATGTCTGACCAATGATACAATATATACAATGTCTGACCAATGACACAATACATACCACAATGTCTGACCAAATTTACAATACATACCACAATGTCTGACCAATGATACAATATATACTACAATGTCTGACCATGATATACTACACATACTTTTACACTGGCATGTGCTGATAATTCAAAAAAGCTCTAAAACAAAATTGTTTGAACATCTTGGTGTGATTTATGAAATAAACGTAAAGACTTAATCTTGACAAATATTTGTTAGAAATGTGTGCATATCCTGATAGTCAGTCAGTTATCATACCAAATCTTGACTCAAAACTCTCGGTGAGCTGTTCCGCCTTAGTGTAAGTACTGAGTTCTGGCAACTGACTCAAGCATCACATTGTCTCAGTGAACTGTTCCAGCCTAAGCGTAAGTACCAAGTTTTGACAACTGACTCAAGCATCACGTTGTCTCAGTGAACTGTTCCAGCCTAAGTGTAAGTACCAAGTTCTGACAACTAACTCAAGCATCACGTTGTCTCAGTGAACTATTCCAGCCTAAGTGTAAGTACCAAGTTCTGACAACTAACTCAAGCATCACGTTGTCTAAGTAAACTGTTTCAGCCTAAGTATAAGTACCAAGTTCTGACAACTAACTCAAGCATCACGTTGTCTCAGTGAACTGTTCCAGCCCTAAGTGTAAGTACCAAGTTCTGACAACTAACTCAAGCATCACATTGTCTAAGTGAACTGTTCCAGCCTAAGTGTAAGTACCAAGTTCTGACAACTAACTCAAGCATCACGTTGTCTCAGTGAACTGTTCCAGCCTAAGTGTAAGTACCAAGTTCTGACAACTAACTCAAGCATCACGTTGTCTAAGTAAACTGTTCCAGCCTAAGTATAAGTACCAAGTTCTGACAACTAACTCAAGCATCACGTTGTCTCAGTGAACTGTTCCAGCCCTAAGTGTAAGTACCAAGTTCTGACAACTAACTCAAGCATCACGTTGTCTAAGTGAACTGTTCCAGCCTAAGTGTAAGTACCAAGTTCTGACAACTAACTCAAGCATCCCGTTGTCTCAGTGAACTATTCCAGCCTAAATGTAAGTACCAAGTTCTGACAACTAACTCAAGCATCACGTTGTCTAAGTAAACTGTACCAGCCTAAGTATAAGTACCAAGTTCTGAGAACTAACTCAAGCATCACGTTGTCTCAGTGAACTGTTCCAGCCTAAGTGTAAGTACCAAGTTCTGACAACTAACTCAAGCATCACGTTGTCTAAGTAAACTGTTCCAGCCTAAGTATAAGTACCAAGTTCTGACAACTAACTCAAGCATCACGTTGTCTCAGTGAACTGTTCCAGCCTAAGTGTAAGTACCAAGTTCTGACAACTGACTCAAGCATCACGTTGTCTCAGTGAACTGTTCCAGCCTAAGTGTAAGTACCAAGTTCTGGCAACTGACTCAAGCATCACGTTGTCTCAGTGAACTGTTCCAGCCTAAGTGTAAGTACCAAGTTCTGACAACTGACTCAAGCATCACGTTGTCTCAGTGAACTGTTCCAGCCTAAGTGTAAGTACCAAGTTCTGACAACTGACTCAAGCATCACGTTGTCTCAGTGAACTGTTCCAGCCTAAGTGTAAGTACCAAGTTCTGACAACTGACTCAAGCATCACGTTGTCTCAGTGACAGGTGTAGGACAGGAGATCATGAACATGACAAAGACAATAAACCAATTTTCACATTTCCACAATGAACAAACAACCCTTCAATCATAAAAGGCAAATTGATTAACATAAACAAAGTACACACAAAGAATAGCCATGCCAATATTTCACGCAAATCTCTTTGAAAAGATTTTACAAGTGAAACCCATTCCCTTGTGTCAGTGAGTCCATATCCTGCATGCTTTCGGCCATGCAGTGCTGGAAAGAAAACTCCAATCTAACTACTGCATCCTGCATGAAGCGTATCAACAGAACCGTTAGGCGGCGAGAAGCATGAGAAGCATGCCTAGCCAGGTACCTGGAGTCTTCTTGCCAGGGGCCACGACTCTTGTATTCTTATCAGTGACATGTGTTTTGGGGGGTTGCCTCCCCTTACTGTCTCTGTGACCTCCCTCTTCAGCAATGGCCTCTAATCGTATGTGTTGTAAGACTTTTTCTGTGTGCAGAGTCAACAAAATATAAAAAGCAAATTAAAGGGACTATACAAAAAGCATGCAGTCCAATGGGAAGCCACCAGTACAACAGATTATCACAACATGTAACATAGCAGCTGTACTGACAAGGAATTAACATCAGGACATTTACTACTGAAACAATGAACACACTGAACGCCTGGATACATATAGTTACTACACTAATAATATTAATAAGACTAAAACATTTGCTTTTATGCATTAATGAAGACTGTGAAAATCAGTTAATTTATTATAGAATAAGTGAGGTGGATTTATCACTCCTTTGAACAATACCCTCACAGCATGTCAAAGGCAAAAACATTTGCTTTTATGCATTAATGAAGACTGTGAAAATCAGTTAATTTATTATAGAATAAAGGAGGTGGATTTATCACTCCTTTGAACAATACCCTCACAGCATGTCAAAGACAAAAACATTTGCTCTTATGCATTAACGAACACTGTGAAGATCAGTTCACTTCTTACAGAATTACCTAATTCCATAGTCAATCTTATAAACAGGCTCATGCTGGTAGGACCACACTTTTAAGTATTTTCATTATTGAATTAAACAAAAATCAGTTGAACAAAATACAAAGGTGGCTAAGTGCTCAGAATGTGGCAAAGGGAGTAGATGTGTTGCATCATTGTGGGGGACTTGCAGCAGTACAGCACACCGTCACACACGTCTGTTTTATTGTATGTATTATTTGTATTCCTTACGTGTTCAATCAACTAGTTGCAAGTGGCATCACCAAGGACCAGTGACGGGTATACGCATGAATTTTGTATTGCAATTTATTGCAATAATAGTTCATGTTTTGCGATAGGTACAACAATATATTGCATGCTTTCTTTCATTTGTAATTGTTATGAACCTGAACAAAAACACCCCCCCTTCATGTTTTTGACAACTTCGTATGTTGTTGGATGTTGCTATGGCCACAAATCATGCGTAATAGACACATGTACAGGTAACAAATAATTTCCCAGCTTAGAAAACAGGAACAAGGTGCTAATTTCACCATTTCCATTTGAGTTGACACTAGTGTCAAATCTTCCAACAAAATGATATGTATGATTTTGAAAAACGCAATATACTCTTACTTTCCAAATGTATTGTGGTATGTATTCATTGTTACTACATATCCTGGTATACCGGTAATATCGCACACCTAATCTAAGGACATCACTGACATGATTTTCTCAGGATAATTTTTCACATGATTGTCTCCAAACGCTTATCTTCTAACCAAATATATTATCAAGACAAATATATTTACATGTATCATTGGATCAGATGTTTTCGGACATCATCCGTTTTCGGATGGCCCTGTTTATCGCGAGTACTTCTACTATAACAAGGGTTGTGTTGTCACACATACATTGTAAATACTCAGATAATAGATTATTTTTAAGATGATGTTGTCTTTTATGAGTGAGTGAGATGTTTTATGGTTGTTCTTGTGATTAGCATGAAAACTACAAATGTTTCTAACGCAGGGATAATTCATTCATGATCACTAAAGGCACACGCAGGGAAGTATGGGGAACTTCCTGCAGCCTGTCGACATGTTGACCACCATGATACCTCTACACCAAGCACACATCTACAAGTGAGTGAGGTGGGTTATCACTGCTTTGAACAATACCCTCACAGCATGTCAGAAGAAACTTGAATGGAAGCCCAACGGGATGCGAGTAACAGATGTTGGACAACCCCCACCCCAAACCCCTTCTTTTTTCCTTAGCGTCAGCTGAATCTGAAAACCTTGCCTCTGGTGGAACCCACAAGCACAACTATCATCTGGATGTATCTGTGACTTAAACTACCTATCAGAAGATCCTGGTATGGTTAAGGGACACAACTCTGCAAAGTGAATTGTAGCAGTGTAAGACCCTAGGGCCACTTGTTCCCCATACAGTCAGAGTTTTAGCCAGAGATGATGTGTTTGTGGATGTCTATGTGTCGCGTGTGTGCAGGGAGCTCGGGAGCTATGAGGGTCGAGGGTTATGGTGGTAAGACATCGGTAAGTCAACAGAAGAGACAATTACAGTGAACATCAAACCACAGAGATTTTCTAAAATCCTCAGAACATGACCTCACCGAGTACATCCAATCTGTCCTTGGCCATCACCATATTGGTCAGCATCTTCTCCTTGAGACGCCGGGCTCTCTCGTATGAATCCCCTTCAAAAACATTAACATGATTACAAACTGTTTCCCAATATCAATGACCTTACATCTTTACTAAATAAAATATATTCATGTATCACAACATGGTTCTACTGTATAGTCATTGTGATACAACACCGTTCTGCTGTATAGTCAGTGTGATGTCACAAGGTTCTGCTGTATAGTCAGTGTATGTCACAATAAGGTTCTGCTGTATAGACAGTGTGATGTCACAAGGTTCTACTGTTTCGTCATTGTGATGTCACAACAAGGTTCTGCTGTATAGTCATTGTGATGTCACAAGGTTCTGCTGTATAGTCAATTTGATGTCACAACAAGGTTCTACTGTATAGTCAGTGTGATGTCACAACATGGTTCTGCTGTATAGTCAGTGTGATGTCACAACAAGGTTCTACTGTATAGTCAGTGTGATGTCACAACAAGGTTCTACTGTATAGTCAGTGTGATGTCACAACAAGGTTCTACTGTATAGTCAGTGTGATGTCACAACAAGGTTCTACTGTATAGTCAGTGTGATGTCACAACATGGTTCTGCTGTATAGTCAGTGTGATGTTACAACACCGTTCTACTGTATAGTCAGTGTGATGTCACAACAAGGTTCTACTGTATAGTCAGTGTGATGTCACAACAAGGTTCTGCTGTATAGTCAGTGTGATGTCAGAACAAGGTTCTACTGTATAGTCAGTGTGATGTCACAACATGGTTCTGCTGTATAGTCAGTGTGATGTCACAACAAGGTTCTGCTGTATAGTCATTGTGATGTCACAAGGTTCTGCTGTATAGTCAATGTGATGTCACAACAAGGTTCTACTGTATAGTCAGTGTGATGTCACAACATGGTTCTACTGTATAGTCATTGTGATGTCACAACAAGGTTCTGCTGTATAGTCATTGTGATGACACAAGGTTCTGCTGTATAGTCAATGTGATGTCACAACAAGGTTCTACTGTATAGTCAGTGTGATGTCACAACATGGTTCTGCTGTATAGTCAGTGTGATGTCACAACAAGGTTCTACTGTATAGTCAGTGTGATGTCACAACAAGGTTCTACTGTATAGTCAGTGTGATGTCACAACAAGGTTCTACTGTATAGTCAGTGTGATGTCACAACAAGGTTCTACTGTATAGTCAGTGTGATGTCACAACATGGTTCTGCTGTATAGTCAGTGTGATGTTACAACACCGTTCTACTGTATAGTCAGTGTGATGTCACAACAAGGTTCTACTGTATAGTCAGTGTGATGTCACAACAAGGTTCTGCTGTATAGTCAGTGTGATGTCACAACAAGGTTCTGCTGTATAGTCAGTGTGATGTCACAACATGGTTCTGCTGTATAGTCAGTGTGATGTTACAACAAGGTTCTACTGTATAGTCAGTGTGATGTCACAACAAGGTTCTACTGTATAGTCAGTGTGATGTCACAAGGTTCTGCTGTATAGTCAATGTGATGTCACAACAAGGTTCTACTGTATAGTCATTGTGATGTCACAAGGTTCTGCTGTATAGTCAGTGTGATGTCACAACAAGGTTCTGCTGTATAGTCAGTGTGATGTCACAAGGTTCTGCTGTATAGTCAATGTGATGTCACAACAAGGTTCTACTGTATAGTCATTGTGATGTCACAAGGTTCTGCTGTATAGTCATTGTGATGTCACAACAAGGTTCTGCTGTATAGTCATTGTGATGTCACAACATGGTTCTGCTGTATAGTCAGTGTGATGTCACAACAAGGTTCTGCTGTATAGTCAGTGTGATGTCACAACAAGGTTCTACTGTATAGTCAGTGTGATGTCACAACAAGGTTCTGCTGTATAGTCAGTGTGATGTCACAACAAGGTTCTACTGTATAGTCAGTGTGATGTCACAACAAGGTTCTACTGTATAGTCAGTGTGATGTCACAACAAGGTTCTACTGTATAGTCAGTGTGATGTCACAACAAGGTTCTACTGTATAGTCAGTGTGATGTCACAACAAGGTTCTGCTGTATAGTCAGTGTGATGTCACAACAAGGTTCTGCTGTATAGTCAGTGTGATGTCACAACATGGTTCTGCTGTATAGTCAGTGTGATGTTACAACAAGGTTCTACTGTATAGTCAGTGTGATGTCACAAGGTTCTGCTGTATAGTCAATGTGATGTCACAACAAGGTTCTACTGTATAGTCATTGTGATGTCACAAGGTTCTGCTGTATAGTCATTGTGATGTCACAACAAGGTTCTGCTGTAAAGTCAGTGTGATGTCACAAGGTTCTGCTGTATAGTCAATGTGATGTCACAACAAGGTTCTACTGTATAGTCATTGTGATGTCACAAGGTTCTGCTGTATAGTCATTGTGATGTCACAACAAGGTTCTGCTGTATAGTCAGTGTGATGTCACAAGGTTCTGCTGTATAGTCAATGTGATGTCACAACAAGGTTCTACTGTATAGTCATTGTGATGTCACAAGGTTCTGCTGTATAGTCATTGTGATGTCACAACAAGGTTCTACTGTATAGTCATTGTGATGTCACAAGGTTCTGCTGTATAGTCAGTGTGATGTTACAACAAGGTTCTACTGTATAGTCAGTGTGATGTCACAAGGTTCTACTGTATAGTCAGTGTGATGTCACAACAAGGTTCTGCTGTATAGTCATTGTGATGTCACAAGGTTCTGCTGTATAGTCATTGTGATGTCACAACAAGGTTCTACTGTATAGTCATTGTGATGTCACAAGGTTCTGCTGTATAGTCAGTGTGATGTCACAAGGTTCTACTGTATAGTCATTGTGATGTCACAACATGGTTCTGCTGTATAGTCAGTGTGATGTTACAACACCGTTCTACTGTATAGTCAGTGTGATGTCACAAGGTTCTGCTGTATAGTCAGTGTGATGTCACAAGGTTCTACTGTATAGTCAGTGTGATGTCACAAGGTTCTGCTGTATAGTCAGTGTATGTCACAATAAGGTTCTGCTGTATAGACAGTGTGATGTCACAAGGTTCTACTGTATAGTCAGTGTGATGTCACAACAAGGTTCTACTGTATAGTCATTGTGATGTCACAAGATTCTGCTGTATAGTCAATGTGATGTTACAACAAGGTTCTACTGTATAGTCAGTGTGATGTCACAACAAGGTTCTACTGTATAGTCAGTGTGATGTCACAACAAGGTTCTACTGTATAGTCAGTGTGATGTCACAAGGTTCTACTATATAGTCCTTGTGATGTCACAATATTGTCGGCTTACCTTGTCCGCTGACCTCTACTGAAATGCCCTTCTCCAGTTCGATGATGCCTTTCTTATACAGATCAATGGCCTGCTCCTTGCGACCTGGAACAAGCAACACATTCCTGTTACCTCAGCTTGATCCTTCATTCTGAATATGCCATCTCATCATCACACACACACAGACAGAAGCTGCTATATCCATGTTCATCCTCCCCAGGTGCCTCATAGTAATATCTGGAATAAATGCAGTGACAATCTTCTGCTTCATCTTCAACAATGCTTGCAGTATGGAGACATTAGACACTGGAAATGTGGAGTATAAGAAGACCATCGCAATCAAATACTGTCTGTGTGAGGCATTCCTACTTTCAGTTAGTATCTTCTATTTGCATCAAGTACATCTTCAGATACTGATGAGATGACGGTGGTGCTTGTATGCCAGCAGTAAGATTGATCTGGTTGGACTGCAGCAGTTGGATTGATGTGGTTGGACTGCAGCAGTTTGATTGATGTGGTTGGACTGCAGTGGTTGGATTGTAGTGGTGGGATTGTAGCAGTTAGATTGTGGTTGGATTGTTGTGGTTGTATTGCTGTGGTTGTATTGCTGTGGTTGTTTTATTGTGGTTGTATTGCTGTGGTTGTATTGCTGTGGTTGTATTATTGTGATTGTATTACTGTGGTTGTATTGCTGTGACTGTATTGCTGTGGTTGTATTGTGGTTGTATTGCTGTGGTTGTATTGTTGTCATTGTACTGCTGTGGTTGTGTTGATGTGGTTTGATTGAAGCAGTTGGATTGTGGTTGGATTGTTATGGTTGTATTGTTGTGGTTGGATTGTTGTGATAGTATTGTTGTGGTTGGATTGTAGCGGTTGGATTGATGTGGTGCTTGTATGCCAGCAGTTAGATTGATGTGGTTCGACTGCAGCAGTTGGATTGATGTGTTTGTACTGCAGTGGTTGGATTGTAGTGGTTGGATTGTAGTGGTTGTATTGCTGTGGTTGGATTGTAGCAGTTGGATTGTGGTTGGATTGTTATGGATGTATTGCTGTGGTTGTATTGTTGTAGTTGGATTGTTATGGTTGGATTGTTATAATTGTATTGGTGTGGTTGTATTGCTGTGGTTGTATTGTTGTGGTTGGATTGTTATGGTTGTATTGTTATAGTTGTATTGTTGTGGTTGTATTGCTGTGGTTGTATTGTTGTAGTTGTATTGTTATGGTTGTATTGTTATAGTTGTATTGTTATGGTTGTATTGCTGTGGTTGTATTGTTATAGTTGTATTGTTGTGGTTGTATTGCTGTGGTTGTATTGCTGTGGTTGTATTGTTATAGTTGTATTGTTATGGTTGTATTGCTGTGGTTGTATTGTTATAGTTGTATTGCTGTGGTTGTATTGTTATAGTTGGATTGTTGTGGTTGTATTGCTGTGATTGTATTGTTGTGGTTGGAATGGTGTAGTTGGAGTGTAGTGGTTTGATTGTAGCAATTGGATTGTTGTGGTTGGGTTGTAGTGGATGGACTGTAGTGTTTGGGGTGGATGTTTGTAGGTGATTGTACCAGATGAAGCAACAATGGTGGGTGGTAGTGGTGGTGGTGGTGGTAGTATTTGTAGTTAGTGATGGATGGCGGGCACAACAAGTACCATCTTTTAAAGTCTTTTGGTATAACATGGTCGGGGATAGAACCACTAACCTTCAACTCTCCAGGCAGACGCTCTATCCACTAGACCATGGAGGTGGTCACAATATTCAAGCTATGTCAATGCAAATCCACCAGACAATGCAGGCAGCCTAACTCAGTAGGGGATACATTGACAAATAGCTTTCAGTTGGAAGGAAATCTGATGGTGTATATAATGGGAAATTCTTGATATGGAACTGTCTGTCCAGATACACATGTACAAAATTCCATGGGATTTCAAACTGCCCATTGATTACCGCCTGACAAGTAGAGCAATGCTATAAATAATTTCATGAGTTTGTGTCTTAGAATATGCATTCACTTGAACAAGTGTCAAAAGCGGGTCAAATGAGTTGGTATGTGTTATGTTTGTTTGGTTCATAAGAAAAAAAACCTCCATGATTAACCAATGTGGCCCATCACGTTCGTATGATCGTCGGGTTTAAATCAATATGACAAGTGTGGCAGGGAGTGTTTCTTGGGGAGAATCAATAAGGAAGTGTTGATCACCATGTTTGTAATTGGACTTGCTGGCTGTGGTATTGAGGCAGAGGTGCCTGAATTGGACTTGCTGGCTGTGGTATTGAGGCAGAGGTGCCTGAATTGGACTTGCTGGCTGTGGTATTGAGGCAGAGGTGCCTGAATTGGACTTGCTGGCTGTTGTATTGAGGCAGAGGTGCCTGGTCATATTGCAAGGTTGGGATGAGTGAGTGAGTGAGTGAGTGAGTGAGTGTGATAAACTGTTTGTATGTTATGTCATGGTATGTCAGGTAGAGAATGTAATGACTCTAATCGTATGTGTTTCAGAACATTATTCGCAGGGTACAATTTAGTTGGGGGGGAGAAAAACCAGAAGAAAAATTAATAGTTTTTCATTTTGATCTGGAACAAATTATATTTGGCCACTGCAGGCCCTTCCGAACCAGAATATGAAAAGGTTGGGCATGCAGCTCTGCACAGTGAATTGTTGCACCTCATTCCACTGGGACCCCAGTGGCCTCGACAGGAATAAGATGATGTAGGATCAGAGAGGATGCTCATGATGTCAATCACTGGATTGTCTGGTCCAGACTCGATTATCTACAGACTGATGTATTGCTGAGTACAGCGTTAAACAACAAACAAATGATGAAGAGAAATGGGTTGACAATGGGTGTGCATTTATTTTGGGGCTTTGTGCATGACGTGACGATGACATCTCAATGATTAAGTTTTAAGTCCAACAGTGAAACAGGTTGTAGACTTGGAACACTTTGATGAAACCCACAAACACGGGACATGGTGCTGGTCCACCAAGTATCATTGCTAGGGCAAATCTGTCACCTGAAGCACTCTACCAGCTGTTAGGAACACCACTTGGCACTGAAGGGGATCGATGCTCATGATGTCAATCACTGGATTGTCTGGTCCAGACTCGATTATTTACAGATCACCGTCATATAGCTAGAATATTACTGAGGGCGGCATTAAACAACAAACAAACAAACAAACAAACAAATAAAACTTGGCACTGACGGCCCATGTTACCAACTTCTGGGTAATGTTAACACCTGAGACATTACGTATGATTTGGGAAAGATGGCGACTGCTTGTCGTAAGAGGCGACTAACGGGATCGGGGGGTCAGGGTCACTGACTTGGTTGATGCATCTCATTGTATCCAAATTACGTAGAACATGATGTCAATCACTGGATTGTCTGGTCCAGACTTGATTATTTACAGACTGCCGTCATATAGCTGGAATAATGCTGAGTGTGGCATTAAACAACAAACAAACAAAACCAATGATTTGAACTCAGGTTCCATCATGCATTTGCTCAGCACTATTTATAGCGATTCTAGTTTCACCACATGCTTTTGTGACTGAGGGACCAATTAGGTACCGACAGACTGTCAGTTACAACTTGTTGATGAAATACCAAAAGAAAAAAAGAGTTTTATTCACTGCAATCATTTTTAAGTTATGTGGAATTTATAGCCCATTGCAATTATCAATGGCCCATGAAGAGAAATTTATGCCCCAAGCTTGCCAAAAATGGCCCATGATTTTGAAAACATGAGGCCATAGGTCCATGAGGAACATTTCCTTCCCAATCAATGCAAGTCCATGCCCACATAAAGCAGATTCCAAATTAGTTGCCATGAAAACAGTCTCCATATAATCAGGAACTGTAGACACTGAGCGAAGTATATCATTAGTTGTATCCCTGGTGTAACCTGATACACCAGCTAGTACACCACTACTGTCAACGACAATTAGCGACTGGTAACATAACTCATTATCACCTGAACATCTCACCTGACAACTTCTCACAGGTGTGATCAATAAAATACTTTAGTGATAGGATCGGATCGAGTGAATACTGTCTTTCAATAACCTTACAGCCTCATCACGGCTGTCTGTCTGTAGGTGATAACTCTGGACCAGGTGCATCGGTGGTTGATAGCATGACAGCCAAACAATAATACCGTGATCTAACTTGAATGTCTTGTCACACAGAGTTTAGGCTTCCTAGGTCTGTAGAAGTGGTTTTCCAGAAGGAAATAAAAAGAAATTTGGACAAAATGTGATTATGTAAATGCTACACACTAATAATAAAATTGCAATGATTTGAACTGTGATCTCAACAGAGCATCTTCATCAGCCCAGCATTCAGAGGTGGAGATGTATTTTGAGAAACTCTAACATCACGGACAAGGTGCAAATTCAAATCTCAGTAAATATGGAAAAAAGGGCCAAATAATTTGAACATATATACCGAGTCCAAATATAAGCATGTTTAAGTATAGATATATACTATATAACATAAGTACAAAATTTCATTACTTTTTCAAAATAATGACCATACTGAAAATCAAATTCAAAACTCTTGAACAAATTGAGTATTTTAACAATGTTCACCTTCAGTTTACAGGCCCAGTCAACTTTATCTAAACAATTATCATAAACAGGAGCAGACCAATTCCCAACGAAGGGTATCTCCTGACCCAGGAAAGTTTCAAACTGACACCAGTATCAAGCCAGAACAGCACATCCATGGTATACAGTCTATATCTATCAAACAATGGGAAAACATGGCATATATTGCCTCAGCTACAGGAATCCAACATGGCTTGAGGCTTCATTTGGACTGGACTTTATATTTTGTAGATATATATTTTTAACTAAGATATCTTTATTTCTGGGACAAAATGTTAGTCTACATGGACAGCACCAATATGGTTATTTAACACAAAGTGATCCAAGGACTGCACCATGATGGTATCTAACCCATATACATTCATGGAAAACTCCACTATGTAGATTAACAGTTAGTCTATGAAATATATCTCTTCTCTCCTTTAAAATTAAAACAAATAAATTTATTGCTGATTTCATATGTGGAATAGAGCTAGCTAGAGCTTGCTTGACTTGCTTTTAT